GCTCCATTTACAATTTACATACCGAGATCGTAGGAAAATTAAAATTAACTAACGGGACAAATTCTATATGTTTGAAAAACATGGCATGAGCCGACATGCCTATATAGTTACCAGCATATACCTTCAAATTGAACAAAACACTCTTCTTGTTTACCTTAATATCCCACAGACTGATGAACATGAAGTCTATTTTATTGTTAACGTGTGATATAACTAGAACACGTGTCTGCCCGCCAAAACAAAGGAACAACATCACTGAAACAGCCGCAGATCGTACCTCGTGTAGCTTGGCTATTATAACTACAAGCTTATAGACTGTTAGATATGGCTAGCCCCCTCTCATGGAAATACTACATCATGTTTTACACTCATCTATACAGTTGGTGTCAAATTTAATGGACATTCCTCCCTTGTACATCCCAGCTCGATCCAATGAGTTATTACTCATTACAAATATGTGCTGTGATCCAGATCGTATTATATGTGTTGGTCAGAGATGATCGGGTAACTATTTGAACAGTAAATAGATGATCGGAGATAGTCGAGGAGTTCTTCGAATAACTTGACGTCAATTCTCTGGTAGCAAAGTTCTAACACTGAAGACAAGACTTAACTATTTGCATGGCATTGGTTTAAAAATAGGTTAAAATATGATTACTTTGGAGTTTGGAAGAAGCATCAGTGGCATGACTCAGACTCGGATGAAGAGAATGATGCAACGTTGCTGACGTAGGTAATGTAGTAAATGTACCCAATAGGACATTTAGTGCATGAGCTCAAGCAGATTCCCAATTTCTTCTTGTCGTGCATCATTTTTGCTTTGTTGCTTTCTGACAATAGCGCAGATTGAGCGCAGTTCGGGTGAAATGCGTACAATGTCAGCCTTTCAAATTCTATGATGTTGCAAATTGCCAACAGTTACACACTTACAGAAAATCGTAGTTTGAAAGAAAAGAGTAAAGTGAAATGAAAAAAACTACGCTTTAAATTATATTTTATATTACTGTCAGACAGTGCATGCAAAGCTGTACAACTTTAATACTACAGTAAGAATTCCGGTTCCAACACTCAGATGGTAACACCCCATGAGGTCCAGGGTATTTACTCTACATGGATGGCTCAGTCCGAAGCACATAGAGATAGTTCGAGCACATAACAACTTAACAAGCATGCAAAGCCATTGATATGGTTACCATTGTCAGACTCCGTCTCCTCTTTCTCCCGTAGCTTCTTAAACATTTAAACCTGAGGTTCCGCAAGGTAAGTTGCATTGCCAAATGCTATCACGTCTATTATACTAGTATAGCTATACAGTATAGACATAGCTCTTCGTTATAACGATCATCGAGGTAGGAAAGAATTTAAGCTAAAGAACCACGTTATAGCGAGGTACAACATCGAATTTTGAAAACATAATGAAGCTGAAGAAAAGCTAACTGGCGCTGAGGTGCTTGATCTTCAAGAGGGTACGGTTTATGGAAGTCTATCGTTCTTAAAGTTTCTAGCTGTTGGAATTTCAGGAATTTGTCATGAGTTTATAATTTTGCCAGTACGTTTATTTTTTATTCAGTACGATACAAACTGGTACATACCTCAATTCCCCAAGTCTCTTAACTGATTTGCAATTATTCAACAAGAGCAAGTAGAAACAATAATTGCAGTAATCAATGAATCTAAATCATGTTAATGAGCAGAATAGGAAAGAATATTTGCAAGCATTTAGTTTACGTTGTTGATATAAGTATAACTGGGATCTAATGATTTTTTTCACCTGCAGCTGTACCAAACCATGTGTAAAATACGACGAAATCTTAAAATGTATCAAGAGTAAGAAAATATAAGCTCACTAGTAAGTCGTGTCGCACGAATCTACTAGAACTGGTAGTACTAAGTATTACCGGTAGTATTATGTTACTACTAGAACTGGTAGTATTACTACTATAAGTAAGCAAGTAAGACTAAGATAACTAAAACTTGCTGACAAGTAATCTCCCCTCCTGGGGTAAATCAAGAACAACCACTTGCTATCGCAAAATCTCACGTTTATTTAATTTTAGTGTTATAGTATTATTGAGATTGAACTGGTTATTATACTTCATGGTCAAGTTTGTAAGCTAAAATATACTAGTCAATGACGGACACTTGCTATGTGCTACGTACAAGTAAAATAACATAAATGAATATCTTGATACAATTTTCAATCAGTGGGACTAAATATCGCAAAACTAATTGGAATAATCTCTCGAAATAAAGATTCAAATGTAGAAGTAGTTTAACTGCGGTGGAGTTCAATTTCAGGGCCAGTCCCCAGGTGCACATTCTAGGTGTGATTCACTTATTTTCACGGTCTGTATATATCTGGAGTAGTAGGAGTGGAGCTATTACGTATCCAGAGTGGTTTATCACTCTTTGTGTTGCTTATATAATAGACTTGAACAATGCCTTTACTTCTGGAATCTGGATCATGAGTATAAGTTGAACTTGAAGAGTTAAATTTGAGGCTACGCACTATTTAATTTATTTCCAGTAAAATTGCCGTTGCGATATTCATCCACTGTTCTTGGATTCAGTATTTTTGAAATTTGATGAAGTCTAAGTGATTTCAGAAAAAAAACTAAACGATTACAAAAAACGATCGCATCGAAACTTATTAAGTTAAAGTAAATTAAATAATTATCAAGCAACTCACCCGAAGCATCACCACATCCCGAAACTGTCTTGTTTCGAGTAGAACGAGGCATCTTTCATCGGCCCTGCAAGTGCAACCGTTACACCTTGCAAACCTTACAGTACACCTTTTTAATATTCCTTGAATACAAGGTTCAGCAATCAATAGATGGAGAAATAAGGTATTTTGAGAAAAAAGAAGCAAGAAAAAGGTGTATGGTGGCTCAGACCCGCCATCGTTTAAAAATTGATTTGAAAAAAAAAAACCAATGTCAAATCAATTTCGATTTTGATAATTTGACCAAATCCCATAATTGAGACAGCGGACCGCTGCCAGTATTTCTCTTTCCCAAACAAAAGTAAATGATATTAATTTGAATAACCGTCCGCAAATGCAAAATGATACCAAGAATGAAATCGGTCGGTCGCTTTTCCCATTCATTCACGGCTTACGAATTGTAATAAGTTTCAATTAATTACATCGGTATCAATCACATCCTGTAACAATCTTTTTGGGTTGCTTTCGTCTTCGAGTCGATACCTAATTTTTCGGGTTAAGGGCGGTGGTTAATAGTGTCTAATTAGCTGATGTTTATTGAATCGTTATTGCAGAGTACATGACTTCGGGTAGTTCTTCTTAATCTATTACAATTGTTAATGAATGGGAAAAGCGATCACCAAACGATCTCATTTTGCATTTTCGGACGGTAATTCAAATTAATATCATTACTTTTTATGTGGCCATGATTGAAAGATAGCATGAAGCGAATCCAAATCGTGCTAAGATCCTCATTCCCCATAATCTTAAATCTTTATCTGGCAAGTAACACATAAAATTGAAACACCGATACTCAATTACATTAGATTTAGAAACTGTCGAGCACAAAATAGGTTTCAGTTAATACACATTTTGGCATGACTTAGAGTTAGAGCTAAAGTAGTCATGTGCATGGTAACAATGCACATTTAATTTGTCTACTGTGAAGTATTGGTGAACACTTTCAAGTGCTTGTCTAAAGTCTATAAAACGTTCGAAAAGTTTAAATGCAATCAACTTTTAACAGCAATGTAAATTGAAATTGTACATTGCTCCTAACCAACTTTGGCTGCATGTAGTAGAATCCTATTCCTTGAGCTCAAGAAGCATGGCTTCCGTATTAATTAGTTTACTCAAGCAAGTCAAGTTGATGTGAATTAGGCATTAGCGATTTAGGCGAATCCATTAATTATTCTCAATCGGTGAATAATTTTTACTCTCTCATACATACTATCTTACTGATTGATTATTGGTGCATATTCTGCTCATACTGATACATTTTTTATTATACAAAGTGGCGTAACGACTGCCCCGCTATTTTCCCCAAATTTTAGGTTTTTTTTTAACAGAAAAAAATTTAATGGTGTATTATCCCGTCCACTTGAACGTTCAATCGAAGGGAAAATATTTAGAGAGTTACAAAATGCCCTCAGGGAGCGGCAAAAGACATTTTAGGGGAGGAAAATGTTTAGTGGGGGCCGGCACGTATTATGTACGTTTTACCACTGAAAAAAGTGGGGGGGGGGGGGGGGGGGGGGTTCACCCTGATTTTTTTTGTGAAACTTGGTTTCGAGACCAACAAACTAGGACCGGTGACCAAACTTTTGAGGGGGTCAAATAGCAAAATACCCTAAACATGCCCAAAAACCAGATTTTAGGTGCTCTACTTGTAGCTAGTGGTCCCCTGAATTAGTATATGAATTTTCATCAAGATTGGACAAAGATGACTGAGTTATGAGCCAAAAACCATATGACCATATTTGGGCATACGCACCAAATTTGATCGATTTTGGCTCATAAATTGGTCAAATATCAATATTTTTGAATGAAACGAACTTGCAGTGCAAAATTCAGAATTTGGCCGCCAAATTTTTTAAAGGCCTAACTCAAAACTCCAATACAAAACTTAAGGTCGAAATGCGATTCTACGTTGATTCTGAAAATTTCATGTAAAAATATTGAAACCCTATTGAGTTCTATTGTTTTGAGCGAAATCAGTTTCGCAAATATCGCGAACTGAGATATGGGCGATTTTGTTCATTTTCTGTGATTATTTGAACACAGAATCCACAGTTAGGTAGACATTGAGCTGATAATCATAGAGAAAGTGTAGTATATGCTTACCTTCCATATAAAGTTAGTTTTATTCAAAAATATTGATATTTGACCAATTTATGGGCCAAAATCGATCAAATTTGGTGCGTATGCCCAAATATGGTCATATGGTTTTTGGCTCATAAGTCATAACTCAGTCATTTTTTGTCCAATCCCCCCCCCCCCCCCCCCCCCCCCCCCCTTAAATCGAAGTGAATAATGCACTTATGATATTTGACTGAAATAAAATCGTGTTAAAATCGTGAATAATTTACAATATTCATAGGTAAGTATGAAATTTGTGATCAGAAATTCCAGCTAAAAGAATTAAAATCCTCCAAATTTGCTAAATCTATCAATAGAAAAGTGCACTTTGTGCGCTAATTGATTTTGTCTCAAATCATAAAATAGCACACGTCATTATTTTAAACAATATCCGAAATACTAAAAATTAATCAAAGCAATACTCATGAATTTAAAATATCAATCGTATTTATAAAAAGCTGATAAGACACATTTTGACATCTTTAAGTATGAGTTCGTTAAGTTTTTGCCTTAGGTTATCGGACATTGGTATGGATGAGGTATAAAAATCAGAGGAAAGTTCAGAAAATTCAGGGACATCAGATTTAGTTCTTTTGTTTTTGAGTTGGGCTACGAAACAGAATTTGTCGTGTTCTTTTGGTAGTGCTCTTTCGAATGTTCTTTGAGGACTCATTCGAAGGTGATTGATCAGCCAGCTGTTATGAACCGAACATAGCCATCGTCAGCGCGCCCTGGTTGAAAATAAATGATATTAATAGATGTGACAGGAATCTATCATTCCGCCGTTCTGTGATCAACTTTATTCTGTTATTCTGCTATTCTGTTATTCTGATATTCTGTGATTCTGTTATTCTGTTATTCTGTTATTCTGTTATTCTGTTATTCTAGGTTGACATCTAGACATGCAATCACTTATCACCCGATTACCGCACTCGTTATTGCACCCTGATAAAATCACATAGTCATTACGATTTATGGTTCACCAAACGTAATTGAAAGTGCTACGATAGCTCTAGAAATATAAAGATAAGTAACTGCTTGTGAGGGAAGGGCTAACAATTCCGTTATTTTATCACCTGTCTGCAGTTACAGAACTATAGAGTTGGTTATCTTAATAATTCAAACAGCCAGTTGAGTTCTCAATATGATCATTTCATCAACATTGTGTATATTGGAAGTGCGGTTTTTGGTCGATATGCTTTGAAAAGATGTGCTCAACTGTTTTGTTTTATTGATGGCTTACAGTGCTTAACGAATTAAATATGTGTCACTGATTCATTACCAAATATTAGCCAGTCCAAAGTTTCGACCACATTGCATCAGTAAACGCTTGCTGATAACAAAATTATATTCATGACAAAATTTTATCAGTTTAGTCCTACAAAATGAGGGAAGTTTTCACCACCAGAATTGTGACTAAAACGAGAATTTCATAGTGACAGTAAAACAGTTCCCTTACCGGTGATGTGTAGATAATTAGACCGCAGAATGCTATCACGAGCAAGACTAAAAATGCTGCGATAATGTACCACTTGTACTTGTCCCAGACAAGAATTTTGAAAATTATGAGCGGCATTAGGAACCAGTTGAACGATGTACTCGGTCGGCTGAAATTGTTGATGTGATAAAAAAAGATGAACGAATCATAACATATCTCACTCTTTTTGATCCTTTTCTATTAATGACAAACAATTATTAATTTCCAGTAGTATTTTAGTGAAATGTTGCATAATCATTAATTCCACTGATTGATATATCAGCCTTACTCTGGCGCTTCAAGGACCGGATGCTCGTTGGGTTCGGATCGTCCTTGTCCGGCTGGCTTTTCAAGAGCCTCCTCTTCAGTCATGATTTCTATCTCCAACTCTACTTTTCCCTTAAAATTATGTTTTTCAAAACCTATTACCACAGTTTAATAGTTAATACGATAATAATTATATTATACGCTCGGAGTGATAGCTTTAAGCCTTATTTTATGTTACTTTAATAATAATAGGAGATGTTTATATTAATGATTAAGTATTATAGAGGCATGAGCATTACAAATGTATGATTATACCGTTAATTCTTTTTCGCCCGTCAAGGTGTCGTCATACACAGGCCAGAAACCTCTGATCTTCTTCTTGTCGATAATAGAAATTTTTTCTGAATCCGGTACCAGGTATTGTTTTAAACTGCATTCTTTGGCACTTTTAGTGGGGGGAGGCATTGCAACAAAACTAAATTCCGTCCAACCTGTTTAAATTGAAATCTTTAAAATGTTATAATTTTTAACAAGGGGTCTTCAACGAGTTGACAAACGACCGTTTCATGCCTTCTGAGAATTCCGAAAGGTGTGAGCCCTATCATTTTACAGCAATAATAAATAAATCTGCTACAGAAGTTTTGAAGTTGATGAGTCTCAATCCCATCCAAAATCCATAGATTAGGTCAAAATTATTACATTGGAAATGTATGCAGAGTAAAAGGTAATGAATGCAGAGTAAAAGGTAATGAATGCAGAGTAAAAGGTAATGAATGCTTGGATGGATGATTTCCAATATTTCTCTATTAAATGAATCAATGCCTTCACCCTCGCAGGGCATGCAATATATCTTCTCACCGATCAAATCATTGTAACTAAGAATGTCATAATCGTAAACTTCAACATGCAGTATAGGAGGAAACTTTTTTCGACTAGCTTCGATTTCATAAAAGTGATCCTGATGGGAATTTATCAGCTGGTAGGCGCTAAGTACATGCAGCTTGTTTAAGAATTAATATTACAAGAGATAAGCTACTTGAATTATACCAGAAACATATTTGCATTACAGTTGTATCAGTATCACTGCATTGCAGTAATTTGTATCAAAGAAAACGAATAGCAGCAAATGTAAAACACTCGGGCAAGACCTTATAACACCGGGATTATATACAAATGGATAACGAGAGAGCAGAAATTCAGCTATTCAGTTTTTGAGAAATTGTCATCAAACTCGAAAATGTAAGACTGATTTCAATTGAGGGGATTTCATTTCCACCCACTTTAATTAGAAGTCAGCCATAACCAGCACAGGGAGCATTTTACACTAACCCAACAAGTCATTGGAGGAAAATATATCATAATCGTAAACTTCTATGTGTAAGTTAGGGGGTTCTTTGATCATCTCCTTAGTCAGTTGAAACATGCTTTTCTGACGACAATAAGTTTGTTTGGTCAGTATTGTATTGGAGAATTTGGATACGTTTGGTAGGTTTAATTCACATGATTTATTGCACATGGTAGAGATTGAATGACTAAAATGCTGAACTTACCCTCTGATAGGTACAGAGCATCTGTTCAGCCAGGAGGTAGTCAAACTCATAGCACATCCTCCAGTTGAAGTTGCCTTCTCCAGTCAAGGACCGGAAATGAATGTCTGTTTCTTGTTGCTTGTTCTTCATCCCTTCCAAATGACTGAGGGTGATTTGCCGTGTAACGAAATTCAAATAAATAATTGAATTAAAATTCAATTACTGGGCCCTTAAAGTGGATATGCTTACTAAAATACTAACATCTTCAGGAATATGTCACTCATCCTTTCTCCCATGAAGTTCTCGTCAGACAAGATAACATCAATGGTGTTCCATACAATAACCCTGAAAAAATGATAAATAAATCACATAAAGTAGTTGCTAACATCAAGGAACCGAAAGAACAAAAGTAGTATAACTTTTAATCCGAAATAAAGATTCCAGAAGATTCCCTAATAATATCCACCTGAGAACCATCTTATCAGTAGCCCGAGGAACGATGTTGATGGGGGGAGGAGGGTTCCTGTCCCAGGGGAATATGTCAACCCACAGATGTAGTTTACCCTGCGAAGTGTGGTTTAATAAAGTCATCCAATTTGATAGCAGTCTGTACATATATATAAATATCAAATTGGCAGTTCAATATACCACAAGTTCTATCTGCAGATATGCTCCAGTCATTAGACTATTAGATTACAAAACAAAACAATAACCTGGGGGATTCCCGGGCAGTCCTCATTGTAGAGAGTCCGTGTCTCGAAGTGTTCAGGAACCACTCCAAGCTCGTGCAGGACATACAGAGCCAGTCTGTGTTCGTCCGACCCAAGTTGCTTGTCATCGGGAGTCTTCTTGGTCTTGGCTGACTCTGTTGGTGGTAATATAACTATATAAATCGATACTATTCATTATTAGTTCATTAGGGAGCTAATGAACCATTATAACCCTCATTTAATAGTGATTAGCGGTATACTAATACAGTATTCCCCCTAATCTGCTGGGGTTATAAACGTTTAAAATGTTTGTAAAGACCCAATTGGCTATTCAGATTCTGAAGCAGAAATCTGGAACGTTTAACTTCACCTAACTACATTGTCGTAGTGCAACATAGCAGGCACCTTATCATTTCGATCCAGTATAGGAGATTATGAAGGCACATAATATCATTAAGATAACTTTTAAGTACCCACAGATGTTTTGAGGTAATAAATTAGTTTCAAATCAATTATTATCCGGTCAAACTAGATGTCACCAAACACATCAACAAGATGTGCTGAACGTCATTCTGACGTTTTAAAGATTTTTAAAGATTTGATGAAATAGCCACTACAATTTTCAATCGACTTGGAATCAGACATGAAGAAAATTACGTGAAAATGTAACTAAAATGAATCCCAACTACAACAAGAACATCGTAGGTTTCGTTCACAAATACGTATTTTCCCAGCACAATGATGTTTACCAGTATCGCTTATATTTGGTTCCTTGTTTCTAAAGGAAAGAGAACTCAAAGAGTGAAATCTGGACATAATGGATTTCGAAGACGTGGTAATGGTATCGACCTCAGGTGGCTCTGAAACACGATAAACAGTTTTCTTGATTAAACAATCTGAATAATGACAGGTGACAACCGGATCAAGAACAACTACAGTATGATGGGTCACACAACTCAAAACTCACCAAAGTACTTCATCTTGTATTCATTTCCGTTTACATAGCATCTCAAGGTGGAGCCTTTGCCTTTAAAGGTGGGCTGAGGCCAGCCTCTTAGGACACATATTTTCTTCAGAAGACCGATAGGTTTAATGTTGTCTCTCCAGCATTCTTTGTTCTCTTTATCGCTGATAATGTTAATTATGGTAGTGAGTGGATATCACTGATTGTAGTGAAACCGACAAAAACCACTGAAACCCAATAAAAAACATTAAAAACCATTGAGGACCGATGAAAACGAATAATTAAAGAAATGACTCACACGATGTACTGTTTGGAGACACCACACCCCGCATGTTTCCAGGTAATGTACCTATCCTCAAGGTCAATAGTCGTGCTACCTACCACGTCATCAGCCCCAATCAGATCGTGATCGTACACAAATATCTTCATCTGACTTTCACGCGGTAAGTGCACATCGAACTCGAACATCCTGTTAACGTTGCATTTTACAGGGAGGGTTGGAATTGCGATTTAGAAAAGTCTAATTTAATTTTAAGGATTACAATTACTAGCCACTTAGTGTTACAGTACAAGGTAAAATGTTCAGTAGACGCGCAAAAAATGTGCCTTACTTTCCAAACTCAGGATTAATTTGCTTGGTAAGGTGGTTAGATTGGTCGTTCTTCACTTCTTTGCCACACTTTACCCATAGATAGGGGTCCACACTGCCACCAAAATCAAGTGGTGTTAAGTTGACACCCTGAAATCATTTCGTCACTTTTACAAGATCGAAATTTTAACTGGATCATGATTATTTGAAACACAATAATTTTTGTTTATAAATAAAAATTACTGTGTTTCAAATAATCATGATCCACTAATCTTATAAAGTTATAAGCTTGTTTTGTTGTCAGACGAACTAATATTACAAGAGAACAGCTACATTAATTGTAATGAAGAAGTACTGTACAGCGATGACGTAGAGTCTGACGAGGACGCGCTCCTCGTCGTTACTGGGGAGGTTCTTAAACATAAGGGCTGGATACTCCCCCTTTTCTGCCTTCTTGTGCATTTCATCTGAGATCGGATAGATCTTGAACGATCCCTGGAAAAACAAACTGTTACAGTAGTCTGTATATGTTTTCATGTATTTACGAAATAACCTCTAAGAGAAACATATAGTTATCACTATTCATTCATTTCATACACAGTTCTCTTATGTAATTCATTAATATCTCCTTATTCTCCCTGACTGTTAAAGCAAGCTGACCTTGAAAAGACCAACATGGGCGTCATCATCCTCGCTATCCTCCTCAAAATCACTGGACAACTCGTTATCTGGTCTCTGCAGTTTTATCACATCCATCAGATCCCTGAACATGTTATGCTCTTTCTCCAACTCATACTCGTACATCTGCGAATGGTTGCAGACGTTTTTAAACATCACTCAAAATATTCTGACAATAAGACGTGAAGGTTCAACTGTTCAAGGACAATTGGGTGAAACTGTTTCCAGATTTAAAGGATATCCAATATATACATGCTGAAGCAGCTGGTAAACGATTATAATAATTTTAATCAGTCCCCCATTAATAATTTAGCTGGCTTACAGCGAGAGTAGGGAGATTACGCTCCTTGAATACTCTAGTCAGACGTTCGTCTTTACCGAGAGCGTGGTAATACTTACTCCACCAATCTGACACGAGGACATCGTCCGGGTGGGGCTTGGTCTCGTCCTCCTGGTGGAACACAATAATCATTGTTACACTGTATCAGGGATTTTATTCGAAAATATTATCACAACGGTCCTCTAAAATATAGAATAATCTTCAGCAGTTTCGAGGAACATCTCATTCTCAAAGGTTCACTAACCTGTTTGAGTTTGCGGGTTTCTTTTCTGGACAGTTTAGAAATACTGCTCTTTGTCTCTGCCTTCTTAGAAGATGCCTTGTCTGATCCTCCTCCTCCTAGAATGCTCCCATTAGTGGAGCGTGGTGCTGTGCTGCCTAGCGGAATGTTAGCTGCGTGCCATGCGGGTACAGGCTGATCAAATCTTCTTGATTAAAGAAACAAAGTAAAGAAACAAAGTAAAGAAGACGAGTTCAAGGTATTGAAGCTTTAAAGGAAGGATGAAGAGAAAAGTTAGATCAAAATGCTTTGGTTGTTTTGTTAGGCCAGCAGATCCGTTCAAAGCAGAGGTAACTTTTATGGATTGCAGTGTGGAATTTAATTAAATAAACTCATTATTACATGACATTTAGTGATTAATGATAATTTTATAAAATGCGTATTTTCTATAAAGGTTTCCGTGCTTTAGGCTTGGAGATGGATATGATATGGTAAAACGAAGTTTAAAAATAAATGATGGTAAATGACGTCTAATGATTTGTTGATCAGCATTGTTTTCCGATGTTAGAAAACCATTTGTATGTATGTAATGTTAATACATAAATGAAAATCGTTTTATAAGCGATCAATCGATTTATACGTAAATAAACAAGGCATAAACTATTGCATAAAGAAACACTAATCGAGAATGAACTTTCATTAGACTTCTATTTATGAGACTTAATGGCAAAATTTCTCATGGGACTGAAGCAAAAGCATTATCAATTTGAATTTATCTATAAGATCGTATCAATTAATCATAATGGAATGATGTTGATGCCGGACGAAATTTTCACACTGCTCATTTTGAAGTGTCAAGAATTAAAAAAATAGCTGCTGTACTTCAGTAAGCCTTGATCATGTGGTCAGGAGTCAAGAAAATATCATCATTATTCACAGCCATGAGGGCCAAGCCGAATTTAATGCCACCAGCATAATATTTAACTTCATAGCCTGATTTCTAGTTGGAACAAAATCTAGTCAGCATACAATATTATTTCATAGCCAGTTTCTCAGTCGGAAGCGCAAGCATTCCTAGCGAAAATGACCTATGGCCACCTAAACTAACAATTTAAGTTCAGCAGTTAAGTTAAGGGAGTCAACTGTCAAGGAAAGAAGACGGTCAAATCATGCATAACCTGAGATATGTTGATATTATGTACTTACCATACCAGGCTCCCAACTTGCCCGAACCTGACCCTCCCTCCGGAGGTCCGTTTGCAGCTAGCGGATCCAGAAGTAAAGGCTTGTCCGGGGACTCCGGTATAAACCCTTCTGACTCTTCAGTTTCTTCGGCTTTTTTCAGAGCCTTCTTCTTGGCATCCTTTTCTGCTTTATATTGAGCTTTAGATTGCTCCTTAGCTTTCTTTTGTCGTTCCTTTTCCGTTTCTTTCATGGCCTTCTCCTGATCTTGTTTATCCATTCTTTGCTGTTTTTTTCTTAGTCTTGCATCCTTTTTAGCAATCTTTTCTTGTCTCTTTAAATCCTTGTCCAACCTTTTCAGTATTTTTGGGTCAGGTTTTTCGCCCGTCTGAGATGCGTCTATTACCCCTTGTGGGATGGTGATGGTTATGTCTGGTACATAACTGGGATCTCTTAGCATGATCTCTGAGAGGATATCAGGGTCTGAAGAAGCTTCTGAAGGAGCCACTTCTGAAAATTGAACAGACGGATTCGCTACCACCACTGAAGGATCAGCTTTCATTGAAGGATCGAATTTTCCTGAACGACCAGTTTGCACTGATGGGGCAGTTTTTAACGAAGTTTTTATCGAAGGATCTCCTTTTCCTGAACGACCAGTTATGGTTGCTGAAGGAGTACCTATTTGGCTGAGATGAGGAGCTGAGTCAGTTTGTACTGTGGGGGCGGGTGAAGGAGTTCGTGAAGGAGCAATAAATATTGAAGGGGTAGTATACCATGAAGGAGTTTTGCCTGATGAATCTACTGAGGGATCTACTGAGGGATCTACTGAGGGATCTACTGAGGGATCTACTGAAGGAGCTATTAACGTATCTACCGAGGATACTATTGATGGTGCGATTGAGAGGTTTGAAAATATTAAAGCTCCATCTCCGGCTCCTTGCTCGCTGGCTGGCACTGCGGAAATAGTGAAAGTGAATATATGGTGCTTGATATAGCTTTTTTCCATCCCAAATCCAAAATTATGAGTGTTCGTGCCATTTTGGGTACAAATTTCTGGGTTAGAGGTGCACTGGGGTAATGTTAGTTATGAACTTTGTGCTATTCGTGTTAGGCGTGCGTTAAATTGCTGTGCTATAACTTTTCGTTGAGGCTTCATACTCAATACTCATACGTTTCTTAGTATTGACTTTTCCCTTCCTTGGCTTTTCTGTGTGTTTCTTTGTTGTAAACTTTTCTTTACCATTATTTTGGCCAGTCTCTGTTTATGTACGAAAATTGAAATTAAATTTGTTTTTCTTATGGCACACAACAATTTCCAGTGAATGCAAATAGCAACACAAAAAGTTCATCAATTAACAGGAACCCATAAGTAAAACCTTGTCCAATCATTTACCTTCAACAGGAACAGAAAGATTGCTCCCTACATCTACCTCAATGTTGAGCGAAATTGAACCTCCATCATGATACAGATCCAGTATACCTCCCTTATCCCCCTCTACAGGAGCTATCGGCTGGAAGGTTATAAATATAATCTCAAAAGTGTGAATGGGATTTGGAGATTACATGAAGATATATCTATTATCTACATTATTAAAGCACACCACACTGTATCAATTATTGATATTGTTTAATATCTCAAGACACTCTTCTCGTTTGGTAAACCAAAACATTAACGATAACCATCGGTTAGAACTATCGACTATAAGCATCACTAGCATATTGTGATCGATGGATGAAAGCTTTAAAAGTATTGAAAAAGTATACGCTGACGCAGAATATTCCACAGTGTACCATCCAGTGATAAGCTTACCTCTTTACCCTCCTCAACATCTAGAACAGTGTCACCCATCAGCTCTTTCAACAGATTTGCATCCTTTGATAGGGCTGGAAATAAATACTAGTGATTGTACAAGTTAGCAAAATATAAAATATCATCACAGAAGGTTCAAAGTATTACAGTTATAATTATGTTTCGATCGATGGTCGATCATACTTGAAATGCGGTAAAATGATGCAAACGATTAAATTTGTGTGGAAATGTGCTGAATTATATTTAAAAGTGTCGACTGCTAATTGTAAAGCTATGTGCGAAGGTGCGGAGATGGGCAGATTATGCATCTGCTTTTATACCGCACCTTTCTGATACTCTGTCATATAAACTGAAATAACGTGAGCTTTAATAGCTCAGGTCTGGATTAAATCTACACAAGACCTAGAGTACTGAAAACAAGATTCAGAGATACAGGTTCAGGGGGAACTAAGATAACTCACAACTTTAAACCACAGCTCATGTATTCCAGCAAAGTTTCGCTGAATATTTTTCATCTTTTTAAGTTCAAATTGATAATTTACAAAATGAACAGCTTACGGTATTGTTTAAAACAATAAAAAACAAACAGACAGTTAAACGATTTTCTTACCTTCAGCTTCGCTAGCATTGTAGGTACAACGGTAAGGAGCGTACTCCTTGATAGTCGCCACTGCTATGAGAGGTGTGTATCCGAATGCTCTGATAACGATAAGATTGTGAAGATAATGTAAGGATTATAAAATAATGCAGTAAATATTTTGCATCATTCAAAAGAGATTTAATAAGAAACGAACTAGATCTGACCTGTTGTCCATGACTCTTATATTAATGGGTGGTAGATACTCCTCCTCCACGGGAAGCCACACATCGAAGAACTCGTAAGGGTTGTTAAAGTTGGGATGGTGCTTACAACTGGTGATCTTCTCTACGCTTATCCTCTCACCTCCAACTTCAATATCAATATGGGGTGACTCGACGGGTAACATTTTGTAGTCCTTCATCAACCGTACACCCCACGTTAATACCTGTTATTGGGCATACTGTCATAACTTGGGGAAATTGCAAAGAGTTAACAAATGTTATGAAAACTTTACGTGAAGACTGAAGGTAGTAAAATTTACAAAATTTACAAGAACCGGATGTATCTTGAACAGCACTTATATTTTAGAGCTCTTTTGAAAACACCCCTAATCGCTTAAATCCTAACAATTCTCCACTAACCTCGACTCTCATAAGCTGCTTTTCAGGACTAATTGCAGGTGGAACAATATACTTCATATTTTCAAACGGTGGCATTAAAGGTAGCTCTATCCCTCCGTCTCCAAGTTTGAATAACTCAAATGAAGCTAAGATATCACCTTTGGATTTCTTGACCCCACCGATTTCGTACCATTTGAGTTTGGTACACGTGTATCTCCCACTTGTGAACATGGTGGGTGTGCAGACTACTCGACCTAGTTTGTCGTGAGACTGAAGGGGGGAAGGTGTCATGAAATCAGTAAATAAAGACAATATTACCCACATTTTGCAGGTCTAAGTTACTTTGTTTATTTAAACTAAATTAGTTCCACAAGACACAACCCTGCCGAGATGATGGGACTCACCAGGACGTCTTCGTCGAATACATCTACAACGATAAAGGGAGGGTTGCTGGCAATATCCTCGGGGTAACCACAAAGCTCCACAGCATCCAGGACCAATGTGGTATTCCACACCGGACTACAAGTCTCCTGCAGAAAGGAACGGTTAATGTTCCAGGGGATGCCTCCTCTTTACCACTATTGTAATCGATTCTATCTTTAAATTTATTAAGTAAAAATGTTTGACATCATATCTTTGTTTTCAGGATGGTAACAGTGTATCATGGAGTCTTGCAAGACTTTGACATTGAGATGATAGTACCTTCATGGTGTGAGTAACTGCACTCCGGTTGCCGAACACGACTCTGGCGTAGGGGTCAGAGTAGCCGGACGGATCCGCTCCTAACACACCCCTGGCTTGGTAGAGATACGCTCTCAGCTGGTACTTGTGCACTTGTTTCTCTGGACAGACAACAGGTCAATCATAGCGAGTATATAAATTTATTGATGTGCACTGTTAATGTTTTCGGTATGGTATATACCGGTTTTACGGACAATAATAATGAATTCTTACCGTCATATTCGGTGATTATTCTGGGGGAAGTGTGAAATATCCTGGCAGGCTTGCCCGCTTCAGCCACTTCAGTGATCTTGAATGATACAGGTCTGGGGATGCTGCTGACCAGTTTCCTGTTATACCGCCTCCTTCTCACCATGTCGAACTTCCTCTCTTTGGGGTGGAACTTAGTCGTGAAGATCTTACTGTACTCCCAACCGTCAGGGTCAATGTCTCTCTTTTTCTGGGAGAATGAGAATACTGTTAGTCTAAACTTCGTTAAGGCATCTTTTATAATGCTCAAAATTGTGAATGAAACTTGTAGTGAGTATTGCAAGGAAATGTAAGACGATAATGAGAAGGAACTCATAATTATGACTCACGATCAATGTCATATCGCTGACTCTCTCTCTAGTTCTAACCCACTTCTTCCTCCTCGACAGATGGTAGCTCCTTTCTATTGGACTGTAGCTTCCTACGTTCGTGTCCATTGCGAACTCCCAACCTAAGGCCGTGACTCGTGAATAGTTTTTAAAGGATTTTGATCTTTTTGGAGGTACTACAGAAAATTTAGTCAACGAGGATATGAAATTAGGAACTTGAAAACATAACCAAAAAAGGCCGTCCAGTAAATATGTGTAGTAATCTCATACCTGACGCATCCACAGCTCTGTTGGTGTCTACTTCCCAGTCAGCAATCCACTGCCAACCCTCTACACACTCCACCTGGTCTTTAGAGTTGGCTTCGTTCCCTTTCTGGAAAATAAAACAGCTCTTAATACAAATACAAATAAGAAGGAAAAGATAACAGACTTTGAACTTTCGCTGATTTGAATCTTATTAAACGTTTATGTGAGAGTAAAACTAACGACGTCTTGCCACCAAGTAGAGGAAAAGTTGCCTCCCCACGAAGTACCAGGTATTCTGGTCTCTCCCTCATACACTACATCAGTAACCTCTGTGGGAAGAGGTTCAGTGACAAACTGCTCATTGTGGATGTAGCAAAGTTATTGTAAAAATGGCGCAAATGATTTCCTCATTTCCCAAAATGAACATAATCACAATTGTTTACCTCGTAACCCAGATTCGTTATCGTAAGTCAAACTGCGGTCTATGGAGATGAACCAATCCTCAACAAAGGTCCAACCCTCTGGAGCATCGAACGCTTCAAGAGGCAAAGAGTACTGGGATAACGATGGTTAGACAGGTTTTACTCATAAAACGTTTGTAAGTGTTTAAGAAGAACTAATGGTAAACATACACTAGTAGCTCGCAATCGAGACTTTTCTTCGATACTTTCTACAGCTCCTAAACATCCCTAAACTATAAACACATACCTTTCCGGTGGTGTCGGAGAAGATAGGTCTTGGGAGAAGTTTAGTGGTCCAGCTGCCAAGTACTGACATCTGGTTCTCGTAAGTTTCAGCGAACACTACTACCTCTGAACCCCGGGGAGGTTTGAACGTCTCCGATACATCCTCAAACTTGCCAAACCACAGAGATAGGGTTAAATGTGCAGCTATTTCTTCTGATCTTGGGACCTGATTAGTGCAAAGTTACTTATCTTGAACGGTTTAGACTTAACATTCGTCAATGATAAGAACTAAGAAGTTATCTCATATTTATTAAGGGGTGGTAGAGTGATTACAACTTCATTTAACTTAGTTTGAAGAGCACCTTGAGGAAGAAGGAACCAGTTGTTCCGCAGTGTTTCCCTCTTTTGAATTTAGATTTAGAGTACATCAGTTCGTTGATTGGAATCCTGTGATAGGCAACCCTCTTCGTACCGGTTATCATCCAAATGAATACATCAGGTATGCCTAATTGGGGCTAAAAAACGTAATAAGTTAAGAACATGTTATGACCCATAACTCGATTAAGTAGTTGTCGACAAAGTATAATGGACATTTGTTCCAAATGACACAAAAATTACAACGTCTAATAATCTTCCAAAATTAAGCAGAGATTAGGAAACTAAGAAGATTCCATATTCACCTCTACACAGAGCTCCTCAAGTTTTTCTAACACTCCCTGCAGTCTCTTCACTTTGTCTTGTCGGGGAGCAAAGTAAAGTCTGCCGTCCTCCATCATGGCTGTGATCTCGTCAATCATGTTGTTCTAAAATAAACAAACTTTTAATCATTGAGGACGAAGCTTTCATTTTGATGTCTTCAGCCAATTCAGCAGCGATATTTTAAATTAATTTGGCAGCCAATCAGCTCAACGATTTGAACACATTTCCGATCAGCAGCATTCATTTTATCTAAATCAGGGAATTTACAGTTAATTCTGTGTACTTCACCAATGTTTAAAAAACTAAATTAAATGTTTAACAATCTCTCTCATAACAGGTGCACATGCGACCTTACAGTTGAAGTGTTGTTGGGCCCTCATATGTAATCTGGTACCTTTGGTCACGTGATTATATGGAAATACCACCAATCACCATATACATGTGCATTGTGTGTGCTTGATATTTAGTGAACCCTTATTACTTTATTATTTGTCAAGGCATCATGTCACATTTATATGAAAATATGTTATGTCAGCACTGACCAATGAGTGCCCTGTATAATGTATAACTATACTCAGCATTACCTATCTATAAGGACATTCTTTTTCAGAGGGATACCTCTTCAAAGAAGCGTATTTCCAAATACCTGCTCATTGATAATCTTTCAAGAGAAATGCTCCATTTATTTAAGTAAATATAAAAATCAACACTTACGATTTTGTCTTCCCCCATAGCTAACATTTCATGTGCCTTCTGCTCTTGCTCCCGTCTCGTTTCTTCAAAATGCTTAGTTCTGACATCTCAGATTCCAATTCGAACTGACACTCGATAAAGTAGTGCCATCCAAATCATCCAGCTTGGAAGCTAAATCTGACCCAAGGACGCTTATCGCATCATCTGCCTTATCAGCTAACTGTACAACAGTTTCTTTTGTTTTCTGAACATCCTCTGCGAATTTCTCTCTCAGAGTTCGAACTCGTTTAAGAAAGGTGTTTCCGAGGGGTGTCTCATCAGTTGCCTCGGACGCAGTGGTTACGGTAAGTTCTCCGTTTTCCTCAATATACTTATTAACAATACTTTCGTTTGTTGTTATTTCGGGGGTGATCGGCGTAAGGGGCTCGCTGCCATCTATATTTATAGGCAAGTCATCTTTGATGAATTTCTTCAGTTTCCTGTGTTTCTTTAGTTTCTTTTTAGGTCTGTCGTCCCAGTCCCAGTGACCCTAACAAATTCGTGCAAAATCATTGTACATGCACATTACATATTCATTCATCATATCAAATCATTCGGCATGCGGCTTTCAAAATCATTCACAAGTAAAATATAAATCATCTGATTCCAACCAGCCATGATCAATGATGCAGCCCGTAAAATAAATGTCAAATACTTTAATCAGCAATTTTCAGACATGTTTACAAAACTTACAATGGAAAACATCCTCTGCTCATAGAGCTTCTTATCAAGTTCGGTGCAATTCTCTGGTGGCTCTTCTATCTCTGTTCCTCTAAAGAAGGTTTGTCGCATAACATATTCTACCTTATTTTAGTCAAGATTGTGGGAACTAGTTAGTAGTTACAATACTTAGCTAGTCAGCTCAATGACTGGTAAGAAACCAAACTATTCACTAAACTAGACATCGAGCGGTCCCTTGATTACAAAGCCAACTTTTGAAATGTCCTATGTATACTCACTTTAGGACAGCAAGAAGTTCCTGGAGGTTTGCATCGAACTTATCTTCCATCTCATAATCTTTAGCATAGGCTTTTTCTAGCGTATGGTACTGTTCTATTTTCTCGGTCTGTAGGAATGGTGGCATCATTAATTAAAACTTACAGGGGAGACGATACGATTGATAAGTTGAAATATCACTAAAATAACCCTCAAACAAAGTTCCCAAAACTAAAGACGGCAGTTACCATGAAGTCCCACATCCAGATCAGGGTGTTGAGAGCTCCCACTCTGTAGTCAACGTCCTCCCACTCCGAGTGTAGGATTACTGTGGGCTTGGTGCGGCTCCAGGGCATGAAGTGGTACTGTGTACCGTCATAAACTGGGAATGTACGGTTATCAGAGGTGTGAGGGCTAAGTATCTAATGTAAGAACTCTCTGATTTGGGAAAAACATATGAAGTGGTAACATTTGTCTAACATTTGCACTTATCGGAACTGATCATTGATCAAGTATCCAAAGTACCTGGATTGCATGGCTGCGTTGTTGAAGGAGCTGGGTCGGACTGAGGGGAGAACTTGTTGCCATAGTCACCGACACTGACTTCGAACTCGACCTGATTCTCCTTCTCACTGATCATGTTCCCTTGGAAGAAGGACGCAAACAAATGGTACTTGTGACGGTTCAGATTCATCTGACGGGGAGAGTAGTTTAACAAATACTTCTAAATAACAACTGCTACGATTAAAACTTAACGTGTGACTGGAGTACCACGGTTGCCTGTTGAACTACTTGAATACAGTATATTACGTCATGCTGAGACAAACTAACCATGATACGATCCACTTCTTCCTGTTCGATAGGGGTAATGGGTTCCTGTTCTTCAGGGGGCAGCCCCATGCTGGTTGATATATCCACAAGGATCCTCCCTCTATATGCTATACCCTCCTCCTGAAATAATGATCAGGTTTAACTCTACTATTCCAGTCATGATTAGACCACATTCAAAAAAATGTTTTGTACTTTTATAGAACATTGGAAGAAGTATCATTTCCACCTTTCCACGTGCATACGTAATAAGTTTGAGATTTTTCGTACTTTTTTACTTTCGTAGCAATTGACGCCTTTAGTATTTGAGTGTGCTATTCAATTAGCAAAGTAGATATAAGCCGTTTAACGTTCAGTGTCGGCTAATGACCAAAACCAAAACCAAACCATAGTTTTGTTATATTATATTGTGATTCCTCATGTAAAATGTGAAGGTGTACAATCTTATTCTTTTTGTCTATTTAAAAATAATATAAAATAAAATCGATGTTCGGAGCAAAAACGGTTTTGGTGTATCTCCCCTTAAGACAGTCTTATCAGACACTGAGGTATATTAACAATAAAGGAACTGATTGGACTCACAACTCCGTGGTTGAGCTCGGAGAACTTGTCGTACACGTCACTGTACTCCCGGTGTGAGCCGTAGAAAGGAATGTAAGCAGGACCGAACATGGGTAGAAAACCAGTCCCAGACTCCACTGAACTCTGGGATATCTCTCCCATCTTCAGGAGTTTGGTCGCTACCAAATCGTCCACCGCGAAATCGTCACTGAGCGATGAGATGTCACTATATAAGTATATAAACCATGGAACATAGGGTGAATTTATTTTCCAGATAAAATTCTACATCAAATTTAATGGAGTGTTGAGCAAAACATTTATAGAAACTGATAAGGAATTCCAAGCTCCCTTACTTGTCGTATATCTTGAGTATGAGGTTCTCTGCTATGCTGGGAAAGTCCCCCTGAAGAATGAGCAGCTCGTTCCAGATTGGGTCGAAGCTGCCTTCAATAAAATTGTTTTCTAAACTCTTCCCTGCAAACTCCACCACGACATACGGGTCCACCAGCTCTTTTGGTGGCGCCTGAAAATACACAGACTCTGTTTATCCGTGCATTTTGTGTCCCCAAATTCAACTCACATAAATTAAAAACTAAAAATCATGTAATTATGTATAATACTCGCATAGTTCCCTTTACACTTACGTTCTCGTCAGTTCCTTTTAGCAAAGCCTTTACTCCCTCAAACATAGCAGTGTCCACTGAAATACAAATTATTCGTGATCAAAACCCAAATCTTGCATTAAATAATAAATGCAAATTTGATTAAATCTTTAAATATTTCTAAAGTTCAAAACATATGTGCTGAGAACAAGTTGTAGCCTCATTAGCTCATATCATTGTCGACTACTACTACTACTACTATGTCGGAACTAAGTCCGATCTAAGCCAGATAACCCCCTCCATATATCCCTGTCCCGCATCAGGGTTCGCAGTTCCTCTTTAGAGTTTGTCGAGGAACGCCAATTCTAATGAAGTTAAAGATAAAAAGGCCACTGAATGCATCATTTAGGTTTAATAGTATTAAAGAATGCTATCAATTATCTAACTCAAAGTTTTGATTTCTTGTGAGTTGCAGCCAATGCTCTTAACCCTAACAGATTGAAATTAATATGGAGTGCTTGATACAGTGCTCATTTTATGCTTTTATCACCTTCAGCCACCTCTTCCTTTACATCTTTTAATGGGTTGTGGGGTAATCTAAACCCTTTCTTACGATGGAATAAGGAGAGGATTCTTGACTCACCTGGATAAGGTATCTCACATTACCCTCCCGTTAAATTTAAAATGTTTTGGAACCTGATCGCTCAAACCATAATTTCCGATTTACCAACACAAGAACTCACTTTGAGGTATGTCCTCTCCATTTAAGAGCTTTACCATAAATTGTCCAGGTTGTAGGACTATGCCGGGAGGGAAGAAGACATTGTCAGATCTGTCAATTTCTTCGTCCCTCAACTTGGGTAGGGCTTTAGCCTCGTCGCCGGGCGGAATGATTTGTATAGACACGTTTATATATCCCTGGAGAGATGAAAATATAGTACAATAGATTACAATATAATCTATTGATATATTATATTATTATAATATATATCAATATATCTATATTATTATAATCTATTGATTATACTATTACAATCTATTGATATTATTATAATCTATTGATATTATTATAATCTATGGATATATTACTACTAGTTTAGCTCTTTCTAGTCCCCTGCTACACGGCATGTAAACAGGGATTGGCTAGTTAGAGGCGGTCCGTGTAGGCCTTACACTGTGCTTTCAGCAATACTCATAAGTATTTCCGTGGCTGTGGTTGCAATGCGCCTAGTCTACTGGAATGATTCTTCGGAATTTCGCTGGATTGTACAACTTTCGTCTTGGTAGATTCCAAACACAAGGAAATTTTCCTTTTGGTTGCTAATATACTCAATGATGGGAGTATAGTGGATTGGCTATGCCCCGCTTACTAGTTTAGCTCTTTCTAGTCCCCTGCTACACGGCATGTAAACAGGGATTGGCTAGTTAGAGGCGGTCCGTGTAGGCCTTACACTGTGCTTTCAGCAATACTCATAGGGTCTCCATTGCTGGTAAACAATTGGAGAAAGTTTTTATAGATGACGTTTCATGACTGTTTTTATCGAGAACATGTCTAAGTAAATCGCAAATTGTTAATCTTATCTCACTTACCGTCAACCCGTCTTGAGGTTCATCTGGGTTTTGAAGAGCTATCCACTTGTAGAACAGGTTCTTCCCCTTTTTTACCCAGGCAACAGCTAGATCACACTGGGAGTGAAAGTGTTATATCACTCGGAAATTAACCTGATCGTCAGCTGTGCAGCTGTAATCAGAAGGCATACCTTTAACCTTAATATAACCTTTTAACCAATTACTGTTCAGAATGTCAAGATTATGAATTACCCCCTTTTAACAGGTGTGTTTCAGTAACTAGTATATAGACAGTCAATCGTTAACGCCCTCTACATAGTGAAAGTGCCGGCACTTTTGTGCGCTTATAAGGGATAAAGACGATCTGTAACTATGAAAGTTCGTCTGTGCAATGTTCATGTGAAAGTAGTAAATATGCGTTATAAAGCTATTATAATAGAGGGGATATTAATTATAATATATCCCAAACCTTGTAGAGACCGATCAGAGAATACTGGGGCGTTTTAGCACTGTCGATAACTTTAATCTCAACTGGGGTATTCACTAGATCCACTTCTGACTTGGTTATGGAAAACAGTACTGTCTGAAGAAGTGAGAATAAAAGTGTTAAAAAGTTCAAAAATCAATCTACGGACTGAAATATTTAGGGTCGATAATAAATAATAATAATCAATAACAAACAGGATATTTCGAACAAATGTTTGTTCAATAATGATTCTCAAAAATGTGAATCCCACCAACCTCGTTCCACTTAGGATTCTTGCCCCGCTTCGCCTTTGTCCTGAGGACCTTATTGGCGAGATGTATTCTGACGAGGGGGGCGGTTATAGCACCACTCAACTTCCTGGCTTTGTGCACTATGAACCTGACCTGGAACAGCTCATCCTTCTTTGAGAGGGTCTCCGGGTTGATACGCTCGTGAGCCTCTCTGTAAAGTTGGAGGATTACAGTTGCTGTGATTAGTGCTCTATTAACATTCAATAAATTTATTTCTAACCCAATTTTTGGATAATTGAGCGTCTCTGACAGTTCCACTACCGTCTACCCTGGATCATTAATACTACATAAATTCTTAAATTACACGAGGGATCGCTACCTTGTGATTTAAAATACACCGCTGACCACTGTTTCCATGATGACCTCAGAGTGAGCTGACTAACACACATGGCACAGTGCACACTTAGAGAGGATGTGCAAACTGAGATAGCACTTTACGCAGTAGTTTGGAGAGGGCGTGTACGATTGTACATTCTAGATCACTAAGCAACTACACAAATTTAGCTTTTTGTGCTGAGTGTGTGACGTCAATAACAATGAAGGAATGGTCCAAAGATGTAGGATAAGATATTGAATATTGAAGTAAGATCTGAGTTCTCTTACGAATATTATTTTCTAGATCAACATTTTATTGAAAAGGACAACTTACTGAACATCAGCAGTGTAGCCAGGTTCTGGTTCTTTCTTCTTCTTCTTCTTCTTTCCCTTCTTTCCCTTCTTTCCTTTCTCTCCATCTTTTGAATCTCCGTCTACTTCATCATCTTCATCTTCTTCTTCCTCATCTTCATCTTTTTTAGCCTGGGAGGGTTTAGAATACGTCAGGGAAAGATGTGTACTAATAGAATATGTAGTTTATGATTTTAGAATAATATAACTGTATGTGATTCAAGTTCCCAATTGTTTCAGAATTTAACCACATTTCTTGGCTGATCCGTTTAAAACATCTTCCCTGACATCAAAAATACATCACAGTGCTTTAATGCCATAATTGTTCTAACAGAATGCCCAAGTAGCCTTTAATTAAGTCTTAACTTGGTAACTATTATATTAAGTATTCGTAAGTAATAACATTGTGGAACTTCTGCCATATAATTATAGTGCTCCACGATATTTACTAATCTCAATTTAAACTTTAATCATTAATAAAACAATTATATTAAGTATCCGTAATAAAAATAACTCTGCGCTTACTTAAAGGTAAATACACCTTCACTGACAAGACGAAGAAACCAGTGTCAAACATTTTGCTGCCGAAAGTGGCCCCACTAGTCAAGATGGAATGCTTTGGATAGCCAATAGATGCACGGTTTTTCAGTTTAAATCTACTGCACTAACAAATTTGATCACCAAATCAGCTAAAATCAATCAATAATAAAGGAAATAAAAGGTGCAGCGATATGAAAGGAACAACGCCTGCAAAAAGAAGAATCGTAAATAAAGAATACACAGAGCATTTGATATTGAGAATATCATCACCAAAATGACGTTTCGTATGCACTATATTTGCTCATAGTACATTTAAGCGTTTAAAGCCACACTTCCTGCATATCGATATCATGGTCAATCAAGACACTCTGCTTAGATCACAAAACCTCGAAGAAGATCAGCAAAAAACCATCTATATTCTATAGGAAGTCTAATGAGAAGAAAAGGAACCTTACATTCCGTGTCCTACTCCCAGTTCTGGAATCATCCGAGTTTGCTCTACCAAAGGGAGCTGTAACCTTGTCAGCCGCTTTATATTTGGCTTGGTTCGCCTTACGGATTGCAAGAAACGTTTCCATGGTGATTTGGTGTTTAAACAAGACAAACAAAACACGATGGATTAAGCTAAATTGGTGTGGGTAGTATGTAAAGTCATGCTCTGCTTACACCTTTATTTACTAATGATTCATCGTATGTTCTACTCCTGGGGATGACATGTGAGTGGGGTTACCGAATAGTTCGGTAAATATACGGAGTCCAGTATTCAGTATTCGGTTCGACCGAATATTCGGTCGAACCGAATGCAGAATATTTGATGACTCAGTACATGTGACTGACTGTACCTTAGGCTTAAAAGGGGTGTGGAACAGTGGGTATAACATCAGCACGTAACAATTACAGGTTATGGGTGGTTGCTCTGAACAACTCAAATAACTACATAATAAAAACCTGGCAAACCAACTCTAATGAAATGTGATTTGGGAGATTAATTGTGTGAATGTAATAGAAACTCTATTATCGTAAATTAATCTCATTAAATCTATACTGATTGAGACCGTCGAGAAATCACCAGTTTTAGTACGTTCTTTATTCTACTTCTAATGCTTTATAACGAAGGGCCGGTATAGCTGATGACTTTCTGGTAGCTGGTAAAGTGGTAAAGTTTGACAAAAAACTAAAAAGCTAATGAGTCATCCCTACAAACTTAATCCACGCAATTCTAGATTAATCAAACAATTATCACACAGCGAGAGTTGAGACCAGCAAAATATCACAAAATGGGTATTGTGGGCTTTACGAATAAGAAACCTCACCACCGACCAGACAAAATGTGGCCAACAGTATAAGTCACTAACTGACCAGCTTTGGTGCCACAGATCTAAAAAGGGGTTAGGTGGGCGATATGCACTACGAAAATCTACACTTTATAATGTAGATGAGAGACGTGAGTGTGGTATGCGTGTAATGTAGGGGGAAAAAACACAGGCCCTGCGCGCGTGACGTCATCGTGATATTAGCCAATCAGCTGCGAGTTTGTCCTCACCCCCGTTATTTCCTGAATAAGTTGTCACGTGTGTGGTCGCCGTGCTACTATTTGTAACTTCTCCGACTAGCTATCAGTTACGAACTTCTCTTCTTCTGACTGGGTATCAGTTAAATCAACGACAATAAATTCTTTGACAGACAGGACAGCGAGATACTTCGTCATCATAGTTGTTTGTTTGCTCATGGATCTACCACAAGGTTCCTCAGTTAAATCCCCCTTCCGTTAAACTTGTTCTTACACAGTTACACCGGACATTCATGTATTGATATAATAAATGTTTTGATTAGAGTTAAATTTAGTTTTTGAAACTCAGACCCCATTAAGAAAATGTAACTGCCATTCAAATTTCAAACAAAGAAAAACTTACGTATTTAGCATCAAATTCGCGTGGTTCAAATGATTTAGCTGGCACCTTGGACCTCACAAGTGATGTGGCTTCTCCAAGTTTATCCAAAAACGGCATAGAAATAAACCAGATAACAGACAAGCTGCTCCGATCTCAAAATAAATAAAACGCTAAAACACTACGCATAAATATTTCCACACCAACTCTTGTTCTTATGTTAAATTAGCGTTAATAATTTGCACAAGAGAGCCGTGTGATAAAACAATAGAGTACTGAAACTGAAAACATTGGTATCTCAGCCAGGCTGCGGGGGTATCCAATATTGACACTTTACACACTTTATTACAGCGAGACCTGGTACCAGAACCCGATGTGGTGGAGCACATACCTCTTTGTCACCCATAGTTCTCTGAAGTCATCAACACCAGGGATCACACCTGCTCCTCAACAAACACCCTTGTACATCTTAAGAGAAAAGTTGACAATCGCGTAACAAAAGTACTATAAGCATGTGAATAAACCGGACTAATGCCACTGGCTGAGTGGACAAAGCACGGCAAGCGTCTGATATTCGATCGCCGGTTTGGACTCGGTGATAACAGTGGCAGAGTGTACTTCATGCAGTGTACAAACCCTTGCCTCACAATGAACAACCCTCATGGAGCTTTTCAAACCGCACAAAAAAGTTACTGGTTATAACCGCAGCTGCCATGGGTAAAGTAGTCAAGAACAGTTCTAGAAAATACGAACATCACCGATCAACCGTGGAAATCTCACCTTCTTTATTTTGAGCATACGCATGTTGAATCAGCACTGTAGTGGAGATGGCACCAAGTAAACAACTCAACTGTAAAGATTGTTGTACCTTGATCTGGACCCCCACCCGACGAGACATCTCCTCATAGGATACCCCACCACCACAACACATGACATGACCGCCTACACCCCTCTTAGGTCTCAACCAATCACCTGCCTCCATTCTCCCGCTCAGCCAATCAGAGACAGAGGTCATCTCACGGGATATGTTGAGGTTTTACTACCTCTAACGTAGTAAACTGTACCCTTTTAATAGATTTTCAATTACAAATTTCCAACTTCATGTGATTCAATGCCTTTTCATCCACATTTTGATTCCAGGTCAACTTACACAGCAGGGGAATCCGAAAAGTTGATACTTTGATACGTGAAAATATGCGGTTTGAATTTGCGTCGTGAAAAAGTTTGAGATGATAATTCAAGAGATGATAATGACCTAACGAGGAACTGTACCAATGTACCATTTGTATGAGAGTAAGAGCTTCATTAGACCGAACAGAAGTTGTGCACTATGCTGTTCACTGCCGATGATGGAATAAACTTCGTATTAAGGGAGTTACACAGTAAAGACTAGAGTTAGAGCGCGGTTACCGTACCAGCCGGCTAAAAGCCATTTTAATTGCATTTCGAACAGTACCATGCCTTTTCATCCGGCTCGGCCACAATTCTTTCTCTCTTTTAAGGAAAATCAATGTTATAATATTGTTTAAACACACTAACAAACACATGTAAACAACGTACTCTATACTTCTATAGCATCCCATTCGCAACCTATTATCTTAATGCAATAACAGCACTCTAGAACTCAGAAGTCCTGGGAATCATTTCAGAAGTGCACTCACACTTCTAGTCGTTCGCGTTAGGGCCAATGATACGATATCAAATCCTCCTCACCATTAGACAACGTGACGGCAAATGGAAACCTGAAGAGCTGAAGAATCTATCATCCAAGAGACAGAAATGTAATATTAAACCGTCAACGGTTTTAATTCTTAGTAAAACTAACAAGAAACCTTGAGATAATGTCGGCTTGAGAAATGAATCATTTGTTGGCACAGGACTGCATCAGATTATGTAGCAACTTATAAAATTGGAACTGCTCACTGCACAATCTTTAGTATCAAAAAGATTAAGTGCAAATTTTAAATAGTAGTAACTTAAGTGTACAGTTTATTAAAGCAGTAACCACGCCAGCACACATAGTAACTATGCAGTAACCACAGTAACCACGCCAGCACACACAGTAACCACAGTAACCACAGTAACCACAGTAACCACAGTAACCACAGTAACCACACAGTAACCACACAGTAACAACAGTAGCCACGTCAGCACACACAGTTTCGAACAGGTGATGCTTTAATTGATAATTCTGGATCATCCTTCAGTTACTAACCTTGCCACCTTGCCCTTGGAAATAACATAAAAATCCTTTAAAAATTAAATTTATTTTTTTAAACAGCAATTTTAAGCGTCCGTAATGTTAATGATATGGTTAATTGCGTCCGATAGGATAATGACAAACCTTACTATGGTGCAGAAGATTTTTCGGCATATGAAGATGGGGTCTGTGAGGCATGGTGTTTCTGTGGCAACAAAGCAAGAGCTGGAATCAGTACCTTTAACAACCAAAACAAAATATACTCTAATGTTCTACACCAAGTACAAACAGGGGTATAGTAGAATATAGTGTAAAAGTAAAATTACTTAATTACTAGTATCACACCGATAACTATACCATAGACAATAATAAAAGGAGCTACCGCACGGAACGCACGTACCACTCTGGTAAGTAAAGAATAGGAGGACAATTATAAAGAGAAGGTTTTGAGAATGTCTGCGAACAAAGAAATTCCTTACACCTCTTTAACGGAGTAGTTGTATATCTTCTTAGTTCAGAACAACATCTGTGTACTACGTGTGCTTGCCGCCTTGCTTGGCATATTGGCCCTGTTACAGTGTTACTAGCATAAGGGCACAAAAGAGTACCACAACGCTTCCGGCCACTACCCCATCACTCCACAACCAGCCTACTCATCTTATCCAAAAACGTTTTGCATATAACGTTATTCTGTTATTGTACACTTCGAACCAAAAAAGCATCTTATTGGTATATTTTCACGATTGAAACCGTTCAGTGTTTATTGTGCTGCTCACGGTTAAAATTATGTACGCTTTCTTTTGCCAGAAGAATAGTCATTTTTAAAAGTCCCCAGTCAGACCTATCTTGGACGGCCTTTATTTGAGCAATACCATATCGGACTTTATTTTAACGAATATTATATGGACGCTTGGCCTAGAGTCGTAGAGTCAGTTGAAGTAAGGTCGGTCCATTTACTCTCCATCCGATACAAGTCAAAATCGGTACAAAATTATAACTATGCACGTTTTGGTATTTTTGCACATATAATAAATTTATGAATTACAACTGATAACTATAAAGATAGTGGTTTTAATTTTCACATTAATATTGAAGCTCAAAAATACAAACCTTAATAGCAGAGTTGCAAAATACAAAAAAAACAGACCTTTCCTTTCCCTTTCAAATTCAGGTGCATGAGGCCAAGGCCCTTATCTTTCACGAAACCAAATTTTGACTTCTTCTTGTCCTTTTTTTCTTTCTGAGAGGTTGCTGAAGGAGAAGGGGAGTGGGAACGAGCTGGAGGGGCAGGTGAGTGGGAACGAGCTGGAGGGGCAGGTGAGCAAGAGCGGGCAGGAGGTGCTGCTGCTGGTGCAGCTGCTACAGGTGCCGGTTCAGGTGCTCCTGCAGTTGCTGTTGCAGCAAAATCGTCATCATCCATAGCACTGCAATCCGCTCACTATTGCTATAATTTAAATATAAAGTAGCTGATGATAGTAAGGTAATACTCAATAATATTTAAAATTACATCAGCGTTCAATATTATGAGAAAAATGAATGCTTCAATGTTCGCAAGCAATATTGCTTTCCCTTAATTCTCTGAGTCTTCTCGAAGTAATCATTCAACAAAGGCAAGTATAGAAACAATAAAAGCGTCTAATAGATCTACAGCCTATCAATTTTCACTCATGGTCCCCAGAGTATCAATATACCAGCAAGCGGAGTGAAACTAAAATAAAATGACTACCCTGCACGAGTAGAGGAAGTGGAACAGTAGTGAGTAAAAACTTTTTTTGTTGATCCAACTAGCCTGCTCTAATGAACAACATCAGCTAGACAGAGATTTGTATTCTGCAAGATTCCTCATACAATTTGTTCTTCAGTAAATTTTCAGCAATTATTCCGTCTTAACTCGCATTTCACAGTTACAAATCGCAATGGTTCCTATGCTGATATTGTAACAATATATGAATTTACAATCATCGGTCACTATGTAAGTGTAACCTTTTAGTTTTACAAATTCCAGAGATTTATCATTTACGACAGCAAATAAAACAATTGAATTTTGCAAGGCTAAAACAAGAAAATGCAGCACGTGTCTAGAATAATTCTGATGGTGACTCAATATAAGAATAATACAACCGTAGAATATACACTTACATTTTTACAGTATAACTGCACGTATAAAAGTATAAAGTTAAACTGGAAAATAGAAGGTCAGCCCCTAAACTGATAAATTAGCTTCAAGTTAGTTACATGGGTCACGACTCGCAAGAAACAAAAAAGACTGGGGAAACGAACCTTTTTAAATTTTAATTTGTTAATCTGGGATCCTTGGATATATCCTACTTATAAACAGTCTAACACAATTAGTTTACCGCAGTCTGGAATACGTGCCGACTATTTTGATATGGCATGTGGTAGGGACTAGGGTCATATTACTTTTAGTATTAGGAAATAATTCAATTTTCTGGATCATTTCTTAAATTTCAATAGTGATATCGATCAATAAATCTCAGCAACGGTTCAAAATAAAAAACTATCGTATCTTCTAAATTTGACAACCATGAAACAAAATAAACACTTCACGATGCACAATGATGAAACCAAAAGTGTTATACAGCGTGAACATTTTTAATAATAACGACATAGTCAAATATTGGTGAACTCCTTTCAAGTTTACAACTATAACGAATAACAAAGTCGATAACAATGTAAGCAAATAGTAATAGCTAATGATGTGCTTGAGCCATTATTCGGTTACGAACGTTTATGAACGGACCCCAAAAGATGTAAGCTACACCCGTTACATCTTCAAAATTTGTAGATGATAAATTGGACAAAGGCATCTCTTCGAAAGGCGTCATATTCACATTATATAGCTACTAGCTAATAGCTATACACCGACACGTACACATTAGGGTTGAATTTTCTGGAAATCAAGCATCGGGTTTTCTCTCAGTAAAATGCGTTCCGCTAAGCGAACTGTGCAAAGAAGTAAAATACATAATACGGAATCTTAAAATTAATTTGAGTAAGACTTACCTTTTCTTCTGAGTCTTCGCCCAACCCCAGGATAGCCATGACCAGCTAAAATATAATGCCTCAATATAATTATAACATTTAGTATTAAACAAAATTTACAACATCGATACCATTATCAAGAAATACTAACTACTCTAGTAGCAGAGCATAGTTGAGTGTGCACTTCGATGTACACGATTTCTGACAACACAGGGTTGTTTGTTAGGTCATTCTAAACCAAAATCGTTTAGGTGGACAATTTGTTTCGCTAGAGACAACCCTACAGGGCAAATTTTCTAAATTACCCTCAGTCGCGTATACGGGATTTTCGTATTTCGGCTCCTGAAGGTCATAAAGACTTCATTTTTAGCTTAAAATTACCGCAATGGCCACATTTATATACAACTTATTAATCAATATATGGTCTAAAATTGTTTGTTTCCGAGATATCTGCAAAAAACTAATTTTAAGCTCAGGCGTAGGCACAAATTTCATCAAATTTGTATCTCAGCTTCTGAAGGTCTTAGAGCCTCAAACTTTAGCTTAAAATGACTGAAATGCACATGTTTATATTGACACTATAAAGGTCATAAAGGCCCAAAATGCTTACTTCTGGAAAAAATCCAGAAAAACCGATTTTCACTGGGGCAATGAAAAAAATCTACTCTAGAAGCTAATTGAAATCGAGTATGCAGTTTGGTGTCGACAACTTTTCTAGAAACCAGGTCCTTTGTAAGGTCATTCTGGATCAGAATTGATAAGGTACGCAATTTCTATCAGTAGTTCCAACCCTAGGGGGGAAATTTCTAAATTACCCTCAGGTGCAAATATATAACTTTTGTATCTCGGCTTCTGAACGTTGTAGGGGCCTCTCTTTTAAGCTTTTAGCTCAAACTAACTGCAAAGGCCACATTTACATAAAAGCTATAAAGCAACATAGGGTTTATAGTGCTTAGTTTTGGAGATATTCATTAAAAACTGTTTTAACTTTCGTGCATCCTAAAATAGTAACATCAAACATGTACTTAATTTTGGTATCCCGGGCTAAAAAAGTCTTACAGACACTTTACTTGCAGCACAGCAAAAGTTCAGCATGAACAAATTCAGGTAATATTTATGAAGCAACACAATTTAGTTTCAGAAGCCCCCTTCAGCTATCTTGTCTTATACCCAAATGTATACGTCTAACCATCTCTCTGGTTACTTCGAACTACTTCAATCCCCAAATTTATACATGAACATCTAACTATCTCGTTATAGTTACTACAAGTTGGGCTCTCTCCAGTACTGTTTGACTATTATGGCTAATCAACTTCAATCCCACCTCATGAAGTAGAATCTACTTCTAGTTTCCTTTAATTCTGCTACCTCTATGCCATGCCTATTCTACCCAGCTACCACCAACACGTTATAATTGTAGCTCTTTCTAGCAACCTCTGAATGCTACCTCCTGCTCTATTATACAGGTACCATCAGTGGGCAGAATCCACCAATTCCAGCTCTTTTCACGTACTTCGGCTACATCTATTTAGCTACTACTGCAAGGCCGCCTGGCCCCTCCAACTTCTGCTCTTTCTAGCAAACTTAACTTAAGCTACTTCTTGCCTTTTATAGCACCACCAGCAACAATTTATTTTGACTCTTTCCGGCTGACTCAGCTGCATTCAACAATTTCCAGCTCATTGAGGAAGAGGAAACCTGCTATTTCTAGCAAATTCTGAATGCTACTTTCTGCTCTATCTAGCTTCCACCAACACCCACTAATTGTTGTTCAGCTACCACTAGCACCTGCAAATTCTAGCCCTATCCAGCACACTTAGACTACCTTATGCTATATCCAGATAGCACAAGCACCCTCAAATTCTAGCTGGAGCCTGGAGGTAGCCTAAATTAGATAAAAACAGATAGAATTTGAGAGTGCTCAACCAACTGAATAAGGATGGATGTAGCCCGAAGTAGCTAGAAGAAGCTAAAATTTGTGGGTACCGTTTGCTAGTGTTAGCTGGATAGAGCAGAAAGTAGTCTGAGGTTGCTGGAATTAGTGCTAGAATTTGCAGGTTCTGTTGATCCGTGATAGCTGAACAGAGTAGAGTAAGTCTGAGGTTGCTGAATAGGGCTAGAATTTGCAGGTGCTAATAGTAGCATAACAACAATTATTGGATGTTGGTGGAAGCTAGATAGATCAGGAAGTAGCATTCAGAGATTGCTACAAAGAGCTAGAGTGGGGATAGCAGAATTGAAGGAAACTAGAAGTAGATTCTACTACATAAGGTTGGATTGGAGTTGATTAGCCATAATAGCCAAACAGTACTGGAGAGAGCCCAACTTATGTTAAGACTGGGATCCGGGCTTAATCCCGATCCCTAATCCCGGTTTCGGTCTTAATCCCGGTCCCGGCACTTTTTCCCAGTCCCAGTCCCGGCAAAAAAAGCGGTCCCGTTCGAGCCTTGGCTTTAACGAGATAGAAGCAACAAGAGAGATCGTCAGATGTATAAATTTGGGGATAAGACAAGATAGCTGAAGGGGGCTTCTGAAACTAAATTGTGTTGCTTCATAAATATTATCTGAATTTGTTCATGCTGAACTTTTGCTGTGCTGCAAGTAAAGTGTCTGTAAGACTTTTTTAGCCCGGGATACCAAAATTAAGTACATGTTTGATGTTACTATTTTAGGATACACGAAAGTTAAAACAGTTTTTAATGAATATCTCCAAAACTAAGCACTATAAACCCTATGTTGCTTTATAGCTTTTATGTAAATGTGGCCTTTGCAGTTAGTTTGAGCTAAAAGCTTAAAAGAGAGGCCCCTACAACGTTCAGAAGCCGAGATACAAAAGTTATATATTTGCACCTGAGGGTAATTTAGAAATTTCCCCCCTAGGGTTGGAACTACTGATAGAAATTGCGTACCTTATCAATTCTGATCCAGAATGACCTTACAAAGGACCTGGTTTCTAGAAAAGTTGTCGACACCAAACTGCATACTCGATTTCAATTAGCTTCTAGAGTAGATTTTTTTCATTGCCCCAGTGAAAATCGGTTTTTCTGGATTTTTTCCAGAAGTAAGCATTTGGGCCTTTATGACCTTTATAGTGTCAATATAAACATGTGCATTTCAGTCATTTTAAGCTAAAGTTTGAGGCTCTAAGACCTTCAGAAGCTGAGATACAAATTTGATGAAATTTGTGCCTACGCCTGAGCTTAAAATTAGTTTTTTGCAGATATCTCGGAAACAAACAATTTTAGACCATATATTGATTAATAAGTTGTATATAAATGTGGCCATTGCGGTAATTTTAAGCTAAAAATGAAGTCTTTATGACCTTCAGGAGCCGAAATACGAAAATCCCGTATACGCGACTGAGGGTAATTTAGAAAATTTGCCCTGTAGGGTTGTCTCTAGCGAAACAAATTGTCCACCTAAACGATTTTGGTTTAGAATGACCTAACAAACAACCCTGTGTTGTCAGAAATCGTGTACATCGAAGTGCACACTCAACTATGCTCTGCTACTAGAGTAAACTAAAACTGGCGCTGAGGGAGTTGATCCTGGAAAGGGTACCAAGGTACAGCCTACGGAATTATTAGAGGCCCATTGTTCTTAAAACTGACTGGTATTTCAGGAATGTGTTTGAGCACATATTATATTTGTGTAAGACTGCTGTCCTTAATTCCTCGATGTCTCCTGATCGGCTGATCTGATCTGGAATGGTTTGACAAAGGCAAGTAGAAACAATAGGGGTTGCCAATAATGCGGCAATTTGTTTATGTGGCAACCTTATGGTCCAGTCATACCCTACTGGGTATCGATTGAGGTTTTTAAACAAAGCGGACAACAAAGCAATTACATGTTGCAGAAACTTCGGGGATGTTTCGATGCGATTGTGAACGAGGTTGTTTCTAATTCTAGGAACATAGATTAACACTAACAGGATTAACCGGATTAACAGGATTAAATTTACCACGAGAAACACGAGAGATAGATAAATAGCTACACTGTTTCGTTAGTGAGTTAAAAATCTTTTTGTTGATCCAAGCCTGCTCTAATGAACAATATCAGCTAGACAGAGATTCTGCAAGATACCTCATACAATTTGTCCCTAAATAAATTTTTATAAATTCTGCCGTCCTAACTAGCATTTCACAGTTACAAATCGCGATGGAGCCAGTAGCTCGACAGCAATTATTCTTATATAATTAACAATCTTTATATGTTTCCGATGCTGATGTAAAATGTAACAATATATGAATTTACAATCTTCGGTCACTATGTAACATTTTAGTTTTACAAATTGCAGAGGTTTATCATTTGGCTGCAAATAAAACAATTGTATTTTGCGAAGCTAAAACAAGAAAATACACATGTTCAGAATAATTGTGACGGTAAAACAACAATATAAAACTGTTGCCAATAAGGCAACAGTCTTTTTATGCGGCGAACTTATGGTCCCGTCCAATAATACCCCACATGAAGGTATCAATTGAGGTTTTAAAACAAAGCGGACAACAAAGCAATTACATTTTGCAGCTTGACCAGCAAGTGCTGTTGAAAAGTCTTTGCTTTGCTGACCTACTTGAACGAGGGACTCAATATCAGTTTCTATGTCATTTAAAGATTTAGCTAAAATCAAAGCAATGACATCATTATTTAAGCGTCACTGATTATTTGACGTGATCTAATCTCCGTGGGAGCCAGATAAGGGGGGTTCTTGAAGACCCTTCTTTAAGAGTCTTTCTAAAGTGTGGACATGGAATCTAATGAATTCTAAAGAGTCCAGCTCTCATTCTCGATCCAGAGTCCAGCCCATTTGCACGATAAGGTCGAGGTTTCGGGAATCTTCTAGCTGATTATTGCAGGCATGGAAACATGAAGAAGGTTGCTGTTGTAACTTGCTGATATCAGGTGTGGCTTATCCAATGTATGAGATAAGGTAGGATAACAGAGCAGACTGAAGATAAGAACCTTGCATAAAATGTTGGAAATAAACTCAATTCATAAACAGCGTGAAATCGATATGAAGAAACGAAATTGAATAGTCGGACTAAAAAAGCTTTTGTGACTTACAGGTAGATTATAGATGATAGAGAAGGACACGACGCCTAACAGCTGTGCGATACCCGCCAATATCATCTTGGGTTTGTTGGGTGATTTCCAGACGAACTTGACTGTTTTAACTTTCACGTCGATCTCTGGAAACTCGGTGGAAACTCGACTGAAGGGAGGTTAGCGGTCGGTGTTAAAGGTACTGCTACAATGCTCAATATTGGGCAATATCTGTCACTTTATAAGCTGCACCATATTATCAGCTGCCTGCTGCACAAATACAAAACTCACCCCTATAATTTTATGTAGCTGTATACTAAATTGTAATACTTTGCATATGTGCAGTTCGTGTAACAGTCGTACTAAGGTACTCTAGAAGGTAATCAAAAATTAAAAATAAGAAAGAAAACTCACATGGGCTCGTCAATTTCAGGGTTCTCGTTAGGGTCGGCTCGGCCGAAACCAGCTGGTCTTTGTTCAGCTTGCGGTTTTGTCATGACCTCTATCTCCAGCTTTATCCTACCTGTCTTGTACAGGAAGCCGTCTATCTTCTTGTACATTGGCCACCAACCTATGGAGGGGATCTGGTGAAAATGTAGATTCGACTTTGGTAATCATTTTAATGAACTTAAAGGGCTTGTTTATCACAACAATCTAAATTCAATGATATGTATAATGTATATCATGAAAACAATCGAGTTAGGGACACGTCAATTGAAAAACCTTGAGATTTTTTCTTCTTGAAAAGATTGAGGTATTGAATCTTGGGCGGTCTGGGAGGTGGCTCTTCCTCTTCACCTTCTTCCTCTTCTGCAAAAGGGTCCTGGAAAATATAACCATATTAATTCTGGATAAAATCCACATTACCTAATTAAAGAACTAAATTGTGTTTGAGGTCGACGAACTAACAAATATTAAAGTAAATGGCACCATAAAATTAAATATATTCAAATAACCGGGGTGGGAGGGGGAGGCTCTTCATAGCCAGGTATCATTTCCATGACGCCCCACTCCTCTTTAGGCTGACCACGAGGTAAATATGTGAGGTCCAAGTGAAGAAAAGCGTACGGCTCCGGGGCAACTGAGGGGTCTCCATCCACTACACTTATAGTCAGAATGGGATCCAACAGTTGATCTTCTATCTGGGAAGGTGGAGTCGAGAGATATTAACTACTCTACTTCATAAGCGTTATACTTATTAGCACTTTTAAAACAGAATAGTGAATATGCATACTGAATTTTCCAAATGCACTTCCAAATTGAACTAAAAGTTCCTCTAAAATTAACTTTATAGGGCCCACCTCTCCAGGAATGCATCTCTTCCTGTCCAGGAAAGCGTATCCGAACCTAAAGAGGAACCTCCAGTTGAAAGCTCCGTTGCCGTTCACCGCTGAGGGATGTATTTCTGAAACTTGTGCTTCTGGGTCTCCAGCAAACTGGCTGAAAACAGACCACGTGATTTGAGATGAAGAGAGAGAGATAGTTATAATATGTAGAAAATAAAGTGAAATTAATGCAAATTATGAAACAAGTTATTCTAGCAAGTAATACAGTAAAACCTCGCATCACTGCGGAATTTGGGGAAAGGATTCACCCGCGGCAAATCCTTAAATCGGGATTTGCGGTAAATCGGGGCGCAGTAAATCGGGTTTTACTTTAGTGACAAGACCCACCCTCTAATCATAAGATCGTGGAGAGTGTCCGAGTCAGGCTTTAGAGGGGGCACCTCCTCAACCGTTTCAACATCAGTGACATCAAACACGATCAGTCGAAGCTCCATATCAACGGGGAGAGGAGGGTCTATGTTCATAGGTTCAGGGGGACTCAGCATGTAAGGGAATATGTCTGTAAACATCAACATTTTTCCCTGCGGTACTCCTGAAGGAAGAAAAAGTTTTATAATTAAACGGCACCTAAATAAAAATTAAAAAATTCTAATTCTGAGGCATATCAATATTTAAGTTTCAAAATCTAAGTCGGTTCTACACACACAAATACTTATTACTACTTGAAGAAGGCTAACTTCTCAGTGTCGTATGCGACCCTCTTAAAAAGTTAAAACAGTGATAAACTGACCAGGCATGACAGGGTTGATAAGTTTTCTCTTCTCAGCGTAGTCTCTTACCAGGCCCAACTCTAGCAGCACATACAGGGCTGTCCTCTCTTTTAAGGGTCCCCATATTGCTGTATCCTCAAAATTCTCCTTGTGTTTCTCTGATAGAGTGATCGAAATTAACTAACCAGAAATTAACATATCGTATATTTTCAAAGCGGGCCTTTTTATAAGCTTTTCAAAAATATGAACGCACGACCAGGTGTTAGCTTACCAAACTCTGATATGGTGTACATTTCGTCATTGATTACACAGTTGGTTCCATCTTCAGCATAGGATGGCAGGGGGATAGTGTTAGCTGTACAGAACTCATCTAGAATCTGAGTGGGCAACATGAAGTCTCTCCACTTGTGTGGTCCAGAACTGGGGGGGATATAAGGTAGATGTTTGGTAAAATATTGATTTAAACTTAGCACGAGACGTAAAGCTAAAGTCCGGACAGTCATATGAAAATAAATTCAGTTTTTTGTTTAACCGCTTTCTACGCAGCCAGTATTCACATCAAAATACACTCAAACTAGCTGACAAAAGTCCACAACATTCCCTGAAACTCACATCATATATCGTTCAGTTAGCCCACAGATCGGACGTTTGATAGAGAGGAACCTGTCCTCCAGATCCACCTTAGTCTGACCTATCAGGGCGTCCCTGCCTTCATCAGTTGATTCAGAGTCAATGATAGCCACCTGCAGCTCAGGATAGTTCGGTATATACGTGTCCATGTTGTAGATCCTGGTGGTAAGCTGGAGTTATTAACGGCTATGTGTATTAATTGAACCGGTCAGAAAATAGAGATCAGGATCTGGAGAATAAAGCATAAGATTAGATTACTTGAGTAAGTTTAGTGTCACAGTTAAGATAAATGTTTGGGTTAGGGTTATTGTATGGATTCCTGAGAACATTGTTCATTTTTGGGATATCAAAAGTTCTGTTACACATGATATCATTGAACAGCAACCCATAATTTAGATTACAGTACTCGCCTGTTCAGAAAGAAATATATAATCGTGATAGTAATCACACCACAAGATGGCTACTTCGAATTTGAAACATATGGTGACTGTAAGCTTGTTTGTGTTAACTCTATATTTCTAGCAAATCAGTGTGATTTCATGTAATTGAAAGTTGGACGGCTGGCCAGGTGGAGTGACCATTGGAAAATATTTCATGTCTGTGAAGTGATTTGACACAGTTTTTAAAAAAAGCTATCCCTCACAGCTAACACTGCCATGTTTTGATAACGTTTTTGTTTGTTATTCCGAAACAATGGAATTGGACATTCATAGCAAAACCTATTTAGTTTTTTTGTCCGTTAAAAAAACAAGTATCATTTCGACTGATTTAATTGTAGTTAGTATGCACTATGCATCAGTAACATGGTAACTTACTTGCAGAATCTTGGGTTCCTATTCCTCTTCATCAAACTGGTGGTATCAGCAATAGTTTTAGGACCGAGAGTCACAGATATAAAGGGGTCACATGTTTTATCCTTGAGTCTAGATGGTGTAGCTAGTCCTATCGCTTGTAGAGCGTACAGTCGGACGGATATGCGAATACTTCCCGCGGTCGGGACAGAACCATAAATCAAATCCCTGTCGTCGCCATCGTTAGATAGCTCGTATATTCTGAACGATCCCTGAAAATATGGTGTTAGATCAGTGAATCGGTGTATCGGCCCATATTTGGACGGTCATTTTTCAGCGCTGATGCCATTATTAAGATTAGGACTAGCTAGTTTAGTTCCAGGTCCAGAAGTCAGTCGTTAGTGCAGTGTTCATTCACCCTCCCGGAATGCTCATTCTTTTATGTGCGTCGTTTCTCTTCACAATGCACTGCCAATGTAAATCCTTTGTAACTGTTCTAAAACTATACCTACGGATTAAACAAGCAGGGGAACAGGAACAGGTGCAACTATACCTGCATCCTCGTAACGGTTGGCAAAGATTACCTCACACGTAGTTTCCTAGCATACCATTAGTAAAGCATATTTTGTCTCGCCTTTTATCGGCCAGAGCCAAAACCAGCCAGCTTTGAAAAGATCTTGATCCCTAAACCCTTTATAACAAGTATTATGTCCTCCTAGTATTAGTTTAGCATATTCAGATTTGTCCCTCGCCCAATGCCCAGATCTAAAACTGGACACTTTTGGAGAAATCTTCAAGTTGGCTTAGTAAACATTTAATTTTAGGCAGTGAGTTCCATGTCGATTGTCTATGAGCAGTGTTCATTCTATGTTAATGGGCGCTTACCATTAGTTTAGCATATTCAGATAAATTCCTCGCCCAACGCTCAGACCCAAAACTGGCCAGAGTTGTCTTAGAGTTGTACCTCACCTTTGGTGTTTACTCCCGATTTCTGCTAATGCAAATCTAGATTTACCGCGGATGTTTTCCTCCGGGTAAAATTGCTAAAACTGTTTTTGGTCTAACTCTAAGGGGTCGTTCACATATTAGTATTACGTAATCAGCCGAGGGGGGATGGGGGGTTTCTAAATGATTACGCTAGTGTAATTTTGACACGATGGCTACTCTTAACGCGAATTATTTGCTGTCCGAATTAAGACTAATTATATATTTAGAATTTGCAGTATATTATGGTCTTCAACCGTGGGTATAAGGGAAACTGTAACTTAGTTTCAAATAAATTCCGCATTATTAAATGCAGATTTGCCCGAAAAGGAGATTTGTGCATATTGAGCAGAAAAATAAAACGTTGGAGACTAAGAATTTTATATATTACTTTAGTCATCCCAACGATACATAATGTCAGACCAACCTGATGTAAATTTGACTCGTTTAAATTTTGGGAATGGCTACAAATGATCTTTACACTTTTACAGCACCTTTAAAACAGCTGTTCGTTCAACTTCAAATTATCCTCAAAATGAGCAGCTTCCGATAATTCCAGAGCGCACGTGTGACAAATCCCATGTTGCTATAAGACATTACCAATGAGTATTAAAGTAGTAATGTGCAATGTAACCTACGAGGGCAGCAGGTGATTATTGAATAGTAGTGGTGGTCGATTTTTCGACGCGTCGTTGCCCGGGGACTATAGAAACGTATGCATATTACGTAGGCCAGCACACGACCTTCAGACAACGGACACAGCTGAGCTTTAATTGTGTATTACCCGGCGATCCGGACCTTAATTCTGCTGTAATTTTATATTTCTATATTGCGTATCCTATCGTAGGAAACTGCAGTCTATCGTTTTCCATATAAGATGAGGGAAAAAGGATATCGCGGTAGTGTTAATATCAAAATAAGTTTAACTATACCAAGCAGACGTTGTTAAACTTGGACAAAAGAGCAGTTAATATGACGAATTACCGCCAAAGTGTCGAGAAATTGACAGTAGTATGACATAACACTCGTCCGACATTATATTAGGGATTGATAAAACCACCTGCCCCTGCGGAGGGTACATTTCATATATGCGAATGTTGCTAGCTTTCGAGTTGCAACGACAGCTGAAGATTATCAGCTTTCTTTAATGCTAATTGAGATCTTAGAGCTACATCGCAGATTTTTCTTAAGCAGGTCCGTGCAACAACAAAAGAACCGTCTATGCAACGTCTATGCAACGTCCCTGCACAATGAACACTCTATGCACACTCCCTGCACGGTCAGTCTATGCAACGTCTATGCAACGTCTATGCAACGTCTATGCAACGTCCCTGCACAGTACCATATGAACACCGGCTACTAGCCGGCTACTAACCGGCTAGTAGCCACTTTTGTAATAACAGCTCCTCAACTTCACATTAACAACCGGCTACTAACCGGCACTTGAAAAGTGGTCACTAGCCGGCTACTAACCGGCTACTAGCCGGCTAGTGACCACAAAGTGGCTACTAACCGGCTACTAAGCGGTCACTAGCCGGCTATTAGCCGAGCTCTAAAGCAGACCTACTAGTAGCCGGTTCCAAACCGGCTACTAGCCGGCACTTAGAAAGTGGTCACTAGCCGGCTACTAACCGGCTACTAACCGGCTAGTAACCACCAAGTGGCTACTAACCGGCTACTAAACTTACTTTTATTAAGCACGTTATTTGAAAGTAAGTTCCAAAATCGATTACAACATTTTTATGAAAAATAAAAAAATACTGAAAACTGATTACATTCAATTTCTTCGTGGTGGAGGAGCAGTGTAATTGTTTTTGGGCGCTAGGACGACGCCTTGGGTACAAAGGGTCCTAAGAGTGGCAAGATTACGGTTGCAGATCTCGTTTGCGAAGGTGTAAACACTAGGAAGTCTGACGTCTCGTAGTTGCAGCAGTGCGTGTTGGACACCTGGTAGGTCAACTTTTGCTGCTTCAGCGATACATCGCTTTCTTGAGAAGTGACTCCGAGAAATGTGTATCTGCTCCAGAGCGGCTCCTCAACCTCCAGCTCCTCAACCTCCAGCTCCTCAACCTCCAGCTCCTCAACCTCCAGCTCCTCAACCTCCAGCTCCTCAACCTCCAGCTCCTCAACCTCCAGCTCCTCAACCTCCAGCTCCTCAACCTCCAGCTCCTCAACCTCCAGCTCCTCAACCTCCAGCTCCTCAACCTCCAGCTCCTCAACCTCCAGCTCCTCAACCTGCTCCTGCACAGCAACCTGTTACTGATCAACAACCTGCTCCCAATTCTCCTCAACCTCCTGCTCAGCAAGCTGCTCCTGGACACCAACCTGCTACTGATCAGCAACCTGCTCCCAATGCTGCTGCTCTGCCTACTGGTCGCAGAACGAGGCGGATATTTTCTTTAGACGGGGTTATAGCGGAATACGACGCCGTTGTGCAGCTAGTTAACTCTGGTCTCTCAAAGTCTGCCGCTCTGGAGCAGATACACATTTCTCGGAGTCACTTCTCAAGAAAGCGATGTATCGCTGAAGCAGCAAAAGTTGACCTACCAGGTGTCCAACACGCACTGCTGCAACTACGAGACGTCAGACTTCCTAGTGTTTACACCTTCGCAAACGAGATCTGCAACCGTAATCTTGCCACTCTTAGGACCCTTTGTACCCAAGGCGTCGTCCTAGCGCCCAAAAACAATTACACTGCTCCTCCGCCACGAAGAAATTGAATGTAATCAGTTTTCAGTATTTTTTTATTTTTCATAAAAATGTTGTAATCGATTTTGGAACTTACTTTCAAATAACGTGTTTCAAATAACTTGTTTCAAATAATTCATTTCAATAATTTGTTTCAAATAACAAGTTTCAAATAACAAGTTTGAAATAATTTGTTTCAAATAATTTGTTTATTTGGCAATAATGAATTATAGCCGGTCTGATTTAGAGTCGCCTAGAGCAAATTAGTACTAGCCGGTTAGTAGCCGTCTACTAACCAGCTAGTACCCACCAGCCGGCTAGTGACCGCTTTTCAAGTGTCGGCTAGTAGCCGGTTTGGAACTAGAAGCTCCGCTTTAGAGCCGGCTAGTGACCGGTTAGTAGCCACTTGGTGGTTACTAGCCGGTTAGTAGCCGGTTAGTAGCCGGCTAGTGACCGCTTTTCAAGTGTCGGCTAGTAGCCGGTTTGGAACTAGAAGGTCCGCTTTAGAGCCGGCTAGTGACCGGTTAGTAGCCACTTGGTGGTTACTAGCCGGTTAGTAGCCGGTTAGTAGCCGGCTAGCGACCGCTTTTCGAGTGCCGGCTAGTAGGTCCGCTTAAGAGCCGGCTAGTGACCGGTTAGTAGCCGGTTAGTAGCCACTTGGTGGTTACTAGCCGGTTAGTAGCCGGTTAGTAGCCGGCTAGTGACCGCTTTCTAAGTGCCGGCTAGTAGCCGGTTTGGAACCGGCTACTAGTAGGTCCGCTTAAGAGCCGGCTAGTGACCGGTTAGTAGCCGGTTAGTAGCCACTTGGTGGTTACTAGCCGGTTAGTAGCCGGTTAGTAGCCGGCTAGTGACCACTTTCTAAGTGCCGGCTAGTAGCCGGTTTGGAACCGGCTACTAGTAGGTCTGCTTTAGAGCTCGGCTAATAGCCGGCTAGTGACCGCTTAGTAGCCGGTTAGTAGCCACTTTGTGGTCACTAGCCGGCTAGTAGCCGGTTAGTAGCCGGCTAGTGACCACTTTTCAAGTGCCGGTTAGTAGCCGGTTGTTAATGTGAAGTTGAGGAGCTGTTATTACAAAAGTGGCTACTAGCCGGTTAGTAGCCGGCTAGTAGCCGGTGTTCATATGGTACTGTGCAGGGACGTTGCATAGACGTTGCATAGACGTTGCATAGACGTTGCATAGACTGACCGTGCAGGGAGTGTGCATAGAGTGTTCATTGTGCAGGGACGTTGCATAGACGTTGCATAGACGGTTCTTTTGTTGTTGCACGGACGTTGCATAGACGTTGCATAGACTGTCAGGTGGTAAACGACCAACTTCCCTTTTTATTGTTCAACAGTTTATTCGTTTTTGGCAAATTTTGTGGACTCAAAACAATTAAAGCATTAAGCACGATATTTGATACTAGTTGGCAGATGTTAACATATTGCGAGTTTGCCACTTTTTGAACATAACGTAAAAAATTATTTGGTGAATTTAAAGAGCATAAATATTTTTCCGAAAGTCCATCTTAGCGTCTGACATACAATAAATGTTAAAATAGATCCAAACACTTCGGGAAACTCAAGTCCACGGAATCTTTTTGATAGGCACAAACAGAAGCAGCGGCAGTTTGAAAGAATGTATACAATTAATTACTTGATTGTTTGGTTACTCTCAACCACGATCGTCACTTCAGACTTACTCTTAGGCAAGTGCACAGTTGGGAGATACTTTCGTTCAATTCAATGATCAAGATATGCTGTAGAGTGTAGACCGTACCTCGTATTATACAGCAACGTCCTAAACCCCTCATTTCACCCCAGAATCACCCCAGAATCACCCCAGAATCACCCCAGAATCACCCCATTCATCTGATGTACGTAGACTACGTTGTTGCAGCCATCATCAAACTAGGTATAAGGGCGTTCCGGGTTTATTTTCCAAGTGTCTGTTGTATTCGAGATAAAGTTCTCACATTTTGAGGTTACATTTTTATTTCAACTCAAAATGACGACATTTTTAAAAATATATTGACCATTGTTAATGATCTGACCCGGCGAGAAGAAAGCGGCGCGCGCTACTTCGAAGAAATTTAGACGAGTAACATCCGTCAATAAATATATTGTTGCATTTTCTGATATCCGTCCATTATTTCAGCGGTAACTGCTGTGAACAAAGAACAGCTCACGGGTACGGATGCGACTATATCTTGTATCGTATCTGGTCTGACCCAAGTACTGGACGAGGTGAAATGGACTTTATCTGATGGTACGGCCATTATATCTGGTCAGGATGGTTATACCATCTTCACTGGTGAAGATAGTTTCAGTGGTGATACCCAAATTACCACTCTAGCAGTCACTGCCGCTCAAACCAATGTAGATAACACTTACGAGTGTCTTATCTCGTCTACTGAACTTGCTGAAACGGACAAAAGTACGACCGTCAACTTAAAAGTGTTTAGTAAGTTCTCTCACTCTCTCTCTCTATCTCTCTCTATCTCTCTCTCTCTCTCTCTCTCTCTCTCTCTCTCTCTCTCTCTCTCTCTCTCTCTCTCTCTCTCTCTCTCTCTCTCTCTCTCTCTCTCTCTCTCTCTCTCTCTCTCTCTCTCTCTCTCTCTCTCTCTCTCTCTCTCTCTCTCTCTCTCTCTCTCTCTCTCTCTCTCTCTCTCTATCTCTCTCTATCCCTCTCTAGTACTTACTTTAGTAAGTTATGTGCAGTTTGTTAAAGATTCAGATATGTTCTGGAAAATCACTGATTGTGAAAAGTTAGGATTCTTTATCCGGTGATCGAATATTTCCAGAATATATAATGACTAAAAAATAAGAGACAACTATCAAATCGGTCACAATGGAAGGTAAATTGGATGAAAAATCTTGAATACCTTATCGGACCTTATTTAGACGGACATTACTTGAACGGACATAAATGTGAACGGACATTAATATGAACGCTAGAAGGCAATCAAAACCATAAAAAATTGAAATTTTTAAAATATTTTTTTAAACGTTTTTTAAATTTTCGGGCATAAAATATTCCATGCTTAAAGCTTTAAAGCATCAGTAATACCCGCTTTTTGGAAACCTTTTTTTATCAAACTACCTCGGTCCTGCATTTCAGTGTAAACTTTTACCACCCATTCGGCGTGAACTGTGAAGTGGTTTTATCTTAGACAACTTTAGGTTAACCTTAACATGACGTTAACTTGGACGGACATTAATTGAACGGACTTTATTTGAACGGACATTAAGGTGAACTCTAGGGCCTCCAGCGTTCAAGTAATGTCCGTCCAAATAAAGTCCGATAAGGTAATCCGTAGGTTCTAATTGTAGTCTGTAGATTATTTTTGTAAGATGACGTGAATATTTCAGCTGTCATTTCAACACCCAAGTCTGTCACCACTGATACCGCACAGACGTTAACTTGTACTATCGGAGATCTAAACGCCAATGAAGCTGTTACAGTGACTTGGAAGGAACCTGGTGATGGAGCAGAAATTATAAACTCAGATAATACCAACTACGTATCGATTCCAGGAACAGTTGCTGTTGATGGCAGTACTGGTATTCAGAACGCACAACTAACCATCAAACAAGCCAAAATGGCAGCTTATGCCGAGGAAACATCCTTCACTTACAAGTGCTCTGTGACGTCATCTCAGTATTCAGACTCCCCTTCATCTGCCTACCAAGATGTTGTGGCTAACGTCGTCGTTGAAAAAGAAATAGGTGCCTTCTTTTAAACTTAAACTATCACAACATGGGCTTTGGGGGGCGTTACCAAAGATTGGTGTATCATGTAAAGTTTATAACTATTGAAATGGTGCTAATTCACAATTACTACCACAGATAACTCTCCTCATTTCAGCGGTACAACCCGTACACAAAGAACAGCTCAAAGGCACTCAGGCGATGGTATCTTGTGTGATTACTGGCTTGACAGAGGCACTGGATAAGGTGGAGTGGAGGAAGAAAGTTGATGATTCGATTATACAAGTTGACAACGGAGATGGCTTTAGCATTGACACTGGTACTTACGACACTGGTACCCAGACTACCACTTTGACTGTCCCTGATAGTCAGACCAACGAAGATAAAATTTACAAGTGTATAATCACGCCCAAAGGTGCAGATGGTGCTACTGAGATGATTACAGAAGTCAATCTAAACGTTTTCAGTAAGTAATTCAGCTATTATACGATGATATTTCATGTAAGAGCTGCTTATAAAATTTATATTTATGATTCGATTTTATTATTGGATGTACTTCTTTTGTAATCGTTTCTTGTTTCCTAACATCATTTCATAACAAGAACTAAATATTTCAGCTCTCAGTTCAACAACAAAGTCTGTCACCACTGATGCCGACCAGACCTTAACTTGTACTATCGAAGATCTAGACGCCAATCAAGCTGCTGTTGCAGTGACTTGGAAGGATCCTAATGAAGCAGAAGTTGCAGACTCAGATACTACCAACTACGTATTGATTCCAGGAACAGTTGATGGCGAGGGTATTCAGAACGCACAACTAACCATCAAACAAGCCAAAATGGCAGCTTATGCCGAGGAAACATCCTTCACTTACAAGTGCTCTGTGACGTCATCTCAGTATTCAGACTCCCCTTCATCTGCCTACCAAGATGTTGTGGCTAACGTCGTCGTTGAAAAAGAAATAGGTGCCTTCTTTTAAACTTAAACTATCACAACATGGGCTTTGGGGGGCGTTACCAAAGATTGGTGTATCATGTAAAGTTTATAACTATTGAAATGGTGCTAATTCACAATTACTACCACAGATAACTCTCCTCATTTCAGCGGTACAACCCGTACACAAAGAACAGCTCAAAGGCACTCAGGCGATGGTATCTTGTGTGATTACTGGCTTGACAGAGGCACTGGATAAGGTGGAGTGGAGGAAGAAAGTTGATGATTCGATTATACAAGCTGACAACGGAGATGGCTTTAGCATTGACACTGGTACTTACGACACTGGTACCCAGACTACCACTTTGACTGTCCCTGATAGTCAGACCAACGAAGATAAGATTTACAAGTGTATAATCACGCCCAAAGGTGCAGATGGTGCTACTGAGATGATTACAGAAGTCAATCTAAACGTTTTCAGTAAGTAATTCAGCTATTATACGATGATATTTCATGTAAGAGCTGCTTATAAAATTTATATTTATGATTCGATTTTATTATTGGATGTACTTCTTTTGTAATCGTTTCTTGTTTCCTAACATCATTTCATAACAAGAACTAAATATTTCAGCTCTCAGTTCAACAACAAAGTCTGTCACCACTGATGCCGACCAGACCTTAACTTGTACTATCGAAGATCTAGACGCCAATCAAGCTGCTGTTGCAGTGACTTGGAAGGATCCTAATGAAGCAGAAGTTGCAGACTCAGATACTACCAACTACGTATTGATTCCAGGAACAGTTGATGGCGAGGGTATTCAGAACGCACAACTAACCATCAAACAAGCCAAAATGGCAGCTTATGCCGAGGAAACATCCTTCACTTACAAGTGCTCTGTGACGTCATCTCAGTATTCAGACTCCCCTTCATCTGCCTACCAAGATGTTGTGGCTAACGTCGTCGTTGAAAAAGAAATAGGTGCCTTCTTTTAAACTTAAACTATCACAACATGGGCTTTGGGGGGCGTTACCAAAGATTGGTGTATCATGTAAAGTTTATAACTATTGAAATGGTGCTAATTCACAATTACTACCACAGATAACTCTCCTCATTTCAGCGGTACAACCCGTACACAAAGAACAGCTCAAAGGCACTCAGGCGATGGTATCTTGTGTGATTACTGGCTTGACAGAGGCACTGGATAAGGTGGAGTGGAGGAAGAAAGTTGATGATTCGATTATACAAGCTGACAACGGAGATGGCTTTAGCATTGACACTGGTACTTACGACACTGGTACCCAGACTACCACTTTGACTGTCCCTGATAGTCAGACCAACGAAGATAAGATTTACAAGTGTATAATCACGCCCAAAGGTGCAGATGGTGCTACTGAGATGATTACAGAAGTCAATCTAAACGTTTTCAGTAAGTAATTCAGCTATTATACGATGATATTTCATGTAAGAGCTGCTTATAAAATTTATATTTATGATTCGATTTTATTATTGGATGTACTTCTTTTGTAATCGTTTCTTGTTTCCTAACATCATTTCATAACAAGAACTAAATATTTCAGCTCTCAGTTCAACAACAAAGTCTGTCACCACTGATGCCGACCAGACCTTAACTTGTACTATCGAAGATCTAGACGCCAATCAAGCTGCTGTTGCAGTGACTTGGAAGGATCCTAATGAAGCAGAAGTTGCAGACTCAGATACTACCAACTACGTATTGATTCCAGGAACAGTTGATGGCGAGGGTATTCAGAACGCACAACTAACCATCAAACAAGCCAAAATGGCAGCTTATGCCGAGGAAACATCCTTCACTTACAAGTGCTCTGTGACGTCATCTCAGTATTCAGACTCCCCTTCATCTGCCTACCAAGATGTTGTGGCTAACGTCGTCGTTGAAAAAGAAATAGGTGCCTTCTTTTAAACTTAAACTATCACAACATGGGCTTTGGGGGGCGTTACCAAAGATTGGTGTATCATGTAAAGTTTATAACTATTGAAATGGTGCTAATTCACAATTACTACCACAGATAACTCTCCTCATTTCAGCGGTACAACCCGTACACAAAGAACAGCTCAAAGGCACTCAGGCGATGGTATCTTGTGTGATTACTGGCTTGACAGAGGCACTGGATAAGGTGGAGTGGAGGAAGAAAGTTGATGATTCGATTATACAAGCTGACAACGGAGATGGCTTTAGCATTGACACTGGTACTTACGACACTGGTACCCAGACTACCACTTTGACTGTCCCTGATAGTCAGACCAACGAAGATAAGATTTACAAGTGTATAATCACGCCCAAAGGTGCAGATGGTGCTACTGAGATGATTACAGAAGTCAATCTAAACGTTTTCAGTAAGTAATTCAGCTATTATACGATGATATTTCATGTAAGAGCTGCTTATAAAATTTATATTTATGATTCGATTTTATTATTGGATGTACTTCTTTTGTAATCGTTTCTTGTTTCCTAACATCATTTCATAACAAGAACTAAATATTTCAGCTCTCAGTTCAACAACAAAGTCTGTCACCACTGATGCCGACCAGACCTTAACTTGTACTATCGAAGATCTAGACGCCAATCAAGCTGCTGTTGCAGTGACTTGGAAGGATCCTAATGAAGCAGAAGTTGCAGACTCAGATACTACCAACTACGTATTGATTCCAGGAACAGTTGATGGCGAGGGTATTCAAAACGCACAACTAACCATCAAACAAGCCAAAATGGCAGCTTATGCCGAGGAAACATCCTTCACTTACAAGTGCTCTGTGACGTCATCTCAGTATTCAGACTCCCCTTCATCTGCCTACCAAGATGTTGTGGCTAACGTCGTCGTTGAAAAAGAAATAGGTGCCTTCTTTTAAACTTAAACTATCACAACATGGGCTTTGGGGGGCGTTACCAAAGATTGGTGTATCATGTAAAGTTTATAACTATTGAAATGGTGCTAATTCACAATTACTACCACAGATAACTCTCCTCATTTCAGCGGTACAACCCGTACACAAAGAACAGCTCAAAGGCACTCAGGCGATGGTATCTTGTGTGATTACTGGCTTGACAGAGGCACTGGATAAGGTGGAGTGGAGGAAGAAAGTTGATGATTCGATTATACAAGCTGACAACGGAGATGGCTTTAGCATTGACACTGGTACTTACGACACTGGTACCCAGACTACCACTTTGACTGTCCCTGATAGTCAGACCAACGAAGATAAGATTTACAAGTGTATAATCACGCCCAAAGGTGCAGATGGTGCTACTGAGATGATTACAGAAGTCAATCTAAACGTTTTCAGTAAGTAATTCAGCTATTATACGATGATATTTCATGTAAGAGCTGCTTATAAAATTTATATTTATGATTCGATTTTATTATTGGATGTACTTCTTTTGTAATCGTTTCTTGTTTCCTAACATCATTTCATAACAAGAACTAAATATTTCAGCTCTCAGTTCAACAACAAAGTCTGTCACCACTGATGCCGACCAGACCTTAACTTGTACTATCGAAGATCTAGACGCCAATCAAGCTGCTGTTGCAGTGACTTGGAAGGATCCTAATGAAGCAGAAGTTGCAGACTCAGATACTACCAACTACGTATTGATTCCAGGAACAGTTGATGGCGAGGGTATTCAGAACGCACAACTAACCATCAAACAAGCCAAAATGGCAGCTTATGCCGAGGAAACATCCTTCACTTACAAGTGCTCTGTGACGTCATCTCAGTATTCAGACTCCCCTTCATCTGCCTACCAAGATGTTGTGGCTAACGTCGTCGTTGAAAAAGAAATAGGTGCCTTCTTTTAAACTTAAACTATCACAACATGGGCTTTGGGGGGCGTTACCAAAGATTGGTGTATCATGTAAAGTTTATAACTATTGAAATGGTGCTAATTCACAATTACTACCACAGATAACTCTCCTCATTTCAGCGGTACAACCCGTACACAAAGAACAGCTCAAAGGCACTCAGGCGATGGTATCTTGTGTGATTACTGGCTTGACAGAGGCACTGGATAAGGTGGAGTGGAGGAAGAAAGTTGATGATTCGATTATACAAGCTGACAACGGAGATGGCTTTAGCATTGACACTGGTACTTACGACACTGGTACCCAGACTACCACTTTGACTGTCCCTGATAGTCAGACCAACGAAGATAAGATTTACAAGTGTATAATCACGCCCAAAGGTGCAGATGGTGCTACTGAGATGATTACAGAAGTCAATCTAAACGTTTTCAGTAAGTAATTCAGCTATTATACGATGATATTTCATGTAAGAGCTGCTTATAAAATTTATATTTATGATTCGATTTTATTATTGGATGTACTTCTTTTGTAATCGTTTCTTGTTTCCTAACATCATTTCATAACAAGAACTAAATATTTCAGCTCTCAGTTCAACAACAAAGTCTGTCACCACTGATGCCGACCAGACCTTAACTTGTACTATCGAAGATCTAGACGCCAATCAAGCTGCTGTTGCAGTGACTTGGAAGGATCCTAATGAAGCAGAAGTTGCAGACTCAGATACTACCAACTACGTATTGATTCCAGGAACAGTTGATGGCGAGGGTATTCAGAACGCACAACTAACCATCAAACAAGCCAAAATGGCAGCTTATGCCGAGGAAACATCCTTCACTTACAAGTGCTCTGTGACGTCATCTCAGTATTCAGACTCCCCTTCATCTGCCTACCAAGATGTTGTGGCTAACGTCGTCGTTGAAAAAGAAATAGGTGCCTTCTTTTAAACTTAAACTATCACAACATGGGCTTTGGGGGGCGTTACCAAAGATTGGTGTATCATGTAAAGTCTATAACTATTGTAATGGCGTTAATTCACAATTACTATCACAGATAACTCTCCTCATTACAGCGGTACAAGCTGTACACAAAGAACAGCTCAAAGACACTCAGGCGATGGTATCTTGTGTTGTTACTGGCTTGACAGAGGCACTGGAGACAGATCAGGTGAAGTGGACGACATTTGAAGATGCGCCCATAACTACCGGATCAGATGGTTTTACAATTGAAACTAGTAGCTTGACTGGTAATACCCAGACTACCACTTTGACTGTCCCTGGTAGTCAGACCGACACAGATAAGGTTTACAAGTGTGTTATCACGCCCACTGGAGATGATGTCACGGCAAAGACTACAGAAGTCAATTTAAAAGTTTTCAGTAAGTAATTCAGCTATTATACGATGATATTTCATGTAAGAGCTGTTTGTAGAATTTAGATTCGTGATTCGATTTTATGATTGGATATAATTCGTTTGGATCTTTTCTTCTTTCTCAACATCATTTCATAACAAGAACTAAATATTTCAGCTGTCAGTTCAACACCCGAGTCTGTCACCACTGATACCGACCAGACCTTAACTTGTACTATCGGAGATCTAGACGCCAATCAAGCTGTTACAGTGACTTGGAAGGAACCTGGTGATGGAGCATTAATTATAAACTCAGATAATACCAACTACGTATTGATTCCAGGAACAGTTGATGGCGAGGGTATTCAGAACGCACAACTAACCATCAAACAAGCCAAAATGGCAGGTTATGCCGACCAAACATCCTTCACTTACAAGTGCTCTGTGACGTCATCACAGTATTCAGACTCCCCCTCATCTGTCGAACAAGTTGTTGTGGCTAACGTCGTTGAAAAGGAAATAGGTACTTCCTTCTGAACGTATACTATCATAGTGTGGGTATTATAATAGTATAATAGGCCTTACCTAATGCTCTAATAAGGTTACCTAATGAGCTCACATTACAACTCACCTATTGGACAATCGATGAATCATTTTATTAATAAATTAGACTAGCCCCTAACAAACTGAAACCATTCAGATGAGGGTGGCGATAACGCGGCAGTGATAGCGGCTTCGGTGGTGGGAGGAGTGGTTTTTGTGGCTGGGGCTGGAGCAGTTGCAGTCCTTGTCTACAAGAAGTTTTGTTTGTGAGTACAAATATAAACCATTTATCGAACAAAGTTTTATTTGTGAGTACGAATATATACTATTTATCAAACAAATAACATCTTTTGAAACACATAATTATTTGAATTTACAAAAACACACTTCAGTCCCCCTAATTTTATTGACTGTCAAGTTTTTTGAATAAAATCGGATTTCGTGACAATTTAATTTGTGATGGTTTAAAAGATAATATCACACGGCAATGACATTTAAACCCTAGCGGACCTATAAGGGTCTACGCAGACTTTACTGTTCAAAATCAAATTCTCAGTATTGAAATCAGAACCAGTCAGGCATAGATCGAGCGTTTCTATTGACGCGAAACTCTTCTGTGAGTTCACCGGAGCTATCATTCACACTTCTACTTCTTGCTGCACTAGCTGGAATATCTCTAGCAAAACGGTAAAGATAGCTCCTATCGTAGAATGATCTCCTCTTGTCAATATGTTCCATGACTCTACCTAGAACCAGTTTAGAACCATATTCCACCGCAACCGTCCTATCCTCCGCAAGACCAACGTTAATCAGCCAGGAAACTAGATCTTCGCCCGTAAAAACGTCCTCGTAAGACCGCCCGAACGTGCCCTGGACTGATTGACTGATAGCACTGATACAGGCGGCCATGTGGTACTGGATAAACCTCTGACAGGTGAGCACCGTTTCTGGGGCCAGGGCTTCAAGTTTAGGCAGACTTAACTCTTCTTCTTTCAGCACACAGCGCACCATCGCCTCTTTTATCATGATCATTTTCTCTCGAATTTCCGCTATAGGTGTACCAAATACAGCGGCCATAAATATAGCAGCGAATAGCCAAATATTTTGGTAGAGAAGTACCAGACCCACGAAGGTCTTGCTGCCTTTGGCCTTCTCAAAGATGCCCCAAACTTCTACAAGTATGGTGACCATTGCCATGATAACAGAGATGAAGCCGATGACTTGGAACTTGCTAACCTCTCTTTCTGATACTTCCCATGGATTGCTCTCGCTAGCGTGACTGATACTTCTCCCCATCTTGTTGTTGTGGAAATCCCTCATTCCGGTAGAAAAATCGCTAGTTTCCTCCATAGGCTCATACATGACCCGGTTGTGTTCTCTTCTCACAGCTCGAGATCTACAGTATCCAACAAACTTTGGGACCAGAGTCATACCAATGGCGATGATGAGGATCACTACTTTTGTGAGGACAAACTCAGTGCTAATGTTGTTGCTGTAATCCCAGATGTAGTTATGTGGCTCTATGGGGTGTTTCAACTCAAAAGGTAAGGACGTGAGAGCAAGCAAGGCTACAGGCAGGATTACGCACAAGCAGATGAACCAAACAGCAACTCGTTTTGTGAAAAATGCTCCGAACATGTTCCCTCGATCGGCTAGTCCTAAGATGAACGGATAAGCTGAGCCTAAGAGGCAAAATAAACAAGATGCAACAGCTTTTCCAAATGCAATCATCTTAGCCTCTGCTTTTCCGACTTGATTAACCATGACACTTCCAATCAGTGCATTGTAGGTCAGCAGACAAAGGACTTGCCCGATCAGAAAATGATACATGAACCTCCTATAGCGGCCCAGGAACACCAGGACGAGGAGCAGCCAGATAGCCAGACCGACTCCCGAGTACCCTATACCTTCAGTCAGATTCTTAACCAAGGTGGTGGTTTCATCGCTGAACAACTGGCACCATGAAACATAGTACAGGGACATGAACAGGGTGCTGACAGGAGCAAAGCTGAGAGTGGTAGCTAGCACTATCATAGCGAATGTGGGTGTCAGTAAGTCGTACTGACTGGCGAATATGACGACAATGGGGGAGGATGGCAAGGTTCCGTAGAGGTAGAACATGATGGAGAGACTTTCAGAGGCTCCTTTGTCTGCTGGGATGATTAGTTGAGTCAATTTCATCATGAGAGGAGATATTCCTAGTTTAATGATGGTGATAACCACAATAGCCATGATCTGCCTAGGACTGGTAAAGTGCTTGACACTCCCGACCAGCACCAGCCCTGTGTACAGTAAATATATGGGAGGTATTGTTGTAGCCAGGCTTTTGAGAACCCCGTCCCCAAACCACTTGAAGAATGCTGTAGAATGTCCCACTCCCATGAGCCGCAGAATAAGTCCCAAAACTGCAGCTAAGACTGGAGGTCGAAGAAGAGATCGCATGAGAGCGCAGAGAATACTTTTACCCCAAGTAAGGGACAGCTCTCTGTTTCTCCGCAGCTCCAAGAAGAAGATTGTTATAGGAGCGTAGGTTGCGTAGGTCAGTACCATGGAGTCTTCCATGTAAGATGGGTAATCTTTGGAACCCGGGTATGTAGAATTATCAAACAGTGCATGAAGCAGCTGTTGACCAATAGCATAGTCATTGGAATGAACAGTGGCTAGAGCAAACAGGAACACAGCTGCCCAGCTAACAGACGACTTCCTGACCAGGATAAGTCCGACAGAGATTACAGCGGTGTAGAGGATAGACTTCACTATGATGATCCCGTAGAGGAAGTTGGGGAGGGTTTCGTGACGATCAGTGCTGGTAACCTGGACAGTGAGCACATTGTATAGGATACCAGCTGGCAGGGCTATGTTGAAGATGTAGGACGCTAGAACGGGCCTCCCTCTCCCTGTTGGGAGCACGTTGAATCTTCCCGCTAGGTATCCCAAAGAGATGAAGGTGAAGATGGTCACGAAGATAGGAAAAAATTTGCCAGCAAGTTCAGCCAGTAGGTGTGAATAGTCTTCGTTCCCTTCCATTTCTTTAAGATACAAACGAAGTTAGTTATAGCACTGTTAATTATTGGAGTTTGTCACAGTCTTGTTGGAACACTAAATTGTCCTGACACTGCACATGCAACTCAAACTTGGGTAAATTGTAGTTTTACAAAATGTACTTAAAGATTTAAAGAGTTAAAGTGTTGATGAAATATTTTGCTCTCGGAAGAAACGTTCGAAAGTAAACCGGCTAAAGAATCTGATTAAACACGAACTTAAATGCAGTGCAATTTGAGTAGGTCTCTAGGCTACTGAATTTTAAGACTCGTGCGGGTTCTAACTTTAGAATGGCGTGTACATCATTGATTTGGTGTTGAATTTCCGATAAGACATATCTGCCCGAAATAGAGATAGTTTAACCATGATGACCTTATATTTAATACTATATTGATAAGACTGTGGTACTATTACGAATTGTACATGATTAAGTCCTCTATTATTACAAATTGTGTACTCATCAGCATAATTGAACTTTTTGTAAAGCGTAGGGTTCCAGTTCAAAACCGCCCGTTTCTCTTTCAATATTGATTAATGCTGAGCAGAAAATTGAATATGAAGTTATTCTGAAAATAATATGAAATGACCACGTCTTGATGATCATGTTACTGTAAGAAAACACCGAATATCATCTCAGCGGTATATCTCGTGACATATTTTCTTTAATAAAATATTTCAAGATTGTAAAACAAATAACGAAAACCCGGTCATTTATTCTACCAAAAGGTTAAAAGAGCTCTGCATTCTAAACTTATTAACACCTCTACTCAGGTCGGCAGCAGTAGCAGCAGCAGCGGCACCACCAGTGTAGAACACAGCTTTAGGAGAGGGAGCAAAAAACAATACAGGCATACAGCGCAGACATTCATCAGGACTTCAAAAGTAACATTAATAACAATAAAGCTTTGGTGCAACTGGCATACATTGCAGACGACTAGGAACATTCTAACATTGCAAAAATTGTAAAAGCAGTTTAACTGTCAATCTGCAATCTGCATTAGATGTACTATACACTCATGCGCAGTAGTAGCTGGAAAATCTAGCAAAATGTTTCCAAGTAGCCACCCTCCCCACCCACACCCCCAAGTAGTTTAGATAGGCTTACCTACGCGTGTCTCCAAGTATATCTACTCAATCAGAAAAATAGAGACATCTTGTTTTTGAACATTTCAGAAGCTAAGATAATGCGGTTTTTTAGGTAGTCTATTATATAATATATTCCAGTAGAAGAGATGTGTAGCGTATTCTTGTAGTTGTTGGTTTTAATGTATCGTTCAGAATTTTGTACATCAATAGATCTGTATATTTGAAAACCTTTAAAATGAACAATGAAGACATCACAAGTATTATTTTTCAAATTAAATTTGTTTTTGAAACGCTGAAGCTTCAATATTGACGTTAAATAGTTTTACTTGCAGTCAGTTTTATCATTTTATTAAAACTGTATTGAATTTGGTGATCATAAAGTTATGTTTCCGAGAACGGTTCAAAGTGACGACGGTTAGAATGGGTTTTATTGGGGCTTTTGAGAAGTTACCGCAACAAAATGGACAGAATGGGAGAAAACTGCTTGAATTATATGTTCTTTCACATTTAAAATTATTTCTGATCAAATCTCATGAGCTATGATACTTATCTTATAAAATATCTAAATTTAATCACGACGTCACGACGTGGTGTTTTCAAATTTTCTCTATAAGAACAACACCAAACGAGGCTGATTTAAGATGGTAGAGGTTATTTTAATATCGTTAAGTTTTATAAAATCAGCACTTGATTACCTAGAGTCTATTCTCTTTTACCCTACCCTAGGACAAGCAGCTAGGCACTACTAGGCCAAGTGTTACATTTTGATAAACCACCAGATTTTCGGCGTAAAAAAGTGTGCCAATATTATGGTCAGAACTGGGTGCTTATAAAGTTATAAGTACGGGTCAATATCTAATGTTTCAGTACCAGATAGCAGTTCCTCATATTACTGGCATTTGTTCTGGGTTTGGGTTTCCTCGGCAACCAACCGTTTTAGATTAAAGTCGCCATACCTGCTATATATAATGCACTTGTTATCTCATGGGAAAAACGAGAGTTTGGCTATAATTAAATCATAGTTTAATCACCTTTTATTGGAAAACCGGTCGCTGCAGCCCAGAGTATTTTCTGCCAAATATTTAACGATATAACCTTGAATATAACCGTAACCTACGAGCGGTCCCCCTTTTAAGATTTGTCTCCTAGCCACCTTGTAGCGTTAAACTTGTTGGATCCCTTGATTCACACAGTGATTATCCACCCTCCTCACTTCCGCAGATTATGTTGTCAAATGGTTTCCCTTTTTCTAAATGCACTCTTTATATCAATTTACAAAAATCGTAACCACTTGAAAAATGCACTCCAAAATCTACAAATGAGCTAACTATCAAATTAGCTAACTTTGTTAAAATTTAAATCAAGATAATTTTACTTTATTAATTATTTGTTTCGTAACTTTTTGTTCTCTTGATCTGTTAGATTTTTCTTTTTTCTTTCTGGCGCATGATCTTCACCTAGAAGTCAGCATTCGAGCTTCAGATATGATAATATTGCGCCTTTTTGACTTTTGCAAATTTTTGACTTTTAACCTTTTTTTTAAATTGACTGACCACGTAACTGTTATTTCAAAGTCAAACCAAATCGATGGAATAGTATTAGGAATTTGTGACAAGTAATTTGTTAATATAAATCTTTATAGGCACCTCTGAACATCTAACTTCCGGATTCTAAGTCTTGACAGACTTTTCTGACAGAAAAGATGTCCAATATTAGTTATGTGAATGTTTGGATATTCACATTCACAATCATCTCATGTCCAAACTTAAGTAAGTTTACTTTAACTTTCAGAATGTTAATTATTATAGTATTATCAATATAATTACAACACTACAGATACATTACATCTATTGAGTATTATGTAATTGAACGGAAGTGCTTTAACCAGGTACTTTAACCACACCCAGGCTCCTTAATACGAAGGACTTTTTTAATACAAATGAAAAGCTCGAATATATTTGAACATTTCAATGATCCGAGTGCAGATTCAAACAACCCTTTATAACCGGCATTCAATACCTTTGTTCAAAATATTTCCGAAATAGAACACAACTCCTGAGTCCTGCACCATTACGCTTAGTCAGCCGCGGTAAAATTGTCAAGACTATTCAACATTAATTTGCATTAGGACCAGGACCAATGTAAAGAACCCTACAATTAACATTTTAATGGTTATTTTAAATGTCGGTTAAATATTCCAGGTTCAGCAGAGATAACAGTGTCACCTGGAAGTAGGGAAGTGGTAGACAGTGCATCTGCAACCTTCACTGTATCTTGTCAAATTGGTAGCTTGTCCTTGACTAGTGGACAAGTGACCAACGTCGAGTGGAAATTGGGAGATACGATCTTGTCAGATGATGACACCTACACACCAGATGTGGGAACAGCTTCGTATGAGGTTACAAATGCAACGCAAACGACCACCTTGGAGGTGGCAGGTTCTGGTACTACAGGGAGTATCATGCAGTTTACTTGTGTGGTAACTGATCCTAGTGATTTTCACGGAGCTACAACCAAGTCGGCCAATCCTGAGCTGAGATTTTACAGTTAGTTTTGAAATCTCAAACTTTTATTTGGTATCTTGAAATCAGTCCTTTTATTTTTGATCAAGTTTTCGCGACAGAACTCTGAAACGTGAATACTGGCTCAGTACTTATACACACCACTGCGACAAATCTGCAGCAGCATTTCATGGGATTTAAAAAGACTGTTATTGATGATCAGATTCGTGCTGCCATCGATTTCACGTCTTAATCGAAATTTCATATTTTAAATTTTGATCAATAAATTATTTGAGCAATCGAGCAATCGGTTGTTCTTTTATCCTAAACTCATACCAAATATTTCAGCTGTCACCTCAGTAGCTAAGAATGTTACAACCGCTGTAGAACAGACGTTGACTTGTACTATGAGTAACTTAGACACAAATCATGCTGCTTTAGTTGCCTGGAAGGATCCTACTGACGCAGAAGTTCTATTATCAGATACCACCAACTACGCTATGATTCCTGGAACAGTTAATGGTGATGGTACTCAAAACACCGAACTTACCATCAAACAAGCCAAAATGGCGACTTTCCCTGGAAAATCATCATTCACTTACAAGTGCTCTGTGACGTCATCACAGTATCCAGAATCACCCCCTTCACCTGATGTAGAGGTTGTTGCAGCCATCCTCAAATTAGGTATCCTCAAAGGGCGTTCCGGATTTATTTTCCAAGTGCCTGTTGTATTCTAGATGAAGTTCTCACATTTTGAGGTTACATTTTTATTTCAACTCAAAATGATGACATTTTTTATAGATCTATTGTTGCCTTTACTGATATCCGTCCATTATTGCAGCGGTAACTGCTGTGAACAAAGAACAGCTCACCGGCACAGTAGCGACTATATCTTGTATCGTATCTGGTCTGACCCAAGTACTAGACGATGTGAAATGGGCGTTATCTGATGGTACGGCCATTATATCTGGTCAGGATGGTTATACCATCGTCACTGGTAAAGATAGTTTCAGTGGTGATACCCAAATTACCACTATAGCAGTCACTGCCGCTCAAAACAATGTAGATAACATATACGACTGTCTTATCTCGTCTACTGAACATGCTGAAACGGACAAAAGTACGACCGTCAACTTAAAAGTGTTTAGTAAGTTCTCTCTCTCTCTCTCTCTCTCTAGTACTTACTGTAGTAAGTAATGTGCAGTTAGTTATTAAAATTTAGATATGTTCTGGAAAATCACTGATTGTGAAAAGTTAGGATTCTTTATCCAGTGATCGAATATTTCCAGAATATAATGACTAAAAAATAAGAGACAACTATTAAAACGGTCACAATGGAAGGTAAATTGGATGAAAAATCTTGAATAATCCGTAAGTTCTAATTGTAGTCTGTAGATTATTTTTGTAAGATGACGTGAATATTTCAGCTGTCATTTCAACAACAAAGTCTGTCACCACTGATACCGCACAGACGTTAACTTGTACTATCGGAGGACTGGACGACAGTAAGGGTGTTTCAGTGACGTGGAAGGATCCTGACGATGTGCAAATTAAAAATACGGATACCGACAACTACGTTTTGGATCTAGGACCAGTCACTGATGACGGAAATCAGAAAGCAGAACTTTATATCACACAAGGCAAAATGGCAACTTTCGCTGGAAAATCATCATTGAATTACAAGTGCATTGTGACGTCGAAACAGCATTTAGAATCCCCTTCATCTGCTGACCAAGATGTTGTTCTACTCATTCAAGCGGTACAAGCTGTGAACAAAGAACTGCTCGAAGGTACTGAGGCGAAGATATCTTGTGTTGTGACTGGCTTGACAAAGGTACTGGATAAGGTGGAGTGGAAGAAATCTGATAATACAAGCATTACTCCTGACAACGGAGATGGCTTTATCATCGACACTGGTAGCTTCGGCACTGGTTCCCAGACTACCACTTTGACTGTCCCTGATAGTCAGACCGACGAAGATAAGGTTTACAACTGTGTTATCACGCCCAATGGTGATGATGCCACGGCAAAGACTACAGAAGTCAATTTAAAAGTTTTCAGTAAGTTATTCAGCTTTTATAGCAAATACGATGAAAAGTGTTCATCAAAATGTAGATTTATATTCGATTTTGTAACTGGATATGGTTCGTTAGTCACACTTTATTGTCTCTTAAAATGATTTCATAACGATGACCCAATATTATTTCAGCTGTCAGTTCAACACCCAAAAATGTCACTACTGATACCGACCAGACCTTAACTTGTACTATCGGAGGACTAGACGCCAATCATGCTGTTACAGTGACTTGGAACGATCCTAATGGAGCAGAAGTACTAAGCTCAGATACTACCAACTACAAATTAGATCTAGGAACAGTTGAAGAGAGAAGTATTCAAAACGCACAACTAACCATCAAAAAAGCCAAAATGGCAGCTTATGCCGAGGAAACATCCTTCACTTACAAGTGCTCTGTGACGTCAACACAGTATTCGGACTCCCCTTCATCTGACCAAGATGTTGTGGCTAACGTAGAACCACGTAAGGTTCCATACTCGATTTAGCTTTCATATGTCCATGCTCTATGACGCGCCAACCTTGACTGATCGAGTCGCTGTTTAACTTTATTTTTGCAGATGAGGAGAGACGAGGCATACAAACGAGTGCAATAATTGGAGCAGCTATAGGAGGAGTTATATTAGTATTCGGTGCAGCTGGCTTTGCGTTTGCTATATTTAAGAAAACAGCAGTGTAAGTGTTGAAACTTATTCGATGTTTTTCTAGCCATTACCAGTTCGAAAGATTTTACGCTTCATATTTTAAACCTGATATTTGAGAGCATAGCGTTCATTCATATCGTCATATAATTCTCTTATCTAACACAATTGTAAATTATTCTAAATTAACTAAATTTTCAGGAAAGTGGGTGCAGCAGCCATAGAAGTAACTTATGAGGGAAGTGCCGGGACAGTTCATACAAACCCTCACAATTTTGCTGGAAATTAATCCTCTTGGAAGGTTGAAATGTTGGTATTGGTAAAATTAATATGGTATATTTCGTGACCTTATGATTAAATATGACCCGATTTTGTGAACAAGCTCTTTTTAACTCTCCACTGCCAATTTCTAAATTTCTAATTGCAGCTTGGGCCAGTGTAGTGGGTACGTTTCGTATTTCAATATTTGTTGATTTTTATAAATTGTATTAATTTATAGTAATTGAAAATATTTAGACCTCTTTCATTGGCAGTTATAGGAGTTAAAGTTTAAACTCTAGTTTTATAAGTATTCAGAAAATATTGTATATAACAAGATATGATGCACACATCACTCATCGGCTGACCTTCAAGGCTCATATTATTTACTTTAATCGAAAGTTTATATAATGAAAATGATGAAGATTTAGAGAAATAACAATACCTTGTACATTCCGGTGTAAGGATCCTTTTCATCGTCCTCATCCTCGTCAGGATCCCCACCCAGCTTCTCCGTTCTCAACATGTTGAACTGAGGAAGTTAAATTATTTATCACGCATAACTTAATTACTTGTTAATCAATCCTTCTGTGCCTTTTTAGCTTATTCGTAGTTTCAATGACTAACTAATGGTTAATGTGTCCCTTCATTAGTTAGCAATAGTAACCGCTAGGTGCAGATTTTACCATAGAGTTAGGCCCAGCGGTGGCTTTTACAATCCGCACAACTAATTTTCGAGCGCTGTTGGATAGACGTCCGCGACCCTCTTTCCAAACGATTTGTAAAACTGATGAATGCGATCGGGCGTGGTCAGTGATTGTAGATATAGAGTATATGACGATATACGGTGTACTGTTTTCTGGGTCACACATGCACATGCGATATAACGTGCATGGCGATATAAATTGTCTGACGGTATACAGTGCGCAAATCTTATCCTAAACTTAACCACAGCAAGGACGCCAACACATTGCCAAACAGAAACTGACGGACTAGTGCGATGATAAAGTGAGCACAGAGACTCACAGTCTGACGATCCAACTTAACCTTTGTCAGGGACAACTCTAGTTAGTAGCTGCAGTGCAGACTTTCCAAATCAGTGATGGCGGCAATGCTCGATGCTCACTAATGATCAGCGGATAATAACGATTATAATAACTTAATAACGAAGCTGCGTCAAGGACATATGTTAATATGGGACGGTTTTGCTTTATAAGAATTAGGAAGCTCACAACAACAACAACGTGCAGGCATAGTTGGTTCGTGCGTCAATTTTTCGGGATAAGTGTATTATGATTTTTTTCGTGCGTTAAAGTGCTTTAAATTGCGTCTGCCTTAAATCTTGCAGGCGATCCTATAGGTTTGGATAAACGATTAAAATGACCTTCATTAGCTCGATTTAACCAACTTAGTGAACTTAGCAAGGGATAGACTAGGATGAAGGAGTTTATTTACTATGAGACATATTGAACGGAGGAGTCTTAGAAAGCGTAAATAGGCCAGCACATTATTGAGCCTCTTTATGTGCTCTTTCGTTTATAGATGTTATTATTAATTATATATTATAAGCTTCTGAAGACTTAACGTGTCATTTAATACTTTATAACATACATTTTAAACTTATTACAACACTACAAATTTATTACATTTATTGAGAATTATGTAATGAAACGCGATGGAAGTATTTTAAGCGGGCATATCCTGTCCAAACCCAGGATGCACGACATAAAGAATTCGTTTTAACTTGTTTGCATGAAAAGCATTAAATTTAATATTATATATTTAGTGGACAGTAAATAAATATTGAAGATTCCCGATTGCAATTGGGCACGATCGAAAGTCGAAACCATCTAAAATAGCTACTGTATGGCCGAGCAATATGTGGATTCTTGACTATGGCCGATGGTATGTGCATTGTATAAGTTTGTTTGGTAAAAAGTGGGTATCTAAAAGTACGTGAATTTAAGTCGTTTCGTGCGTAAATCACTAAATTGCGTTGTGTTTTAAAAGTTCGCAGTGCGCACGAACAAACAATGGGTGCAGGGTCTGTTGTACAGTGCAATTAAGGACCCAATGTTGGCCATTATGACCCAGGTTATTAACTTAATCTGTTTGACTTGCTATTTACTGACCTTATTTGAACGGTCACCATCAACCTAGGGGATTTGTTTAATTGTACTAATTAAGTTTACTTTTACATTAAATAGAACATTTGCACGTTAGAAATACTAGCAGGAACCCGTCTAACCCTAAAGTGGTGTCAAATCTTAAAAGACTAAAATAATTATTATCTATTTAATTCGCGTTTTTGACACCACTTGGGGAGCCAAATTTTGAACACTAAAATTCTTATTTCTTGGCCAATTTTTTATTTTTTCATGCTGATTTGAAGGCCAAAAAGTTTAAGTTGTATATCTTTTAAGGTTTTCGGCGGAAAGTCGTGCTAAAGTTGATGCCGTGGTGTCAGTAAAATAGTACGGAAAACATATACCTTATCGGACCTTATTTGGACGGACATTACTTGAACGCTGGAGGCCCTAGCGTTCATCTTAATGTCCGTCCAAGTTAAAGTCCGTTGAAATGTTTTCAAAAACTTTTCCATTTCGAACTTTTTACCCAGAATATGACAACTATGAGAACTTTATTGTGCCGTAAGTTAACGACGGAAAGGTTCTCCTTGGTCTGCCGGAGGCACAGAAAACTCTACTAGTATATGATGTTTTCAAGGGTCACTTGGAGGAAAAAGTCGACGAGTTCATATTACTGAGGGGATTAATGAAACAGTGCTAGGAAAGCTCCACGTGATGTTAAGGTTAACCTAAAGTTGTCTAAGATAAAAACCACTTCACGCCGAATGGCTTGTAAAAGTTAACACTGAAATGCAGGACCGGGGTAGTTTGATAAAAAAGGTTTCCACAAAGCTAGAAATCACTGATGCTTGTTTAAGCATGGACTATTTCATGCACGAAAACCTATTTAATGAAGATGATATGTGATATTAGACACTAGCGCTGATCATGTACACATATTTTAACATATTTACTGCTTAATGACTGCTATTCTTACTTACTGTATAAAAAATGGATTAAAAATCATTTGCTGAAATTTAAAAAAGTCAAAAATTGAAAAAAATTCGGATTTTTGATGGTTTTGAATGCCTTCGAGCGTTCATATTAATGTCCGTTCACAATTATGTCCGTTCATGTAATGTCCGTCCAAATAAGGTCCGATAAGGTATCGTCTCGCTTTATATATAGTAATATTGTTTTAGTCAGCTTCTTTTACCAAATTGGTGGGAAAAAGTCAATAACGACACCCGAAAGATGACTTTATGAAATTAATTACAAATGACAGGAGAAGAAATCATTTATGCTTGCATTTGAATCCCTGCTCCATTAAATCATATCCAGGTACAGGATATAGGATAGCCTCGAACAACTCCATTTCAAATTTGTGGAACCTCTTAATTACTTAAATACTAAATTAATTACTCGATTGTCAAGTATTTTTAGGATGACTCGAAGCAAAGATTCAGCAGATGAAGATGAACCTCAACATGAACCAATTCTTAAGGAAATGGCGTTTCGGATTTTCATGGTGAGCTGGTTGAATTTATTAAAATATTTGAACGTCTTTTAGAAATGTTTTACTTTGTAGTTATACCAAAATATGAATTTTTGATCAACAATAAACTCACAAATAAATATTTTTCAGTTGGAGAGAAAACTAGGGGTTTACATGCGATCAGTGGACAGATACAGGGTTATAGTGGAGGAGATGACGAACTGTAACTCAGTTCCAATTAGAATTAAACTCGGGGAGGCTCTGAAATCAGTGGAAAGATATCGACTTATAGTCGGGGAAATAAAGGACACGGCCGGCTTACCAAAACAACTATTTAAAAAACCCCAAGAAAACCTGGACAATGCAAGTTTGCAGCGAGAGTAGCACCGCGAAAGTTCGACAGAGAGAAGAGTTGATATTTAATTAATTAATTAATAAGTTAATTAATCTAAGTTGAATGAACATTGTATGATGCCGAAAATAATAATATGAAGCTCTTGATTAACTTTGTATAGTTGCTGATTAATTACAAATGAGTTCATTAACCGAATTGTTCTGTATGCAAAATCTACTTGGGCTCACAATATATTATATTATTATAGTATTAGTAGGGCTCACAATAGCCTTTTACTAGCCTGTTATCACACAATTTATAAAATGTTGAAGTGTAGAGCTATAATGGAGGTCGCGCTTGCCAGCACTGCAATTCGACTAAAATTAAAAATCTGAAGTTGTTCACGGTATTGCCTCAAGCACGAAACTTAAGAGATGTAAACAATATGGAAAATGAATGACAGGCGATGCGGAAGTATGATGAGGAAGTATGATGGCAGTACCTGCTGAATAGAATCACTGAAGTTGTTGAAGTAAAGTTCGATCTCCTTCTCGTAAACCACCAATAGAGGCAGCTCGTGTTTCTTGAAAGTTTTGTAGATGAGCTTGTTGCCCTGCATGGCGTAGTACCGGGACCACCAGTACATGGACAGAAACTCCCAATCATCTGATTCGTCTATTATAGGGATAGGGCCCGGCTGAGGAAACTACTTTAGAATTTGTGTAATTTGAATACATTATTGCAGGAGTGTTATATTAAGGGTGAACAAATTCACAACACACACACGCACATTCACACGCGCACATTCAGTAAAATTGATATAGATCTGAGAAAATTCCTCATTTGCAATACTGACTGGAGCTAGAGGTTTCTTGGTAGCGAAGCAGCAGCAGTTGCAGCAGCCCTCTTCTTCCTCCTCCTCTATCACTATCACTGTCTCTGTTTCCGTTACTGATATCGACTCTGCGTTCTCGGGGGTTCCTGAAAATACATATGTTTAGTCATTCGTGAGCTTTTGAAACATCAAGTAAATCCGATTGAAACTGCACATTTAAATAATACAGATTTAACTTGATACATACCTTCTGATTCCTCAGTAGTGGAACTTCCCTCCAGTTCAGCGGCTGCTAACTTCTTCTTCAGATACTCCGGGTCGTACTGAGAGAACGACTTAAGTACATACTTTCCCACAAGTGGTGAGAAACCGTTAGCTCTCTGATCCAGTAGTCTGATGTTTATTGGTGGCTTGTATGTGAATCCTTGGGGGAGCAGCTGAAACGTTCAGAGGTCAGAAACGGTTAGTCTACCGGAAAAGATGACCGAACATGGGGAATATTTGTTTGGCGAGGGGCCAGGCATCAACTGGCAAGAGATCGAAAATTCACCAAGAAGTATGTTGTAGCAGAAAATTGAAGACTCACCACGTCAAAATAGTGTGAAGTTTGAGGGAAGTTAGGCAGATTAACAAGATCAGGAATCTTAGGTAATGTTAGCATAGCCCCTCCGCACTCAATCTCCAGCAAGGGGTTGTCTATAGGTTTCTTGGCCCAGAACTTGAGATGTCTCAATCCCCAACTTAGCACCTCTACCCTAGTGTTTTTAAGAATGGGTCTGATGCCTGGCGGCACTTGATATCCGTTACCACTCGGGTGTCTGGGTGGATCGAAGGGTATATCTTCAGGCTCTTCTGATATATCAGTATCCGTCTGGCCTTTCTTTTTGGTCTTCTTTTGTTCCTCCGCTACTGGCTCAGGTTTGCTAGTCTGAAAGGATATTTTTAGACATTTTGCTTAATACATAACATTAGATTTAACAAGATGCGGAAACCAAACTCATATAATAAATAAATAGTGTTATCAGCCTTTTACCCAGAATATTTCGAAAGCAGCTAGAACATCACCAGCATTTTCACCATTCTTGACAATAGGTATCCACTTCAACTTGACAGGATCGTAAGGCTTTCCGAAAGACTCATGTGGCATTCCCGTTACTGTTCCTAGATGCTCATCACCCTGTAACAATTGTTGTTCTGCAATCGTTGTCTCAAGAAGTAGTGATAAGATTGAAGGAATCATGACCAATGATAAAATCATATGATCGATCTTCTCAATATTCGATATCAATCAAATCGAGAGAAATCATAAAAGTGTAAATGAATTAGATTGGCGATGAAACGAGAGACTAACCAGGGGACCACGATGGTAGACGTTGATAGTGACCTGTGGTAGAGCTTGCTTGATTTCCCTGATTTTTCCAACAATAGAGATGTCCTTGAAGACCATGGTTTGGTCCCAGCACGGGGAGAGTTGCTGCCAGATCGTCACCGTATTCTGGGTCTGTCTAGCTACACTTACACAGCAAAACGTGTCTGCAGATTAAGAAGGAGTCGGTTCATTTCTATATTAAACACAGCTCATCCTTTTGTATCAGAAAATAATCTTTCAAAAAGAGACCCTTGTAAGCTATAATATTTGCATTATGCACAGATAACGAGTTATTTTGTTTTTGTCCAGTGTCCACGAAAGGAAAGTGCTTGAATTGCTAACTTACTGCAATAGCCGCTGACATCAGGACTACTGAGGGCTCTACCGGAATAAACATGAGTCCTCACTTCAAAGAAGTGTTTATCCGGGAAATTTATCAGAATTTGCGCTGGAACCTTGACCTTCTGGTTATTCAACACCATTGTGAAAGTGATCGGTCCTGAGTAGTTCAACATTTTAACAAGTAAGATATCGAGGGCATGAAACCATAAAAACAGATGTGTTCCGGTATTTAGTTGGAGGTAATACAATTAGGTTGTAACAAGAAGATAACCATTTGTCAGAACAAAAGAAAGAAGATCTAACCAAACTTGAAAGAGTCGAGCTGGCGGCGGTATCGTCTTCTCCTGACGATATCTGAGCCCATCTCTCCGCTGTGGAACTTAGTTGTGAACATTTTAGCGTACTCCCAGCCACCTGTCTTCTCAACACTCTCCTAAGGGACGTTTTTTATCAATTTGGCAAAAAGGAGCCTAGAATAACTACAATATCATTGTTCTTACGTTGTAATTGCATATTCGAAGATATGATTAAAAACCTCTCATGTTAAATCTTACTTGTATAGTCAGAACTCTACTAGCACCAACTTTCACTCTGCTCCGTAGCCATAGTCTTCTCCGACACAGGTGATATGACTTGGCACTTGAACAGTAATCGCTAGAGTCGGGGTCCAATGCGTATTGGTATCCTGTGATTGAGCACAACTTTATTTACTTTCAATTAATTTCAACGATGATCGAATGTGAACCAACGTTGATTGATTAAGTCATTCCCGAAAGCTACAAATATCACTATCAAGGAACCCCAGCGGGGAGAAGAGGAACCCCAGCGGGAAGAAGAGGAACCCCAGCGGGAAGAAGAGGAACCCCAGCGGGGAGAAGACGAACCCCAGCGGGGAGAAGAGGACCCCAGCGGGGAGGAGAGGACCCCCAGCGGGGAGAAGAGGAACCCCAGCGGGGAGAAGAGGACCCCAGCGGGGAGAAGAGGACCCCAGCGGGGAGAAAAGGAACCCCAGCGGGGAGAAGAGGAACCCCAGCGGGGAGAAGAGCAACCCCAGCGGGGAAAAGAGGAACCCCAGCGGGGAGAAGAGGAACCCCAGCGGGGAGAAGAGGAATCCCAGCGGGGAGAAGAGGAATCCCAGCGGGGAGGAGAGGAACCCCAGCGGGGAGAAGAAAAACCCCAGTGGGGAGAAGAGGAACCCCAGCGGGGAGAAGAGGAACCACAGCGGGGAGAAAAGGAACCCCAGCGGGAGAAGATGAACCCCAGCGGGGAGGATGTTTTTAACGTACCTTCCACGTCCCCAGGTGACATGGTGTCCACATGCCAGTCTACTGTTACCTCCCATCCCTCAGGGTTCTCAACTTCATCTCGCGGTATTGTCAGCTCCATTCTCTGGAAAGTTCGGATGATGAAATGGTTTTATTGATGGACAATAAATAATTATTTCCTTACCTTGAGCTACCACGCGAATGAAATTTGTCACGTTTTCCGACCCTATGAACAAACTCCTACTAAAGGCACTTATATATATATTACACTGAGAGGTATTTTGGATTTAGATTTATGAATACTCAATGATGTCAAAGACTAACCGAATTCATCCAGAAGAGTAAAGGATTAGACCAGTCGTCCCCGATCTCAATAGTCTGTACCTCGAACACTTCGTCTGTGTAAGAGTTCAGACCAAAATCTTCACCCACGATGGAACTGAAGAGTGTAAACAACAAATTGTTAATGTTTAGGTAATGTTTTAATAATGAAATTATAAGATCTCATCACTTAAAGTGGATGTAAATTTCAAACGAGCAACTGAAGCCTCTAGCCTCTTCTCACCTGAAGTCTGGAGTGACAGCCCATTCACTGACCCAGAACCAGCCATTGGGAGGTTCGAAGTTTATCTTGGGGAGAGCTAGCAGACCATTTACATCAGAGAATCCAGGTCTCTGGAGGCCCTTACTCGTCCAGTTACCTGCACCCATAACTGCTTGATTCTCATACTGAGGAAGGTACCATCAGAACCAGTTCGACACTTGAAGTGAGTAACAACCGCAAGTAACTTAATATTGGCTTCTGAAAGCCCTGATAAATTATCAAAATGCAAATACTCTAAAGTTAGACTGACGGTTTCTGCAAAGGCAGTGTAGGTGCCACCGTAAGGTACCCGCCACTTGTAGTACTGGTCTAGGGAACCAAACCAAATGTAACACTTCATGAGAGTAGCAATGGAGGAACCGTCCCCTCCGACGTACTGATGGAACAACATTGATTTATGGCTTACTTGAAGACGAGATATCGTTATTTTGATAAATGTCGAGGGGAAATAACACCAACTCCAGTCAAGGGTTTCACAGATACTTACAGGGCTGACGAACATTAAAAATTATATATTGATCAACCAACATAACACATAACAACAAGGTAACATTATGCATACACTCTAACACTCTAACACTCTAACAGTACCTGGAAGGGGATGTGTCTGGTTGAGCCGCTGAATTTCCCTTTAGCCACATTAGACTCAAGGAACCAATGTATGGGAGCCTTGTAGTATCCGATCTTAATATTTTTCATTATCATCCATATAACGACGTCAGGAATGTCAGTTTGGGGCTCCTCGCAAATAACACCAACTGTATAATGTTCAGGTTAAATCAAACATACGTGATACAGTGAAACCGTGAGCTATCTAATGTAAAAGATTGATTGGTCTTCATTTTCACCCTGACGTAAACCAAAACCTAAATCATATCTCTTAGACGACGACAAGACTCACTAGAGTCTAGACTGGCAACAGCCGGGAAACGACAAAATGGGGCAAAAGATCGACCGGGCTGTTATATTGTCCCAAAAGAGGTTATAAAATGTAAACACCTTTCTCCAAAGCAAGAAGCATTTCATTGTAAAAGTCTCTAGAAGGGTTCACATCTTTGATCATCCTCCCTAACTTAACAATTAACTCATCCATCCTAAATCTCCTGAGAGCCTTGAGTCTCTTATCCAGCTCGTTACAATGATCTGGTAGCTCGGGCAGATCTAACTTGAGGTTGTCTATCAGGGTTTTTAAAGAGTTCTTCATCTTGCTCTTGATGGTCCTGTCTGTTAGCTCCAGCTGAATCGCGTCGTCCACATCTGCAATGTCAGCTTCCTGAATATTGTGCACGATTAATCGTTATTAACGATAGAAAAGAACGCGTTGGTTATCAATCGACGGGCGTAATATCTGGTAATTGAGCTGATAATTTGCAAAATAATATTCTAAATTAATATCAAAACCCCGGGGTCAACTTACAAACTTGTCATATATTCTCTGAAGCAGATTAAGAGTCTCGAGCCTGAAGATGACATCCTCCCACTCACAGACGACCAGAGCAGCTGGGGCTCCTGCATCCCAGTTTAGATAGTAGTACCGGGTACTGTCGAACAGGGGTTGGGTGGGCTGTGTGTTGGAGTTGGTTCTGTCTACCGACATGCTATTTGCATTACCAAACTCCCCGCAAGACACCTGATGTATTGTTACTTTCTTCATCATGTTCAGTTACCTCAGCTACAAATGTTTTATCAAATGCTTCTTGATTCTGACACCTTTACTAGGATAACCACTTCCCCTAACGCCCATTTCATCTTTTTATAAATTATCATTTCTCAAAATGTTGAAATATAGGGCGCACCTCAAACGTTACCACACTGTCCGCCTTCTCGATCATAGTGGCCTCCAAACAACACGCAGCAATGACAAACTTGGTCCTGTTCAAGTATCTCTCACTCTTGGCTTTGGCATCAGGGGCACTGGGCTGCACTCTACACGTCACTCCCACTGAGTAACTGGGTTTCGTGAATATCTCCATAAACATCCTGCCTCGGAAACCTATGCCTGAGGGGGAATTGCTGGTTTTAATCGATAAATATTGTAGACTGGACACACAATAAAGCAAAAAACGAGTAAAAATGAACGTTTGAGAAATAGGCAATGCTGAATTAAGGGTTTTTGGAATATTGATGAACTTACCAGGCACCCATCCATCGTTGAGGTACTGGAGTTGCTCGTTATACTCTGTTATTTCTCTGGGAGCTCCACTGAAGTTGATGAAGCAAGGACCGAATGTGGGGTCGAACCCAATGTCGTCTTGAGAGGAGTAGGAGATGGAGGATAACTTGAGGAAGTAGGTGGCGATTATGTCGTCGTCTCCATCCAAGTCTCGGTCCACTAGACGGATTATCAGGGTATCGGTCACAGTAGGGACCTGATGATGTCAGATTGTGAAGAGTTTGTGGCAACTCGGTAATGAACGCGAGAAGATCGCTTGAACCATACATTGATACATTACCGAAAATGATTTGATAGTTTATAGTAAGCTTCTTTATTGCGCCCTTCGAATAACTGAGCTATTAAGACCCCCTTGACAATTAAGCCAATGTCTGTCTAACCTCTATATTGTAGATGATGTCCTGGAAGAAAACAGGGTTGTACTCCGCGTACATGAGGTCAGTCAGTCCTTCCACACCGCTATAGCTCACAGCAACGTAAGGGTCCGACAAAGCTAGCCGCTGTAGAGTCTCGTTTTCTGAGACAGCATCATCTGCAGACACTGAAACACAAGGTTATATTTACAACTACTTTGGGTAGTGAAAACAAGACATTGACAGAGTTCTGGACAACAAATAAGTAAACTTTCTGTTGAAGACATTATGTACTCACTGGGAGCGACATCCTCGCAGTGTAGTATTCTAACTACTAGTCTCTGGTATTGAGCGTTCACCTCACTGGGCCTCATCACGTTCCTTATAGTAGGTTAAATAAAACAGGTTATCCAGTCGAATTCAACAACACGATGATACTTGTACCTTAACCTATAATTTCACTCAGCTCCAAGGCTGTAGAAATTTGTTTATGGGATATAGCGCGATTGAAACCGAACTGAAAAGGTTATGCCATCAGGAGACATACAATACTATCGACTTGTTATTTGTATCATGTCGTCAAGTACTTACGAGAATACGTTGAGCAGGAGAGGTTCAACTTGGGGAGGTGCCAACAGTTTTTGTCCCGATGCCATTATGCTCATGGACAGGTTCACAAACCCCTGGGAGAAGTTTAAGTGACTGTGTATGATTTAGAAGAACAACAATTGTTTGTTCGAGAAAAGACCTAGATCATGTCGACCATTTTCGATATTGACAAGTTTGATAGGAAAATAAGACTTTCTGGACGTAAGTTAAAGTATTAAAAACTACGTATAAACCTTGATATTTTTAGGTGATTCAGTAGGGTGTGTGATGATTAGCCACTTGCGGAACATGGTTCTACAAGCGTCATTTGAGAGGTACCCTGGTTCGTCCCATCCAATAGGGTCACTTTGGAACGCCGTCATCATCACAAACTGCATACATGATGTTTGGTCAATCCAATCAAATATAAATTGAATGCTTGTGTGATAGAGTACTCCCCCTCTATACGTATAAGAGTTATACCAATTACTGCTAGAATAGGTTTCATAGGCAGAACTGAGCAAATAATTTCGAAACAAGGAATTAAGCAGATAAGCTATATCGTGCTATAATATATATAGTCTATATATATACTCACCTTAAATTCCCCCACTAAAGAAGCGTCATCTAGCCTCAAAGTGTTCAGTACTCTTAAATGCACTACATCTTTTGCTATCTCAAAGGGTGAGCTGTATGTTACGAATGATATCGCCTGGAAAGGATATATTTGTTTACCTTCCTCGTTAATATCATGGCGGCTCAATTTATGACCGTTATTGATATAAATATTGACCATTAAGAATACAGCGGGATGCCCGAAAAACAGCCGCATTTAAATGGTGACTACCCCTTCCTTCGATATATCTGATTGCCGCAAGAAAATGTATGATTTTTCTCAAATATTCTAGATTTTTGGCGCATCATTCTTGGTTCAATTTCATTTATTACCTCAATTCTTGCCGATAACATTGATAGAGAGCTGCATAAATCATGAACTATTGTCGTGAGGCAAAATAAGTTGCACTTGTAGGAGGAAAATACGTTATCTTTTATCTAGGACTAGCATGTATTATTAGCCGAATAACTACTTGTATATTGTATAATGTATAAGTTTGCCTTTACGTTAGGGAGCAACTATGGCTAGCCACCCTCTTTATCCTTCAAACTAATAACCTACCTCGTTATAGACAGGGTCTATGCTATCCTCGCAGATCTGCGTGCTCTTAGTATCTTTACCGATGGTGAGCACAACCACAGGATCACAGGGAGTGTGGGTAAGCTGTCTAGCTTCGTGGATTAGGAACCGGATCTGATACACGTCCTTTACCACTGAGAGATCCGCGTGGTTCATCGGCTGGGCTCTGGTGCAAATTTACAGGTTATAGTTAAGTTTTTAATAAGTTGTACAACGCTTCTAAAATAGAGCAAATAAAGTGGTGAACATTCAATAAACCAAAATAAAATCATATGCTGGTCGATGTAACATTTAACACGTGCTTAAATTTGATGTTTAAGGTATAGTAACAGTATAAATAGAGTCGCTGCAGTAAAATGTTCCGATTGATAGAAGGTTGCTCAAATTTGTGCTTATTGACACTCAAACTTACAATCTGTCCCCTTTAGTTTCCATTATGGAATCGACAGGTTTAGCGTGAAATACAAGTATTGCACTTCCCTGACAAGTAATTAAAATGGCTATTTATTTTCATTTCAAAAACGATAAATGTTATGAATGAAGACTGTTGTAGTATTATATACTTTGAATAATGTCAGCATAGTTCAACAGTATCATTTATGAGAAATGAGTATGAAAGGGAAGAATTATAAAGGAATCCTTTTCAGAAAGAAATTTAGAGTGATATTTCTTTTAATGCAACATTCTTCAGGGTAAGATAAGTTGATATCAAGAATGAAATCTGGAGGCTTCTCCATTCAAATCATCAATTAATGAAAGTGATCTAAAGCGCAATTGAATGACTTCCATGCTTCTATAGTTTTAATGGTAAAAATCATCGAGTTTGAAAATTCTCCACAGCTACTATTTGCTATTGAACTGCTAGTTTCCATTTCCATTTCCAAGAACTAGCAGGTTCTTTTCACTCACGTTCGAGAGGATGATTCTTCAGTGTATGGATCGTGGTGATCTTTAAACATGCACTCAAGCATTATCTTAGCCTATTTGTCGGCATGAGGAAAAAATAGTAAGAATTTCTAACTATAGAAAGTAAATTATATGAATACATTATACAATGTAACTGTATGGTAGCTAGTAAAATTATTTTTATATTTATAATAGAGAGCTTATCATATGATTAAATTTACGATGATGAACTCGACTAACTTTAGTCCGAAAATGTTTGAAAATGGAAAATCGATCGTTTCGTTTTTACCGCGAAAACATTTTGTGCGATGAAAATTTTCGTCCGAATTCCTAGTAGTAGTACATTAATATAGTAGGTTTAGTAGCAGTAGATTTTAGTAGTAGTAGGTTGGGTTAAATAGAACAGGGCGATGGAACAATAGCATAAATTAATGGAGAAAATTACTGTGGAGGAAATGGACAATCCTTTCGGTAAATTGCCATTTATGCCATGATGTTTGGTCATGTGACACCTAAATGGGTCATCATTATTCCTAACATGTTTATTTATACAGACCAGGCTACTCAAAACTCTGTGATGTGCTCAACTACACTATATAATAATAATAAGAGTAAGAGATAACAAATGAAACTAACAGCCCCTAAGGGTAACAATTAAAACTTCTCCGAGTTTCATAAGTTGGGACCCTCAGGGGATTGGAACTAGAGGCATGATCCGGTACACTTTGGCACGATGCTAAATCGAAGTAAAATTATTAGTAATTACTAATTCTAGTCTGGTCATATTATAGCTTCAAACGTATCCGTTATTTTGAAATCTTTTTGCAGGATCGTAATCAGCTTGGCGGGACGAAACGTTTGGTAGCGAGTTTATGAGATTGGAAGATGAAGAAAATTTCAATGACAAATGAATCAGCATGAAAAAAGTTGAAATCATAAAATTTAAGACTAATTTATTGATGAAGAATAAGACATGTACTGAATGATTATAAATTTGAACGTCAATATTAAATATTTCTTTAACATTTGATACTGGTTCAGACCTGATAGTAATATTTCAAACTCACCCCGTTCTCTACACCCGACGTGTCCTTCAGTTTTATTTGCTTAGCTTGCTCGGGATGGTTCAGAAGAGAAATAGCAGGGAATTTGCCGTGTCCAATAACCCTGGGTAACGAATCCTTTTAGGTTCACTGCAGCTCTTAGGGGTCGTTCACATATTACGTAATCAGCCGAGGGGGTTCCCAAATGATTGCGGTTGATTACGGTGGGGGGGGGGGGCGGGGGATTTGGTTGTTGATTACGTCAAAATCAAAATTTAATTTCACTCTGATAGTGATAAAATTTAGGAATGGATCGGGTATCCGGCTGCCGAAGTAAGTAGTTGAGAAGGTGCTTGGCCGGATATCATAACAATGATTTCGGCTCATAATGATCAGGGTAGCATGAAACGTAGAGAAAAGTGCTTTCCAGGGAAAAAAGTCGAAAAAAGGGGGGGGGGGGGGGGGGGGGGGGGGGTCAGGCCATGATTACGTAATTTTGCTGTCAGGAGGAGGGGGTTGATTACGGAGGGGGAGCTGGTAAAAATTGCTAAAATATTGATTACGTAATATTTAAACGACCCCTTATGACGTCACACGTCATGGTCATGGTCGATATTGCGAAATCCTTATTTAGAGGCCATTCTATTTCTACTACATGGGGTTGACTATTAAGTTTCTATAAAGGAGGTGGTTGGCAGAACCAACTGTATTCAATTGCTATTGTTAGAATAGTATTCTCCCTATTCACAAACTTTATAATGTCATTTTATTTAAATATCACTATCATTTTAGCTAATGATAATCTACAAGCACTATAATGTGCATAAACATATAATAAAGATAACTCCGCCGAATCTTTACTCGGCGGAATGACAGGCTGTGAGGCTTAGCGCGGCCCAGTAAACAATCACCTGCTCAAATTACGTTTTAAATTCGATCATTAAATCGATTCAATGATTTCTCTCCTAACAGGAGAATATGCATTAGTGCCAATGCCATAATATTAGTATATTTGATTTTGTTGCCATCACAAATATACATACACTAATACAGTAACAAGTAGTATATTTCGTGAACTCAAATTATTTGCAGCTGACAAACCTGGTAATGATCACACACCTAGCTTAGATTTGTAATCTTTGTAGAATAATAACAATTTGACAATATTTTAAATTTAATTCAAATTCCACTCTATTTCACCCTGATAGTAATACAATTTAGGAATGGATCAGGTCGGGGTGTCGAGCTGCTAAAGTAGGCAGTTGGGAAGGTGCTTGGCCAGATATCATAACAATGATTTCGGCTCATAATGATCAGGGTAGCATGAAACTTAGAGAAAAGTGTTTTCCAGGGAAAAAGTAAAAAAGAGGGGCATGATTACGTAATTTTGTTGCCAGGAGGGGGGTGGGGTCTTGATTACGGTTGATTACGGAGAGGTGAGGGTGGTAAAAATTGCTAAATTATTGATGTTTTATTACGTAATATGTGAACGACCCCTTACTCCAATATAGCTCAGTATACGACAACGGAAAGGTGCTTTTTGACTTTGTAAGTAACTTAAAACAATTAAGTTCCATGTTATAATAAAACAAAAATGACCGAAAAGTTTCAGAAATAAAATAAAGTTAAATCATGGAACTAATTTCTTCGTAGCTAAATAGTAACTAACTTGCCACGAGCATCTGTACGGAAGGTGTAGACAACTATTTCAACACAGTCGTCTTGGGTTATGCCACGTTTACCCAAAGGAAATGTGAATAACTGCAAATAAACTAGTTAGACAATAGACATTTAATTAATTTAAAAGCCTGCATATTACATAAAAAGAATTTACGTCTCTGGTTCTAGAATTCAAATAGATTTGTCCGGATATTGGATATGAAACTCCCACACCGGGCATACCTCATTCCATTTAGGATTAAGATCGTTGTCAAAGACTTTACTCTTGATGCTGTAACCCTGGAAGCTGCACACCACCATAGTCGACTGGATCCCCGACTTCTCAACCAGGGGGAGGGATATTCCCTCCTTCACCAGGACGTCCAGAGACATTGTTCTCTAGAGAACTGGAATCGCTCAGACGCGATTTCTAGACCAGCTTTAGGACAAGAAGTTTTTAAATTGCTAGATATCAAATAATCTTCTACTATACGCTAGTCAGTCAATTAATTTAATCATTTGATTAATAATGAATGACGTCACGAGTACCATGCGAGAAACCAGGAAAAAGCAAAATAACAAGACGTAAACAAAAAGTTAGACCTGCAGCAGATCCCATTGAATCAGTGTAATGTTGGCTGTAAGCTGTAAACCAATAGGATTGTCGGAAATGTGCAGGTCCGAATAGGAGGGTCGGATGAGAATAAGCCAAGTGTGTAGATGATTGGCTTACTCGTAAGTTGTTGGAGTGTTTATTGTATACCCACGCAAGGTGAAACACGACCCTAATAGACCAACGGACTGTTCTAGTCAGAATACACAGACTTAATACCCTGCATGCATGGTAAGACATGACGAAATAATTATCAGCATCTCCAGTATCGTAGCCAGTTTCATTACCATGAATATAATATACTAGTGTAACCCGTGCCTACGGCCGGGACTTCACTATAGCAGTTAAAAAGCAAAAGTATAAACCTGTCTATTACCCAGAAACCCTTACTATTACCCAGAAACCCTTATGGTAGGGGCCTAACTTCGAAAATAAAAAAGATAGAAACGTCTGGTTTTCAACAAAATGTTCGCCTTGTAAAAGTAACGTTTCCCCCCCAGGGGGAAAATTCAAAACAATGTAGATTTTGAATTATCGCGAAAAGTCTTATTTTGGGCCTTATAAAAGTACACAGCTTTAACTTTGCGGATTCCTGTACTCTGATTGGCTGAATTGTGTCACGTGCTAGCTGTTTGCACAGTGGAATGCGCCACGCGTGCAAATCATGCTTGATGTCGCGCGCGAGGTCGAGCCGTCTGTTTAAATTAAACCAACTCTAGTACCACCACCAGTCAGTAACTTTTCCTGGGTACGAATAGTAACCAATTAGGGCTACCAAATGCTGAACACAAGGATATTTCGTATTCTGCAGGCTGTCCGGTCGCTTAAGACTATGGTCGCTCTTAACTGAGCTCTTAAGTGAAGTTAAGTGAGACCGTGAGCACCACTTATTGTCAAATTGGCTTTTGGATAACGGCCCAATCATGAATTAAAACAGTACAAGTTGTGTTTTAACGGCAAAATACAGCTAATTCTAGCCCTTGAAAGTTGTAGGTTTGGAAGATCAATACGGCTGCTTTAATTCTTAAAAGTCTTAAGTTAGAACGGCCAAAACACCCTATTCGGCGTCAGTCAGCTGCACCCAGAAACCCTTACTGGTAGGGGCCTAACTTCGAAAATAAAAAAGATAGAAACGTCTGGTTTTCAACAAAATGTTCGCCTTGTAAAAGTAACGTTTCCCCCCAGGGGGAAAATTCAAAACAATGTAGATTTTGAATTATCGCGAAAAGTCTTATTTTGGGCCTTATAAAAGTACACAGCTTTAACTTTGCGGATTCATGTACTCTGATTGGCTGAATTGTGTCACGTGCTAGCTGTTTGAACAGTGGAATGCGCCACGCGTGCAAATCATGCTTGATGTCGCGCGCGAGGTCGAGCCGTCTGTTTAAATTAAACCAACTCTAGTACCACCACCAGCCAGTAACTTTTCCTGGGTATAATATTCTAGAACACGCATTAAATTTTCGTAGTTAAAAAGGTGCGAAAGTATGAACTCACTCAGTCCGAACTTCACATAGCCATGTGCCTACGCGTACTGCGTGACGCGCTTGTTTCACAACTCGGTCGCGCGCTACTGCAAGCGAGAGGGCTCTGGTTAGAGCAAAGTCCGAACAGACCGCAATTTAATTCTGAGTGCCCCTCATGTATCTAATATAATAGTAATACTTGATACTTGATAGACAATCTTGGGGTACACTGCCAAATTTTAATTACCTAATTTAAATTAGGGGTCGTTCACATAATACGTAATCAATATTTTAGCAATTTTTACCCCCCTCCCCCCCCCTCCGTAATCAACCGTAATCAAGATCCAACCCCCCCTCCTGACAGCAATATTACGTATTCGTAATCATGGCGAAAATTGTCCAATTGGTATTTCGAAAATCGGTAAAAAATTAAAATTTTGATTACGTAATCAACGACCAAACAGGTGTGGTTTTATAATCACGGAAATTTCGAAGTCCCTACCTCACGTCCTCACCCTCGATATACGATTTTGGAGTCAAGGCTTCCCCAATGCATTGCAAGTTCGGAAGTATTTTATCAGTAAAAAATTTTGAAGGTTTTTAAAAAGAGTTTTTCCATTTTCTCCATAGAAAGTCTTCATATTATTGTTTCGCGTACCGGCAGATAAGGGTATGGGTTACTGGGCCGCGCTCAGCCTGTCATTCCGCCTAATCTCATATTTATGTTTATGAACATGATAGCCTGAGGTCCCCAGGTAAGACAACAAATAAGGGGTCGTTCACATATTACGTAATCATTTTTTGGAACATTTTTACCCCTCCCCGGTCCCTCCGTTAAATCAGTTTTACACATAGCTATTGTGTCAAAATTACACTAGCGTGTTAGGACGTCCAGGGCATAGTTTATCTCCTTTTTTAGCATTTAGGGATCAGAAAGAACAAGCTTTCTTATTTAATTATAATTACCCCCTTTTATTAATTAATTAATCACTCTACAGTCGATCTTCGAGATTGTTCTAAAAGGCCCCCCGACAGTTCATGAAACCAACTCCCCAACTAACTTCAATATATGTATTTTTGGACGCTGAATTTGACCATTGTTAACATGACATGGTTTTATTATTTGGCCCGGCACGCGTTTGGCGTTATTTCGTAGCACATGCCATCTTACTGGGCCGCGCTCAGCCTGTCATTCCGCCAAATCTATATGTTAATGAACATAATAGCCTGGGGTCCTCAGGTTAATGCCATCGAGAAGAAAGCGGCGCGCGCTACTTCGAAGAAATTTAGACGAGTACAGAGTAACATCCGTCAAACGCTGAATCACTCCCCTGGCGAGGTATTGGCAAAAAACTGTCTCGATCACGTGATATGACCGTATAAGGAAGTTAGTATAATTTCTCGTTTGGGTTAGAGTTTCAGCATATCACAGCATATGCTTTTGTGAGAGATTGGGTTAGGGTTAGGATTGGGATCAGATTAGATGGTTAAGGTTTCGAATTGTCATTCAGGGCCACCTAGAGAACGGGTTAAAAAAGTCACGTTACAGTCGAGTGTACAGTGATTAATCATCATCCCTTTTATTTCAGCTGTAAGGATGGAGCAGCATATAAAGTATGACTCGTGTCCACCTGGTCACTACAGGTTTCCAGCCTGTTAAACACCCCTCATATCATGGGCCACACTCATGTTAGTAGATTGTCCATCATGCAGTCATCAATAAGGCTTACGATTTATTCACTTAGAAATTCATTGGAAATCTAGTTTTACTTTCAACGAGCTGTCGAAACTGAATAGGCACATTTTAATATGAGTTGTTGTCCATTATTGGACTGAATCAAGCAGTCAAGAGAAGTACTTCTATTCTTGCTGAAAATGAGGCAGCTGTCTTTAAATAATTTAGACAATGAAGATAAGTTCAAAAATCTAAGCACTCATTTTCCGGAATCTAACCATCAACAAATGAAAGGACATATATTGTCATAGTTAAGATCTTTATTTTAAACACAGTATATACACATATAAATCGTTATAATCATTACCAACAATGTGCAAGGAGCTGACCAGAAATACATTTTTACAGCTGAGTCAATCTACAAAAAAGTAGATAATATTTTTAAAGAGATATTGTTTCCGATCAAACCCCTTGCCCCTTTACAAACACTGCTATCATCAACAACCCGAGAACGAACCCTTTTTTAACTAAGTCTACAATCTAGCTGAAATTTTGTTATTGTGGCAGCGAAATCCTTGAATTACCATGGCAACTGTCAACTTTTAGCGGTCCTCTGCAAGTCTCCTTTAGTATAGATTAGTTTGTTGAAATCTAAAATTGCGCAAAATAGTCATCGCGTGAAAACATAATTAGTCATAGCTTTCCAATTTTATCATGAAAATGTCGCCGCGCCTTACATAAAACGTAAATTCAAACACTTTTCCCCGGACAAACTATCTCTCCGTTCTTTGTCCACTCATAACACAGTTCGCTACAAATTCGTTAATGTGTATAATAGACTGCAGTAATGAAGCCATGGTTCTCCTCTGTTACTCACAATAAGATAAATATGAACAAGGTTAAAAGATTAAGGCGGTGGTTGAAGATGAAAAATGGAGGTTTCAATGAAAATCCATAAAAATTTAGAATAAAATTTAATAAATACTTTCCCATTAAGATAATAAATAAACGAGATTTAATTAAAAGTCATTTTATAATTTGATAATTGACAAGGAATTCTGGATACGCCTGTTCGCCTCTGTAGACCACGTACTCAGGGTAGTGTAATCCTCCCGTGGACGGTTTTCCAATAACAGAATGATGTCCAGGAGGAGCGTGAGCCATCTTCACGGCGCTAAACTGCATGAAGGGCTTACCCAATGCAACACGGCACACTAGCATTTGTCTGTGACACACGTAGCAGCTGCGATCTCTGTGTAAAGTACAACCGGACCCACCCCCAATGCCATACACGTACTGGTTACTTTTGCTAGAATGCTCTGCAAAATAAAGTCCTGCACCAAACATACCACCAATATAGGCGTGCCTTTCGTCAAATCCTTTCCACACTATAGCATTGATAAACGGAGAGCCGTGAAACAGCATGCGCTCGTTGGGACACCCATTAGCGGCCGCTATCTCGCTACGTCTATAAGAGTAACGGGACCAAATTCTGCTGTTGATGATACGCTGTATTGATATGATCTTGTAAGATCTGTAAATCCCACCAGCAGCCCCCCTATCAGAGTGGTCCTTAATAGAGCCCTGCATTTCAAGGCACACTGATATGTAATCCTTATCTGTCATGGGAAGATCCACCAGATCAGGATAATCTGAACTAAGAGATGAGCCCTGGAAAGGGTTGTCTCCGGGGACAGGTCCCTTAGCGGTCGCTACTTGGTAGTCCTTTATACCCTTCAATATCCTGTGTCTCTGGCCGTATGTTGATATTCCTATGTTCTTCAGATCATCGTGTGACATTTCTAATAATAAATCTAGAGTAACATCCTCCTTGCTGAACATTTCCAGGACGTGAGGCATACTGATCTTCTCTAAAAACACGTCAATGGTGATGTTTTCCATGGTGTTAACGGGTTCAATGAACGCCTCTCCCAGTCCAGGGTGCAGAGGTAACATGCCGCCGATATGGGGAGGAGGAGTAATGGGGCTGAGCCCTGATACAGGTAACATAGCGGGGGGCATTGCGTCCATTAGTAACGACCTCACATCAGCTGCTCCAGCCAGTTCTAGTGGGGTCTCATTGTTCTGGTTTTGTAGCACGGGGTCTGCGCCGTGCAGGATCAGCAGAGAACAGAGTTGTGTGCGACCTTTCTGTGCTGCTTCGTGGAGTGGCGTGAAGCCCCATCTGTCCATAGCGTTAACATTAGCGCTGTACTTTATCATGAGCGCCGCTATCTCGACATGACCATAGCTAGCCGCGTTGTGTAGCGGTATCAAGCCTCCCTTGTCTTGAGAATTAACGTCAGCACCATGCTCCAGCAATATCTCCGCTATTTCTAACTGATTGTAACCTGCAGCTAAATGGAGTGGACTTGAGTTTCTACCATTGTTATCACGACAGTTCACGTTTGTTGTGTTGATTACTTTCAGGATTCTGGGAACCTCTCCCTTACGTGAAGCCTCAAGCAGGGCCTCGTCGCCGCGCAACAAATCAGATATGTCCTCATCCTCTTCCTTTACCAAATCTAATGGAGTTTTACCGTCTCTATTCTTCTTATTTGGGTCTGCTCGGTGCTTCAAAAGGAGCTTACAGATATCGTACTTGCCTTTAGCTGCTGCTTCATGTAGTGGGGTAAACTTCCATAGATCACTGACATTGACACTGGCTCCGTGCTTGATGAGTAACTCCACAACCTCCAAGTGCCCATACGAACACGCGTTGTGCAGCGGCACTAATCCGCCCTTATCTTTAGCGTGGACATTAGCGCCCAAACTGAGGAGCAGCTCGACCACATCTACCCTGTTGTAGCCAGCAGCAAAGTGTATGGGAGTGGAGTGTCTCCCTTGCAGGTCCTGACAGTTACAGTTCACTCTGTTGCCCACACTTTTCAGTGTTTCAATGTCCCCGGTTTTTGCTGCTTCCAACATTCTCAGTTCCTCCTCCGTGTTCTCGGATATGACAGCTGGTTTCTCCATTTCTCTGATCACTGCTAGAACCGACTCTGTAGCTAGATCTGTGGAAGGTGAGCCGTTGTTGCAGAGTAGCGTTACATCGGAACCATGTGAGAGTAGCAGGCGCGCTGCTTCCACGAATCCTTGTGCTGCGGCACGATGCATTGGGGTCAGTCCACTTTCGTCTTGACAGTTCACCTGAATAAGGAGAGGTTAATTATCAAATATCAACTGAGTATAATCACTAATCAGCCAATAAGCAAGTAGCCACATCATGACGCGAAAACAATATCGAATGACGCATCACAACATTATCTAACTCAATCTCATTATTCTAAAAGGTTATTGAAACACCACAATGGACACTGACCTTGGCCCCGTGTCGGAGCAATATGTTCATAACGTCCAAGTTATTGGTTTCAGTGGCCTTGTGGAGCGCAGTGGCACCCTCCTTGTTCGTCATGTTCACGTCAGCTCCCTTCTTTATCAGTAGTTCCACCACACTTTTACTCTTGGTAGTGGCTGTAATGAGATGATATGTTAGTATTGTAGATAAACTATGTTGTAAAGTAGAATCGTTAGAATTCTAAAACGGCTGAGTGGTGAGTTAATAGCCTGGTGCTATCAGACCAGACACAGTTGTGCAGCTGCAGTGTCGTGTGATAAATTAAAACGATACATTTTTTGTCCGCAGTTCCTCGTCTAGTCCAAGAGCATTGAGTTAACGATACGAATATTTCTCATCACGACGAAGGATATTAATATTTCCACTCATCACATGACAGAGCATCCGGAGATCGCTAACTAAAACTTATTAAAAGGTCTATCGTTATATTGAAATTGTGATAAAATCACTGCTTTACAATTTGTTAGAATGATATCATATTTCTAGACATGAGTCTCAAAACAAAATTTAGAACTATGCGAGGTATTTAGGAATCCGGATTTGTACGCTACAATACGTACTATCAGCACTTCTTCTCGTCCATCATTAATCTAAGGATAAACATACTCCTCACATCACGTGCCCATTCTCACGCACGCATTAGGAAAGAGCTACCGAAATCTCTGCCTGAGTATCTCCACAAGAAGAAGCATGCTCCCTGCTCCAGTGCTCGTGACCAATAGTGTGCTCGGATTCTAGTTCCCTAAAGTTAACAACCAATCAGAGACCCCGCTCACAATCACACCCTGGTTAGTTTCTGACGCAGCTACTGTTACAACTGCTTCCACTTGTGTACCACAGTGAGTAACTTGTACTGTAAAGTGAATTGTTTTACGGAAAGTTGTTGTACAGTTAGCCTGCTCCGTGCTACATACGTTAGTTCTGTGTTGTTTAATTAGTGACCGTACTAGCACAGTAGGAGTGTATATTTTACATTGCTCTGTCAGTGGTTGTAAATGTGAGCTCTTAACAACACTGCTACAATAACACCTTCACTGTTTGTGTTCAGTTCCAGTTGCAGTATTTTATCCGTAAGGATTTAGTCGTTAGATTTTAATATTTCTGCGGATGATACTATAACATCTCAGCTCCTAGCGGAAATAATAATTTTGTTCAACTCTACTCTGGGTTTGAACTTGTCTCAATTACTCAACAGCAATGCTTGACATTCCCTTAAAAGGCTCTAAACATTCAGTAGAACCGACTGGTGTCCGCCAGAATTGTTAAATACTCAATCATCTCCGCACTTCCTAAACGATGTCATCAAGTGAGTTGGAATAAACCTGCACTATGTTGCAACTTTACACCTAGAACTACAATACTATGTTGGCTTACTTGCACTATGTTGCAACTTTACACCTATAACTACAACACTATGTTTGCTTACTTGCACTATGTTGCAACTTTACACCTACAACTACAATACTATGTTTGCCTACTTGCACTATGTTGCAACTTTACACCTAGAACTACAATACTATGTTGGCTTACTTGCACTATGTTGCAACTTTACACCTACAACTACAATACTATGTTTGCTTACTTGCACTATGTTGCAACTTTACACCTATAACTACAATACTATGTTTGCTTACTTGCACTGTGTTGCAACTTTACACCTATAACTACAATACTATGTTTGCTTACTTGCACTATGTTGCAACTTTACACCTAGAACTACAATACTATGTTTTCTTACTTGCACTGTGTTGCAACTTTACACCTATAACTACAATACTATGTTTGCTTACTTGCACTGTGTTGCAACTTTACACCTAGAACTACAATACTATGTTTTCTTACTTGCACTGTGTTGCAACTTTACACCTACAACTACAATACTATATTTGCTTACTTGCACTATGTTGCAACTTTACACCTTGAACTACAATACTATGTTTGCTTACTGCACGTACGGTAGAACTTATGTTTCTGTTCCATAACTGCTAGTGATCTCATTCATTTGACTTTGTCATAAGTTATATGTGTTACGCCCATTTTCATCGAACAGTTAGAGGACTACAAAATCATACAGTCTAGTAGTATTTACTATTAAATAAAGTCCTGATGAAAAATATATATATTCGTATCCAGATTGGCCGCGAGATGACTGCTGTGTCACACTGGAAGGTGGTTCATGAAACATGTATAATAAGTAGTAGGAGCTTTTAAAGAACATGTATTGTGTTAATCGTCTTCAGTTGAACAATATATTGTACCATTTTACCAGGATTAAAGGAAAGGGGATTATATCATTTTATTTTATTTATCATAATATATTATTAGAGAACAGAGCAATAACTTTAAAATAAAGCAATAAACATCTCTCAATGAATAGCTTTCAGAATTCTTATTTCCTGATTTTATTTATTTAATCTTCATGGGCCTGTGATTTATGCGGAATGAGCGATTGTGTTCATGAAAAACATAATTTTCGTCATCGAACATCATAGATTACACAGAATAATGGTCTGAATTTCACTTTATTGATGTCCTCTAATATTAGCAATGTTTCATAATTATGCTAAACTTCCATCTGAATGGTATCAGGTTACTTACTCAAGAGAGGTATTGAAGGACATGGTTGGTTCCTTTTCGTACGTGTCTTTATCATATTATATGATTTGTGGACTATGTAACCATCTAGATCGGTTGGCGTTATAACTAGTTTAATTCATAAAACGTGGCTCAGGATGATATTGTTTCTTTGTTATCTTAAACCTTGTTATCTTAAACCTTGTTATCTTAAACCTTGTTATCTGCAACCGCAGATCTTATCATTATGATATTTAAACCATTGAATTCTGTTTTTGATGAAGCTTCCTACAGTTAATATTAATTTTTGTTTGTCACTAACAAAAGAGTTCAACTTATACTTTAAACCTTACAGTATCCTCTACATGTACCTATCCAAGCTCTAGAATGAGAATCCAGGATACTTGTACCATCAACAATGAATTATAAGCCAGATATATAATACTAGTGTAACCCGGCCTACGGCCGGGATTTCACTGCCGCAGTTAAAAAGGGTAGGAGTAATTACCCGCTGAGTCAAAACCCGGATTAGGCGAGCAATTCTATTCGGAGTGCCTTCACGTATCCAATAGTATGCTTAAAAGATAGTAATTCTTAATCAATAATCAATAGAAATTAACCCTTAACACCATGCACCACACCAGCCTATCATATTTGTGAACATGCATTACATTGTCGTATGAAAGTATGAACTCTCTCTACAGTCCAAACAGACCGTCTGAGCACTCCCTCCCCTAATAAGTTTATAGTATTATATGACCATGTAATATATACGCCATGTAATATATACGCTACATATGCAGAGAGAGAGAGCTAGCCCCGTAACTCTTGCCGTTCTTCTCAAGCCATTTTATGTAACATATTTTGTGGTACAAAACCATCAATTAAACCACTTACCACCGGCCGATTTTTATAAAATTTGCTTATTGGCTTCGTCAGAGTTTTTTCGGCACTATACCGAAAAAACCAGTCCCGTAACTATTACCGTTTTTTTTGTATAACCGTTCGGAAATTACACACAGACACACACACAGACACACACACAGACACACACACATTCTGGTGTTATTAAGTTGATACTATATGCAGAATGACAGTGAAAGGGTTGGTACCGGTTATGGATATAATACCTCGCCATTATCTTAGCATAAATGGACCGCATCTCAGTTAGATGTTGATCCTAAATACTACTATTATCTTCTTTTGGTAAAACTTTCAAATCAAATCAAATCATGTAGTTCACAAGGATATGTGATATATCATATTATGGCAGTATCGAGATAGCCCGACCACTGGTCCGCGGACCACTGTCCGCGGACCACTGTCTGCTGACCACTGTCTGCGGACCACTGTCCGCGGACCACTGTCTACCAGATCATATTACTGTATAATAACAGTATCCCCTGAATCAAGCAGGGTTCACATCATCCCCTGAATCAAGCAGGGTTCACATCATAGCACGCGAATTCCAATCAGCGGTGGTGTCAAGGCTTATTAAACGATTAAGCAACCTTACGAGATCAGTTCGCATCATGCAATATATAAAGAATAACTATTATCAGACTGCATCAATCATTTCTATCATCAACTCCAGGAATTGGAATAGTTGTTGTTGTTGATGATGGCAACTGATAATACTTCACCAAAAACGAACGACTTATATACCACATTTTAATCGTAATCATTTATTTCATTGAGCAATCAATATTATTCGTAACTAATTATATCCGAGAGACCACATTTGAACCGTAATCAATAGTTTGATCCAGTAATTTACTACGCTACAATTAATTATGCTAGTCGTAACTAATTGCATCCAAGATACCATACATACCATTCATATGATCTGGTAACCAATCAACTATTCACAAACACCTGTTGCTTGATTCAGGGGATACTGTTATTATACAGTAATATGATCTGGTAGACAGTGGTCCGCAGACAGTGGTCCGCAGACAGTGGTCCGCGGACAGTGGTCCGCGGACCAGTGGTCGGGCTATCTCGATACTGCCCATATTATACCCAATATATAAGCTTATATTTCACACGGCAGCCTCTTACAAAACATATGCTTGTTAGTAAAGAGCCCCGTTTAAGTTTTAATATTAAGGTTTAGTGCTTGAAATATTGTATTATTAGCCGGATAAGAAATATTTTCTAGTTTGTAAGATCTTCAGAATTTTACAAATGATGGAGTTGTTCACTGCTCGATCGGAGGCTACATTCTTGAACTGGGTAGTCTTTTATTCAGCTGCCGATTATTTTAATTGTAACATTAAAAACAGGTTATATAATCGGGGTCGGGGCTACTTTCAGCCATTCGGGGCTACTTTCAGGTGCTAAGTACGATTTTCTTCCATTAGCACTGCTAATGGAAGAAAAAATACTGGACCATAATAGATGGCCAACAGTTAGGCCCCACAATTATTGTATTAATTTCTTGGAAACCTGTTTTTACCTGTTAGTGTTGTGACAGTGAAACCAATTAACGAATGGGGAGAACCTAGGTCCTAGCAAGCTGAGGGTCGAGGTTCTCCTAATGAGGCACGAGTATAAATACAGACTCCACGGCAGCGACTGCACAGTCCACTGCTCAGTGCTACACAATGAGAGCCGCATAGTTTGGAGGCTGACAGCTTCCTTTAGCCCAGCCGGGATTTGGACCAACTACGTCAGAGCCAGTAGGCAGACGGAATAGCGTACTAACCGACTGAGCCACTGCCATTCAATTTCGCTAATGCAGTTTAATTATATTGCTATAGGTGGGCAAGGTTCGACCGGGATCCCGGCTTAATCCCGCCCCGGGATATATACTCCATTCTACTTCATTCTAGTATATTATATACTAGAATGAAGTATAATGGAACCCGAGAAAGATAATAAGAATGATATGGGAGGTCGCTGATCTCTGTCTCATCTCAGTCCAGTTTTACTTCCACTCTATTTAATGGTGTATAGTAAGCCTCAAAGAAATAGTTCACTGAGTAAAGTTACTCACCTTGTACATCGAATAATGGATTCTAATAGTGGAATTCTGCTGTTTTTACTTCTGACTAAGTTTTCCGGTCGGCGGCCCCATATTTTCATTTTGTGGTACGAACGAATGATTTTTGTTGGCTTTGGTAGTCGTACCACTAAACACCAGCGTGCAAACTGTCGACTAATCTATTTATAGATTCTGTAGAAAATAGAAAACGAACTGAAATAAAACTCTAACATGTACTTGATACATTTATAAACATATCAAGTACATATTGTTAGAGTTTTATTTCAGCTAATTTTCGATTTTCTATACCATTACCAGGTGCCTGGTTCAGTCATTAATCAGCCTTGGGTGCTACAAACCAAATCAGACATGATCCTTGAAATTTAAATCAAATTTAGTAGCGTGTTACCTCAGGTATCTGTTTTACAAAACAACCTAATTCATCAACTTACTTTATTTTTGTTACTGTTTATAGAAAGTTGTCGCACAATTCACGGCCCCTCGTTTTAAATGTTTCTCTAGGCTGTTCTTATAGGCTATCGTGATGTACAATGTGGAGATTTGCTTGTACAATGTGGAGATTTGCTTGTACAATGTGGAGATTTGCTTGTACAATGTGGAGATTTGCTTGTACAATGTAGAGATTTGCTTGTACAATGTGGAGATTTGCTTGTACAATGTGGAGATTTGCTTGTACAATGTAGAGATTTGCTTGTACAATGTAGAGATTTGCTTGTACAATGTAGAGATTTGCTTGTACTTCTGCAGGCTGCAGCACAGGTGTAAGCGAATTTCCGGTGCAGATTTGTTTGATGAATTTAATGAATAATTCAATAGATAAATAACAGAACAATGAGCAAAATGGTGAACAATTAAAATGGACACAGTATCCAAAATAAAACCGAGTGTTGCCATGTAATTCGGTTGAGTACACCTAAAGATCTAAAGAGTAAAGATGCAATCCATTGAAAAACTTAAAATTAATATTAACAATGAAGTAATACAAGTAATAACTTAAAAGCAATGTATTAACCTGAAGCTGCAATGTGAAGGGGCGTGTCGAGGGTGAAGGGTTGTTGGAACATCACCGTTTCAGGTGACAGATGTTTCTTGATCAGGGCAATGTCCGTCATGTTACATACTTGTAACAAAGTGTAACCTTTGTGTTCTCCTGTGGAGTTACATCATGTTAAGAATTCCAACCAATTCAAATCTATTTGTTCTATTGATTAACGGAGATATCATATTTTAAGATAATCAACTAGTATAAGTATTAGACCTTTTTGATAGTGAATGTTTTCATTCCAAATTAAGATTCTAGATCCTTGCAATAGACACATATTTGATAGGTGTTTATAAGTTCATTTATATCTATCTATTCAATAAAAAGTCTTGATTCCATAACACAATCGGATGGATGCAAAGCGCATAATATAATAGCCAATAGGCGCAATATTCTACCTATACTGTTAGATAGAAATATAATTCATGGTAGGTAAGTTACAATACCATATGCACTATTTCGCTTCACACTTATTTCTTAGGTTATTGTTTTGGTGGGTAGTTCAAATGATAACTTGATCATAGAAACAATATGTTGAGGGAGCTTTACAGTTTACGTGATTATAATATAATTAACGTATTAGTCATTTAAATATACATAATATATATACGACCCATTCTGATTTACAATACTAATGTATGTTAAATTTGCACTTATTATGATATTATCGTCTATTACGATATCAAGGGGTCCTTATTGACCAGTCATGCTGTTCCAATTTAAGGTTGCCTTATAGCTAATGCTATATCGAGATATTTTCGATAACTTTGCTATACTTATATGCTGTACCAGAATAACGCAATTTTTCGGAGTTGATCAACAAAAATATCAAACTTAGCTTGTGTACTTGACTAACTTGAAACGTTGATAAAATATATATTTATACTCGCGGCTTGCATGCTACAACACAATTTAACTTCAAAATAGGGGGTCAGTAGATAAAGCTTACTGGCAATGCGATCTCTAAGTTCAGGAGTTTGGCACACATCCAGAGGACACTTGTTGTGACAGTTTGTCTTGTAGGGGTCAGCTCCATAGCTGAGCAGCAGTGAGCACACTTCCCGCCTGAAATTAGAGAGGTTAGATTTGTACCAGTAAACACACCTTTAGGAGCCTGCACTGTCAAGGGGCGGTGTAATAAAGGGGTACATGTGTTATGAAGGTGCAGTTATACTTAAATATGGTGCAAACCAAAGGACTGATTGATTTCCATTCATTAGATCTCCTCAGTTTGAAAAAATCCAGATGGGCATCGAATTTCAAAATGATTCTTAAATTTTATTCCCCCTCAGATATTTGTAAAACTTTTCGAGGCCTGGAAGGAAATCTGAAGGCTCAAAAGGCCGCGTAAAAGATTTTTAATAGGGGTGTTGCGTAAAGGGCGCGATATCAGCTGATCGTATTTATTCTATATATGAGGTGCGAAGATTCGACGCATTTAAGTAAGTCAATATATGCGACAAATTCATTTATCCGACATACTCATGAAATTATGTCACAATTTTCGTTGATTAGTCGAAGAATCTAGAAATCGTAATTCCGCATCGATTTAAAGCTTTAAAGGTCACTGTGGCGCAATACTCTCAGATTGATTGAGAATCCGTTTATTAGTGTAAGCTTCTCTTACTGATAGGTTCAGATTTCACCTTTTTTTTAAAAGCCAAATTGTTCTGAAACTTAAATGGCAATTTATTGTCTTTTCATCCATTTTCCTTTTGTATAATAATATATTTGTCAAATAATAAATTACGAGATGCGATTGTCGTTCTTCTAATTAGACTGCACATGTAGCGGACAGACTGCAGTAGGTTAACCGGCCTTTCGTCCTAGCAGTAGCTGGAAGACACATGGTCGGCGGGTTAGCGACAAGCAGTTATTAAACATGTCAAATAAAGACTGGCTAGTTTTAAGAGCCATGACGCGTTATAAATAAATTGTTATTTGATTTCAAGCGTTTTAAAGACAACGCTCGACCGATCCTAGGAATACAATCATTGTGTAATTTGGTGTTTTGCTGGGCGCTGTTTAAATCAAGCTATATTTAATCGGAAATTGCTGCACGTGCACACAGGCCTTTGATTGTCGACTATAAATACTTTATGGGATACGGGATCAAGGGAAATAGTGTCGGTGCCCATTTCCCGTCCAGTAAGTTGATAATAAGGTTTGACGACCATCTGTCAAAAACTGATTCCTTGTTGATTCTTGCAATCTTGCACAGATTCCTGTTTGATTTAGCGGTTCATTGGGCGACGAAGTTTATAGAAGACTGTATTTTCCCAGCCGCCTCTACTACCAAACAGTTTAACTTCCAACCAGAAAACTAATCAGGAATATTATCTTCTACTTCAGGACATTTCGTACTAAGCTTCTACCTTGAACCATTAATATAATAGTTCATCTAACTCTCTCTCCTTTACTCAATCAAGGCTGACATTTTACTGTCATTTCTATTTCACGTACAGTCTACACAGCTGCAGTAATTGGTGCATGTTTAACCTGACAATTGCCCGCTTCCAAGAGAAACCTGATACAACGTTACTATGTCTGACGCCAAGTAACTTAAAGCGATAAAGTTCACTTTTGTAGAGTGGTTTTCCTTTAACTTTTCATTGAAGCGTTGCCAAGAAATTTCATTTTTAGAATTTTCCTTTTTTGAATTCCGAGATTCTGCTGATTAATTTTACAGTCTCCGACAGCCAACACTGTTGTATTCTACCTTTTTATTTAACTTTATATTAGCTACATATCCGTCAAGCTGCACGCTTTCTGTGTGCGTCTCTGTATCAGTTGTGATAGAGAAGATTCAGAAATTAGAAAAGCAGGATGATAATTTGTGACCTGATGCTTACATAGTAATAATATACTGTATAGCTAATTGTTGGTCACCTTGTATACAATGTTCCTGGTCAGTACATAAAAATAAAATATTATAAATCTCAGTACAATATTAATGCTAGGTTTACATTTTATGCGTCAATCTAACATCCACATTTCATTGCATTAGTAAATAGCTATTGATTCCAGCTGCCTAGCAGAACAACTCTAGTCGATTCTAATTTTAGCCGAAAACCTAATCCTGAAGGATTTACAATATTCAGGGGTTTCTCGGTCATTATTAGAACGTTTTAATACTTTGTCAGCAGCACTAGTAGTGGTCTACAATCTAAGAATGGTCCGACTAAACAATCGTAGAAAATAAGAACAAAGGAGTTTTATGAGATGGGTCACATTTTCTCATAGGAGCCGCATATAATCGGAATGTCATTGATTTATAAATTGAAGGTTAGAATGCACAAGGAAGTTTAGAAAATATAAATATTCATTTCTAAACTTACATGTGCTAACTGTGCACTCTTTTAGTCTTTTATCGTGTTAAACTCTAATTTATTTGAAGTTAAGACAGCTGTATCGGGACATTGACAATACTAATAATTAAATAACTTAACCAAGTTCCACAATAACCTCACCAAGTAGCCCCCTAGGTAAAATGGCGATTATAAACGAGGACGGGTTGGCGAGTGGGTGTGTGATGATTCTGATAAACGGAGTGGCTCTGGTCCTGAATATCTCGGTCCTGACAAACCTGGTGATCAACAGGAGATCACTGCCACCCTACATGTGGCTAGTGTTTAATCTCACTGCTGCTGATACTATCTTCGCTTTTCTAGGTAAGTGAGATGAGTGAAGTAAGTACTTCCTGTATTTGAGACGGTGGAAACAATACTGATAAAATGACAACACTGAGCTGCTTACAATATCAAGTTGAATCCTCTAAAAAACCAGCAACAAACCCCACTGCACACCACCAGGTCTAACAATACGCGGTCCTGGAATGATATACTCTGACTACTACACGTCCAGTGAAGCTGGTAAAGTGTGCTGTATCTTCTTCTTCTACGCTGTCTACCCCACCATCTCTGTTAACTTTAACACTTACATCTTACTGGTGCTCAACCAGTTCCTCGTCATCAGACGACCCTTACAGTACGGTACACAGGTACTAATCTCTATTATAATGCTGTCATTAGTTGGTTTTGTAATCATGTTCAGTGTTCACCTGCTATTATGAATATGGTTTGCACAAATTCAAATTGATCATCAATGCCATTCCTGCCTTAGAATTATAACCCTAAAGCCCCTGTAAAATATATCAAATGCTGGTCTCAAACCGTTCTCGAGTTATTATCACTGATCACATGTGGGCCTTGGGGAACACCCTGTACTTAACATTGTGTTCAGTAGACAATGAACTCGTTATAACACACAGAGTACAAGTGAGAGGAGGAAGAGGAAGATACTGCTAGCAATAGCGGGAACCTGGGGTGTAGCAGTTGGCTACCTCATCATCTACCTTCTTCTAGTGCACACTGGTGTTGGTACGTCTCTTTTTATCTTGATTTCAGGGATTGGCATGTGAGGGAATTGAGGTTTAACTAGAAAATCCTCGCGTACCACATTTGTAATTCCTGTTTGATTGTTTTAAATGTTTATGTTTAGAGTAAACTCTAAAATACCCCTCAGAAACGGTCTCCAGTCTCCAGTCTGACACCCTATCCTCCAGGTACCTCTGAGTACGATGTAAAGATGAGTCGGTGTTCCCTGACCAACACACAACAAGGTAAGGTAGCTCACATGATCCTATCAACAATCTTCGTTATCATCCCCTCCTTCACTTGTCTCGGTCTCTACATTGGTATTGTAGTCATCCTCTTCAAGAACAAGAAGAGGGACACAGGAGGTGTAACTAACCACGCCTTCATCACCATCACCATCCTCCTGGCTCTCTTCTACCTCTCCCACTGGCCTTCAGTCCTGCTCCGAGACATCCCCCGGCTGTTCCAGACCAAGATAAAACTCCCCACCTCTCTGAACATAGCCACCTCTGTGTTCTACTACCTAAACGGTCTCACTGACCCTGTCATATACGGGTACCGGAGCAAATACCTCTTCACCCGAGCTAAGAGACAGATCGGGCTGACCTTCTCACGAGACAGCACAGGAGTAAGCAACAAGCTGAGGAGTCAGAGTCCGTCAGGGAGCCACCGTGATGTTAGTAATGTGGAGAGGAGCAGGGTGGAGAGCAGCAAGGGAATCTCTCTTGCTAACATTAACACTAGTGCCGGTGAGGTTTAGAAGAGCGGAGCTGGAGGTTACTCTTATTTCGAACTTTAGATTGTCAATTTGAGTCGAGTATTATTAAGGAAACTGTGTGCTATGTAACCTATTGTAGTGGATAGTACGTGGCGGCCTTGTGGTCAGTCTGCTCGGATTATTAACGTAACCCTGCTATAAGGCTAGACATACCGTATAAGGAATAATTGCCATGTGACTCCAGAAACCTATTATCTATATTATGCGAACACTATTTAATATCTTATAAACGTTAGGACATCATTTTAATATAATAAAGGCCAAGGGAAGCTAGGGTAGCTGTAAATTTTAATTGTTTATTGTAACCAATATGATATAGAAATATTCACTTAAACATAATAACTGAATTAATGTTAATTGTACAGCTTTAAATGTAAATTTCCTTGTATTGGTACTTTTTGCTCACTAGTATCCTTAAATCGATCTCTAACTGACTTTGGGTTTTTTTACATGGCACAGCCAATAATTTATTTGTCGTGTATGTATGTTGTATGTATGACGTGCAAATTTGTTGATAAATTGTTGTTTTATTTTAACTTTTGTATATGATAGTATAACTGTGCGAGACAGTGCAGTTATAACTTGATTAAGATTATTTGAGAAATTGAATTGTTTACTGCATCAGCGATTACGCTGTTTTTAATCTCGAGTGCATCCTGAATTATAATCTACTCAATAATTGTGATAGCAATGTGCGTGTTTTTGTTTGTTTGTAACTTGCAATTTACTAACCACTTAAGGGGGCAGGGGGTCTTTATATTAAATTTCTCTCGAAATTGATTTTATAGTTGTTTCTGATAGAGGGGAGTGATATCTATCTGCTGCTTTTAATCCCATGGAAAAATATTGTTCCTAGCCGAAATTATTGCCCGTCAAAGGTCAGCGCTCATGTGTAATTGTATTGCGCGAGCGATTTTCAATCGTGCGCCCTGAAAATCGAGTCTAAAAATCTATCTGGGCACTTTCAAAAACATCTGTCACCGAAAAAATGTTAAAATTTGCCAAAAATCAGTTTTTGTGGCATAATTTGGTGGATAATTTTTGGAACGAGATGAAACTCCAGGATATGGTGTGCTATACCCTAACCTTTACTATCTGCCACTTTTTGTTTCGATTTAGGGCTAAATCTGGTGGATAAAAGTGAAACAGACCAATCCACTTCAGGTGGCCTTTAAAAATATTTAATTCCATCTAAACTCCTAAAATATGATTGAGACTTAACAATAATCGTTATAACTTCATAATTTCATAAGTAGGGCCGGGATTTTTCTTAAGGGCCAAATTTGGTGGATATATTTTTTTACCTCTTTTTTAAGACTGTTATTTGTTAGCTAACATCAATTTACTGGTCTTAAAATGATGCAAAGGCAATGTTTAATCTATGGCATCAACTATGAAGTACCAGATTTAAGTTAAAAGGCTATTTTTGGTGGATATAAGTCAATATTAATTAGTTAAACACGTAAATGTTACCAAAATATCAATAAATAAGACATCATCATGATTAGAAACAGTTGAAAAAGATGAAATATAAGATGTTGAACATTTATGCAAAAGGTACACTATGGCATTTTAAGCATTCAGGGCCAATTTGGTGGATAATTAACTCAAAAATACTTAAAATATCGACCTGGATATTTTGATATCCATCAATTTTGGCCTTAAAAATCGGCTTGAGCTTATCACATTTTGTGCTGAACAAGAAAAAGGTCTAAACAAACCAATATCAGTGTATGATTTCATAATCGAGCAAATCTAAGGCCAGAAATAGTGGATAAAAAAGCAAATTTAACCGGTTTTAAGCTAATTTCTTAGGCATTTATCCACCAAAAACGGCCCTAAATGGAGAATGTTTGGAACGTTTACTTGAAACTATAGCCCTTCTTTTCGACCTCAGAGCAATGATTTTCAGCTCTTTCGACCTTAAGATATAATTATTGGGCGTTGAAAGTGGATCACATACGTTATCAGTCAAGAAATCATTATTTCAATCACTGAGGTAGGTTATTCACATTTAATATCCACCAATTTTAACCTTAAAAGTCGTCTTGGACTGAAAATTCTTTTGAACTGACTCAGCTAAGGGGATTTTCTATCTAGAAACAGTTGTAGTTTCATGATAGAACACATCTAGGGCCAAAAATAGTGGATACAAAAGCAAATTTTCCCGTTTTAGTACTTTTATCCACCAAAAACAGCTCTAATATAAAGGCTGAAAGGAAACAGTTTGTTAAGTTCGTATGAAACTATATCCATTCATTATGGCCCTAGAGCAATAATTGTATACATTTTCACCTTCTAGACGAGATAATTGGGGTCTAACAATGGATAACCTGCATTATTGACTCAGAAATTGACTTAAAATTAAATCAATCTTGAAGCTCCAATATATCCACCAAAAATGGCCTAAAAATTAAATCTTCTATGCTATCATAAACTTGAAACGATTTCCAACCTGATCCGTTCACTGAGTAAAGCTGGTGAACTTGTTGACCAATATAATTTTTTCAGTTGAAAATTTTCGGTATTGAATTTTATTTCATCGTTTTATTATCCACCATATCTAGCCTTAAAATTGAAATCTTTCTTTATTTTCGCCTTTTATCATAGAGGCATATCGATTTGCTACAATTCTATCTTTAAATAATCACCATAAATTAACCACACGTAAAGTTACAGGCCAACAAATGATATATCCACCAAACCCCTCTGAAAAGTATATCCACCATTATTAGCCCTGATTTAAATGCGTGTATCTCTGCTCATAGACATAGTAGACATTTTATTCTTTTTGTAAAAGTTAAACTATCGCAAATCCTATGCTGAAAAAAAGTTTAATCAAAATATTGAGTTTATCCACCAAATGAGAGCTTCCAGAAGTTGAAATTTTTCCCGTGACAGATTCGTTAACATAGTTTTTGAAAGTGCCCATCTTCTCCTACATTTTTTGAGCAATCACCTTGAAACTTTCAGGGTATCATGTTCTAAGGACCATTTGAAAGATTTCACTCGATCAGAATTTTAAGATAGGCCTTAGAAAACTTTTTATTCCATTTTGAAAATCTTGGACCTCGTTTTTTGACGATTTTTCCAGGTCCAAGATTTTCAAAATGAAATAAAAAATTTTCTAAGGCCTATCTTAAAATTCTTATATAGTGAAATCTTCTAAATGGTCCTTAGAACATATCCTGAAAGTTTCAAGGTGATTGCTCAAAAAATATAGGAGAAGATAGATTTTTAGACTAGATTTTCAGGGCGCGCGATTAAAAATCGCTTGCGCAATACAATTACACATGAGTGCTGACCTTTGACCGGCAATCATTTCGGCTAGGAACAATATTTTTCCATGGGACCAAAAGCAGTGCAGATAGATATCATTCCCCTCTATCAGAAACAACTATAAAATCAATTTCGAGAGAAATTTCATAAAGACCTTCACTGCCCCCTTAATAAATATAACGGTAAGATTTATGATCAGCAGATAGTTGTTATCTGATCTTCTCAGCATAAAAACAAAGATCGATCACAAAAATAGCTCACCGTCCCTTGCAGCAAGCTTCGTGTATGGGAGTAAACTGCCAGAGGTCACACGCGTTCACATTAGCGCCGTGTTGTATCAGTAGTTCAGTCATCTCAAAGTGACCATAGGAGCAAGCGTTATGTAGCGGAACTAATCCTCTGTGGCACGAGGAAACTGTTGTTAGTATTCCACAATTTTACAGTATACACCCCTTGCTGTAGGGGGTTTCCTAAAAAAGCGCGTCCTTAGTTTTTCTGAGGAGCAATTTTGGAGGGGGCGCCTAGGAAGAAAATTGTAACTTTCTTGATGTGGGAATGCAGGCAATATGTAGCAGAACAAAATAACATCCCCCAGGATCTGAAGATCTACTTACCCCTTATCCTTAGCCTGAACATCAGCCCCGTATTTAAGTAGAAGCTGAACGATCCTAGTGCGGTTATACCCTGCAGCTAGGTGTAGAGGGGTACTCTTCCTCCCGTCCTCCGCATGACAGTTCACATTGAGGGGGGTAAGCAGAGCTGCTAGCTTCTCCTCGTTACCGTTCCTTGCTGCTTCCAACATCTCGTCCTTCTTGTACTCACCTGGATAAGGGCCAGTTATTATTACGGGAGTAATATTAATAATCGCATATTATGTATTATGTAATAGTCGCATATTATGTGTAATAGTCGCATATTATGTATAATAGTCGCATATTATGTAATAGTCTCATATTATGCTCTTAATTAATTAGGTTCATATTATTATTGTCATCTTCACACTAATAAGCAATAATCAGAACACAGTTGAACTTGGTAAATTAGTGACCTTTTAGCACGGATTTGCAGATAGGTTCAGCAAGATCCAGCGCAGTACTCCCTTCTGTATTCTTTATTGTCGGGTCGGCTTTGTTTTGGAGTAACACTGTAATATGAGGCAATGTTTATCATATCATGTGCATGGTGATAAATGTGGATTGTGGGAATTTTAAATTGAAAGGTTAACAATTTCTCATAATTTCCTGGCTAAAATTAACAATTTCCTGGCTAAAATGAACAACTTTCTTTAACTTCCTGTCTAAAATGAACCATGTCCCATAACTTCCTGGCAAAGTGGGAATCCCAATTCAGTAAACTATTCGTCCGTGTTAAAAGCTGTCCGAACACATTCCTGCAGTTGCAACAATGAACAACATGTGAGTGACGAGAGTTGCCGACTAATAATGTTAAAATCCCCCCACAAAATAGCGGCTTGTCACGGGACACACAGACACGGAATCACGACAAGTACGATATGCCAGGAAAAAACACGATCGTACCAGCCCGGGACACTTTCGCGCCGGGATTTAAACTCAACTATGGCTTTTGGGGGCCAAGCAGATAGTTTAATATAACCGGGTATCCTAATTATAGGTCATCTTTAACTAGTTGAGCGTTTCTATTTTCAATCGGAATATTTTATATCAGGAATAACTGGGATATATTAAGATATGTTTTCTGATATATTAGGATACATATTATCAACTATCAAGGGATATATTATTAGGATATGTCATATGTCATAATATATCTAATGAAATATTGGAATGTTTTTGTCATCATTATCAATAGAGCTGGAGGTCGATAATTGGTGTTATTTTCACATAAGAACGGAATGGAATGACAGGATGACATACCAATCAATAATAAGCTTATCATAACACATTCAGACATACCAGCAGTTTTCCTGTTCATGACGTCATAAGCTTTGTTTTACGAATGGAAAAACTTTCTCAAAGTTCAGTCGACATTTTAACTAAATAATCATTTTATACTCTCAACACTATACTGCAGAACTGAAATACATGTGAATTTAGTGGACCTGAAATATATCCAAGAAAATGTGAGACGGTCTCTTGTTCATTGTTACACATAGTACAATAGGACAGGTACTGGTGCTAGATTTGCAGGTGGTACAACTAGCTTCATCGCTAGATATCACAATATCATATTGTTTAGCACTGACAGCTTAATTTGATGACGTCATTTCTGTCAAAATAAACGGTGATAGTTAAACAGGAGCCCCACTAAGTCGTTTGATTCAGGTCACGTGATAGTGGTGTCACGTGACGTGGGAACTAAAACCACTTACCCCTATTTAGCTTTAAAACTTAGTTAATACATAGAATATTGATAAAATTAGTTAACATCTCATACACGATGAACGTCCAATCATGTTCCTATACTATTCCTCCAATTAAATTTAGATTACTACGTTCATGGCTGCACCGGGGCAGGTTTTCCGGAGAGATGTCATAATACAGCTTTATAAAATGTTGCCCTAGCTGCAATATTGTGAGACAAGTTAAACCATTATAATAGCAGGACTTGTAAGTGTTTAGCAGCAACCAGGGGCAAAGTTGCAACCTTGTGACAGCAATGAACCACGTAATTTGTGTGAAGGTTAAATTGTTCCTGAGGTCGTGAACCGACAACTTATAGGTCACGTGACATCACTATCACGTGACGTATCCATGTAACCACAAAGCTCATTACCATGGTTACGTTATATAATATGAGAGAATAATATCCTTGTGCTCACAGCGGGCTATACACCGAGATTAGATGACTTGCTTGATAATAGTGTTGTAGCTGACAGTCACATTCACCTGCCAGCAGCGTTACTTGTGTGGACACAGTATTTATATTAGTTGAGCTATGAGTGTGTGCGTGTGTTTGTAACTGAATGTTTGTGGTTGTTGTCTTTAAGTGTGTCATGTGTGTATGTGTAGAGTGTATGTGTTGCATGAGTGTAGATCTGGTGATGACTCAATACTTGCCAATACAAACAAATAAAATGTTAATTACATCAATCAACGTGGGAAATTACTATGAACATTTTAATAGTAAAAAGCTTTTATAATCTTTCCAGAAAAATGTTGGTGAGAGAAAATATAAGGCCAAATTTTGTTTGTTCCCATTTTATCAATGAACGATGGATGTTACTGGACTCCAATTTTACTCAAAATCAAGGTATAGTTTAGACGGTCTTCCAGTTGCTATGCATATATTATACATGTTATATCCTGACAACGTGGGAGTTTTGCAGCAGGTGATCTCGCAGGATGGCACTTAGAGACGTGCTTCGTGGACAATAATAAATCATGGAGAGAACCATAGTTGCAGCTAAAGGCTCATAATTAGAGTTCACTAGCGTACTACTAGCGGTTAAACTTCATGGCTGATTTTGTCGGTAATGTTGTTATTTATAGTAACTACAAATTGATAGCAGACGTAATACCGGGGGGAGTCGTTTAATACCAGTCGTAAATCATAATTGGATACCATTATACGTCAAACGTAAAAGAGCAATATATAAGATTATGAAAGAAATTTATGTGTCCTCAAACGAGCTGTATTCTGACTGGCAGCTACCAGGACCGCCACAGATATTGCTTAATTAAACTCACCAAATCTCTCAAATCTACAGCCTAATAACTGGTTAAAGCAATAAAAAGGTCACGTGTGATGAACTAAAATGTCACGTGTGATGAACTAACATGTCACGTGTGATGAACTAACATGTCACGTGTGATGAACTAACCGATGCAGACGTCCACTTTTCCCTTGATGGCAGCCTCGTGAAGGGGCGTGTAGCTCCAGTTGTCGCGTGCGTTAGGGTCCGCACCGTGTGTCAGCAGTAGTAATACCACGTCACTGTGTCCAAAGGAGCAGGCGTTGTGGAGCGGCACCAATCCACCTGCAATATGATTTGGTTAAAATATTATCATAGAAATGAAAGTTTGATAAAAAACAATCAGCCAATAACTATTTTTGTAACAGTCCCTTCTATTCATGTTCAACCTTCATGATAAACTGCACAACAGTTTCTCAAAGAAATTTGCTCGCCTTTTAAGATTTCTCTCCTTAACGACGAAACCGAAAAACACTTCTCTGGACAGATAAATGACAATAATTCACGGCACTTGTTTTTATGTTACATAGTGTTATCTATATCACAGAGTGCTATTTATATTACAGCTAGATGAATGACTACACTAAAACCACCAGAGTGTAGACCTCACAGTGGTATCACAGAAGCACAGAGCATTGTAACACTGTTACAACAGTGCTGTGCAGTGTGCATGGTGTTCCTCTAATAATATAATCTAGCTTCTATTGTGGAACTGGCGAGTGTATAGCTGTACAGCAAGAGAACCAGACAAATCATGGCAATGAGAGCTCTATTATCGAGCTCGTTAATTGGTTACAACCCTACTGGTGATATTTAATACATAGTGTGGTCGGTATTGTACTTATCCTTTGTAATGAGGATACCGCCTTCCTTTCATGAGCCTGGAAGTGATATAGTACTCTTCGGATTGATGATTGAACTTGAAGCCGGACAAGAGAGACACGGTTTTAAAAATAGGAATGATATTATCATATCATGAGCTGCCATTCAAACCAGCCCATCTTAGAGAGTTAAATATAGAGCAGGATATGTTACAAACAAGTCACGTTGTGAGTGGCATGTGGTGTCTTACCGTCATCTGTAGCCTGGACATCAGCATGACATTGAATCAGATACTCAACAACATTCTTCCTGCCAAAACCTGGGGTACAATTATGTTAGATTTAACATTATACCTCAGTATAAGATCTGAGAGGTAAGGAAGCATTCACGACGGTATGTTTTAATTTGCTGTAAAATAGGAGTAATCAAGCTACTGTGAACTATGCATTATATTATGGACTAGTATGTAGTCATAAAACATTCCCAACACGTGCACCAAAGTCCAAAATATTCTCATTTTTCAATTCATTGAACGAATTCTACTATTTAAAATCGATAGCTCAACTTGAAAGCTTTTGTCTTATAGAATATGTAGACTGTGGAGTAATGAAAACGTTGAACTATGCAATAGGTCATAGCATGCTTTAAAGAAGAAGAACAAACAAAACGCAGTCAATAATACGAGTCATGCTTCTCAAGATTACACAAAGGTTTTTAAGTGTAATCTGAAAACTTGTTCTGTAATATGATACGAACCGGCAGCAAAGTGTAGAGGACTCGACTTTCTACCACTCTTATCTTTTAGATTAGCATTGGTAGTGTTGATGAGTTTCTTGATGAGAGCAAGGTTGCCGTTACGACACGCGTCAAATGCTTCGTTACCGGCTGAACTTACACCTCCCCGGGGCACTGTCCGGTTACTTCTGCCAGCCATTCATTCATAATTCTAGTGAGGGAGAGTTTATTAGAATGTGAATCGGGAATCATTGAGGGCTGATCTCATGCAAATGGTATAGTTTATAGTTTTATATTTGAGACGAAACGTCCAGAGGTATTCTACAGTAGTATTTCAGCCAGTAAGATATCCAAGAGCTCGCGTGTTTACAAAATTTAATAAACCTGTCAATGTCAGAAACAACTTAATGACATTCAGGCATGTCTCAAGGTTATTTCTAATACGGATCACAACACGGTTTGGCACTTAAATCTTTTGAGAGATAACTTGTGCGTGACTAGATTAAGTGACGCAAGAGCACAATTCTTTGAAACAACGTGATCCGCACATTCAATACAGCAATTTGTTGGTTGGTATTTAAAATTCATGAGCTTAAATCTTAATGTTTTTTATAAAGACCAATTTTATGAGCTTTCATAAAATTCAGTTTATCGGGACACGAGGAGTAAAAGTTGAAACAGCAAACTATAAAAACGCCGCATAGAGATTCACATAGAGGCTGAATGGCTGGATAAATGAGGGAGTATTAGATAATGCTGTCCGTGTAATTATACTCTATTTGGTCAACGTTGCATTCTGAAATTGCGTTGCAGTGGGGGCCCTCAATAAACGGGAGCTCACGGCACGCCCTCCAACATACGCTGCTTAATCAGCGGACCAGATAACGTGGGGAACGTTATCTCACGTTTTGGTACCGTGAAAAAGGTGGGGCGAGACGTGGCATGATCTGGTATTATGAAATATGAAAACTACAACGCGGATTTGAAATATGGTCATTTTGGCAACTCAGTGAAAATTACCAACAATCGGACGCAAGATCTTGATAGAGACAGCTGGTGTAGATAATAAATATCATACAGGTTTCGGATGGCAATATGTAAGTAATAAAAACAAAGGAGCTAGATTAACTTTTTGTTGATGTCAAAGTGAACAAATTATCCGTGAACTGAAACGTGAATAACAGGTAACTTGAGTTACATATGTAAACAGTTTGATAAGCAAAGCTTGGCACTAGTCCTGACTTTATATATTAAGGTCGAAGCTTCATAGTTCTGACTTCCAACTACTTCGAGAGTTCGAGTGACAGATGAATTTACATGACTGGCGTTATCATACCTGAATCCACAGTCTTTAAGTATCTAAAATGTTCATATTGTCACCATGCTATCAGAGTCATTTGTTGAGCATAAATCGTTTAGTAGGAACGATGACTAGCAAAAATTATTGACGTCATACACTTGCTCTTAAACCTAATTCTAATACCAAGATGATAGTTCAAGGATCGAGCACCTTGCAGAATTCTTAGAACCTCTAAAGTTGCTCCCAAGAAACACACGGAGAGTAAACTATGACAGGAACATAAGGAGGATTATCCTCAAAGGTTTACCGACTCACTGGACATATTATGTCCTATAAACAGCGAAAATGGAACTTAATCTCACACTATTTGACATTAGTTTAGAAAATTTAGAAGCAATGAAGAACATTATAATACTTCTATAAAGAATCTTACAATACAATGCAAATCAAATTATCATATAATTGCAGTAATTTCAGGGTCCTGAAAATGTACAAAACAGAGCTTGTAAATAATATTCGTTTAGCCAGTAAACGTCAAGAAGAGTGTCCACTAATTGGCTCGCCACTCTCCAGTCTCATAAACTATGACAATTTCTGTGCCTTCTTGAAGAGCACATCCACGACTTTTCCCATATGAGTTATCGTGTCAAGGGCGTAGGTGTAAGTCTGATCTGACTCGGAGCCGTCGTATACTATGAGTACGCCTGATCCCTGATCCAAGATACCTGGGATAGTGTAACTTTGGTGGTGATCGGAAAAGGATACAGCTACAGTAGCGTAATAATTTGGAAAATTCATTTCAAATTTTACATGAGCAGAAATCACGCCAATGAAAAAATGTTAAAGATAAAGATGTTTACCCAAAACCCTCTTTCAGATAACGAACCTGAGAACTTCTTGTCAAGGATGATCTGAGAGAGCTTCTTCTCTACAACTTCGTAAGGTAGGCTGATTGTTTCAGCAACATGGGCGATCTGAACTCGAGAGTAAGGCTCTATTATTCTAACCAAATTTTTCTCCAACAGGTTGTCGTACAGGGACTTCAGGTGGTTCTGCACGACGGGGTCCTTCTTCAGTTCATCATCATATTCTGCTATTGTCTTGTTGAAGATGGATATGTCTCTTTTTTTACCGGCATCAGCGATGGCTTTCATGGCATCTATACCTCGACCACGATATTTCAGTCCTGAAGATTTAAGTCATAAACTAGAGATCATTAAGCAAACAAATTTTCAAGCCCATCACCAGGCGTCCAATGACCCAATATTATAAATCAGATTGAAGATATTGTTTATTATATAATAATGATGTAAAAATTATGATCAGAATATCTCATAATATATTAAAAATGTAAATCTCCGTGCAAGCGACAGTTTCGAAAACTCTGAACTAACCCATCTTTCCAGTCAGAAGAGCCTGTACATCATCGGGAACACCCAACATAATCTTAGAGAGCAACATATACTTCAGACCGTCCATGGCAAAGGGGTGATCCACTGAATCGTAACCCTCGAAAGCTTCATAAAAGTAGGAGAAACCAGTCTTGAAGTCCTTCTCCTCACCGTGCAGGATACCAGACTGCATGTCCAGAGCAGCTTGCAGTTTAGGGGGTACGTATATTGAGTTAGCGGTTGTCCTGGCTGAAGTTAGAGCTGCTCGAGCTTTGGGGACATTTCCGAGAGTGTGGTAAACCTAGAATTGAAGTTTTATAGAAATTGATAATTATATTAGGGTTGATTAACAGACTCATAGAAGTTCACTATGTGACCATTAAAAGTTAAACTACGTTCAACTCTCATGAGCTCTCACCTGAAGTATAAACAAGATTCTAGCTAATACTGTACGTAAAGAATGTGATCTAACCTTACTCTCCGAAAGTTGAACTTCCATCAGAAGTTGCTTGTCGTCCATTTTCTTCAACTCTTTCATGACACGGTTAACAGTATTCAAGGCTTCAGAATAATCACCGTTAGAATGGTACAACAATATCAAACGTGCTTCCAGTGCTTGAGTTAGGAACGTTCGCTTCTCGCTGAAATAATTTGGTTTAAGATCTTGCTCACCAAGGCTACCATTCAAGAATACCAGATACATAATTTATGATGTGCAAGACAAAAATAGGTCTGCTTACCTTTTAGCCCATCCAATACACTCCAGACAAAGAGGAATCTCCAGTCCAGTCTTGCTTCCCATGTCAAGGAAAGTGTCCACCAGTTCCCTGACGATTTTGCTGGCTTTTGCCTTGCTCACAACTCCCAAGAAAGGACGGATAGATTTTATCAGGCTAGCTAGCTCTTTGGCCTGGTTCTGTTTGGCTAGGAGCTTCCCTGAATTGTAAAAAACTTAGATTTTCTATAAAGTGAATTCAGCATTGGCAAAAAATACTGAATTGTAGGGAAAAATATCATAATATGATATTTTTTCCCTACAATTCAGTATTTTTTGCATATTATGCATATTATGCATATTATACATATTAATTTGCGATTGGGGAGGCGGATTATCGTTGTGAAGTACTGTACTACTCACGAAGTACTGTACACGATGTTTTCAACCCACGAGTCAGAGAGCAAGCTCAACTGACGGCTCCCAAGGATGTCGTATGCACATGTGATCTGGTCAAGAATGTGGTTGGGCTGTGATTTTATCGACCATGAATACCAAGCATATAAGCAGATATTTGAATTGACTAGATTTCCACTGGTAAGCGATTCGGAAAATCATGGGCCGGCATAGTGCCGGGGCGGGTATGATCCGCCAACCTCCGAGTTACATGCCTGGTGCTCTACCAATTGAGCTACCGGCCCTATTCAGCTCAGGAATTTCTTGCACGCCTATCAGTAAGCAATCGTGTCGTTATCTCATATCTGCTGCTATTAGTACACTGCATTATATGCAGCTGGGATACTCACTGCCATATTTGTGAGTGTGCATACTGTGTGTAATGTTTTTAATTTGCGATTGGGGAGGCGGATTATCGTTGTGAAGTACTGTACTACTCACGAAGTACTGTACACGATGTTTTCAACCCACGAGTGTACTAATAGCAGCAGATATGAGATAACGACACGATTGCTTACTGATAGGCGTGCAAGAAATTCCTGAGCTGAATAGGGCCGGTAGCTCAATTGGTAGAGCACCAGGCATGTAACTCGGAGGTTGGCGGATCATACCCGCCCCGGCACTATGCCGGCCCATGATTTTCCGAATCGCTTACCAGTGGAAATCTAGTCAATTCAAATATCTGCTTATATGCTTGGTATTCATGGTCGATAAAATCACAGCCCAACCACATTCTATTATACTGAAGGGAAAGGAAGCAGTTCTAACGAGCTCTTCTCAAACACAAGGATACATTCTTGTGAACTCGGCTAGTATATATGAAACATTTGTCATGGAGTTGTAGAGGGAGTTATGTGCCTCGCCGGGCTAAAGTAGAGGATGACCTTGCTGTACGGCAAGTTAAACAAGGATCTGAAACTACTAAGTTCCGTACAGACTCAACTCTGCACCCGTGTCAATATGTTCATTATATGCAAGCCTCTTGATTTATACATATTATGTATAATGTAGATTCAATTTTATGAATTTGAAATAAACCACATGACCGTTACACTTCACACAATTTAAGATATTTACCCATGGAGCTAAGAGCCAGCTCAACCTCCTTGATTTTAGCCTCATCATCTGATGTGACAGTCTGGTTTGTGATGCCATGGTAGAGCTTTAATGCTTGGTCAGGATCCTTCAGCTCAATAGATGACGCATGTTCCAACTCTTCCATGCTTAATAATTATACTCGATTAGGTAATATGATATATAGATTAAAGATCTACATTGGAATTTAAAGATCATCATTTAGAAATAGTTCTGTAGAATGAGAGTTGACGTGAAATGCTACATTTTAATACTTTCAACAGAACTATTTAACAAACGATTTTAGGCTATCATGATATGAATGAACACAAAAGATTTAAACCTCATTTGTGTGTTTACCATTGTATCCAATTAATGCAGTAGAAGAACAATTTATCCTGTTTTATTATATAGTAGTTATGTGTTGGTTGTCGAAGATACAATCATTGACAGAGAGGTAATAGCCCCATACCTTGTCATGAACATAATATCGAAACTACCTCTGTGATCACATCTTTCTCTGGGTGCAAAATGAATACATAATACTATATCTAAGGTTTATTAGTTTTATAGAAATTTACAAGTTCTATAGAAATTTATATTATATGTAGATTATAAACATTTTGTTTGTGTGTTTTGTTTTATGCATCTTTATACCTACTTTAGAAGATATTTTTATAAAATGTTAGAAGTGCAGTAGGGTCAGTTTCAGAAAAATTAAGCATAAATGACATCATTGCCATAACCTTTCGCTACGTAAGCAGGAGCACCAATGCGACATTGATTATTGGTGATTCAAACACCCGGTTCCTCAAATTTGGGGCTGGAAAAGGAACATTTGGTCACAAACTGCCTGGGAAAAGAATTGAATGTTTCACAATAGATCAGTTAGACCCTGTTCTTTGTGTAGGATACAAGAACGTTGTAGTACACTGTGGTGTAAATAATATCAAGAGGGGAGGGGGTGATGTTAAACATTGGGCTAATGAGCTGACAAAGAAGCTCAAGAATATTTGTGATATGTGTCCATACTCTAAAGTTATAGTTTCACCCATCCTTCCAACTAGGTCCTCCTGGCTGAATGACAGAGCCATGGAGTTTAATAGTTTATTATTTGGGTACTGTAATACTAATACTAGAATAGGCACTTTAGATTTTGGTAGTTTTGTTGATGAGGAGGGTCTACTGGACAAGCAGTTTTGTAGATACAAGAAGCCGGATGACCCAATCCACCTGGGGTCAAGCGGTATCTTTAAACTCTCCCGGGCAATTGCCCATAAGATCCTAGGTAGCCCTGTTGATGGGAGGTTGTTCAGTGATGTTACCAAGGCCCAAAAACGATTTTCCCCACGCTCTCGTAGATCCGTAGTTATGTCATGATAGCCAAACGTATATGTGAGAACTGTGTCTGCTGCAGCAAACCTATTCGTGCTGGACACCCATTTATAAATTGCAATAAGTGTGATTGCATCATTCACAAGAGATGTAAAACACAGGAAAACATTGCCACTTTTAGAGAAAAAACTTACTGCTCAAATTGTATTCAAAATCATGATATAATTCGTTATAATCCATTCTATCAAGCACCTCACTTTTCAAACAACGAACTACTTGACAATGAACCTCACGACTATATAGACTCAATAGGTACAATCTCAAAAACTCTTGAGAACTGTCAATCATATCAATCGAGCTAGGGATGGCTACTATGATAAACAGCTCAGTTCTTGCAAAGGAGACTCGAAAGGGACCTATAAAGTCATAAATAAACTTTTAGATAAGGAATATGGCTCCAACAAATTGCCAAATGGTGAAGATATCGAAGTGGCTGCCAAACTCAAGACTTTCTTCGATCAAAAAGTAAAGACCATTTACTCTAATATTGAGAAGGAAATTCAAAACACTTCCCTAAACGGTCAAGGTACCAAGGACTCTACTTCGATAGATAATGCAAAGTGTAGACTTAATCAGTTTAAGGAAGTCTCATTATCAGATCTTGAAACCTTAATTAAGAGTCTTCCCAATAAATCAAGCGTACTCGATGTCATACCAATGTGGCTCTTCAAGAACTGCTTACCCGAGCTTCTCCCAATCATCCATTACATCGTGAATGAATCACTAAGAGTCGGAAAGTTTCCATCTGCCCTAAAAGAAGCATCTATTAGGCCTGGACTCAAGAAACCTACCTTAGATGTTGATGAGCTGAAAAACTATCGACCGATTAGCAATCTAACTTATCTGTCCAAAATACTAGAAAAAGTAGTTCATTGCCAATTAAATGAATATGCTGATGTCAACAACCTGTTTTCCCCATATCAATCAGGCTATAGAAAATTCCATAGTTGTGAAACTGCAGTTACCAAAATACATAATGATATTCTAATGATGATTGACAGCAAATCGAATGTTGTGCTTCTACTCTTAGATCTATCAGCTGCTTTCGACACCATAAACCATAACCTCCTTCTTACGAAACTCAAGAATGCGTATGGTATTACAGAACTAGCACTCAGCTGGTTACAATGTTACCTTAATAATCGCACATTCAAGGTTAAAGTAAAAAAGCCACATCTTCTGAAGGCTATCTGGATATTGGTGTACCTCAAGGATCCATTTTAGGACCACTACTGTTCATATTGTATACCAGAGATCTTGAAGAAATTGTCACAAAATATGGTTTCTCGATACATTTGTATGCAGATGACACACAGGTGTACTTTACTTTTGATGTTCACAGTTCTAATCCTGATTTAACAGCTGTGAAAAATTGCTTTCTGGAGATAAAGCAATGGATGACAGTTAACTTCCTAAAACTGAATGATGAAAAAACAGAGTTCATTGATATAGGTCCATATGTCAGCCCAATCCAGACAATGGATTTAGGAGACCTCTCAATCTGCCCTGTTAGCAAGGCCAAGAACCTGGGATTCCTTTTCGATCACCAAATGAATCTGGACTCTCAAATAAATGCTGTCTCCAAAGTATGTTGTTTGAATCAAAGGGACTTAGCAAGAATCGGTTCGAAGCTTTCCCATGACCTAAAAGTTCAGTTAGTTCACTCCAATATCCTCTGTTTCATAGACTACTGCAACTCAGTCTATTATGGTATAACAGAAAAGAATCTCCATAAGCTACAAAAGATACAGAACAATGCTGCTAGATTTATCTTTGGTCTTTACGGAAAAAAGATACGTGAACCTATCATGCCTTACCTCAAAAAGCTCCACTTTCTGCCTGTTCGGTTCAGAATTAAGTTCAAAATATCACTTCTGGTCTTCAAGTGTCTTAATAACATAGCCCCTCAGTACTTACAAGGACACGTCAATCTAAGGGAAGTACGAAGACGAAGTTCCAGACTAGATGATGACTTTTATTTGTTGAAAGTTCCTCCTGCTCCTCATTTCAGACGAACAGATGCTGCATTTATGTTTTGTGGACCAAAAATTTGGAATGAACTACCCTACTCAGTGAGATCATTATCATCTGTAGAATGTTTTAAAAATGCCCTAAAGACGTTTTATTTCCAACTAGCTTTTGATAACATTTCTAATATTTGTCCATAATGTCTGAACTGATATGAAAGTGCATAATTTTGGTAACTTCATACAAATATTTGTTCATAAAATCTGAACTGTTTAAAAAGTCCATAATCTTGCTATTTCAACACTAAGTCTCGCTTGAATGACTTTAATGTACATCTTTGTTGGGTATATTTTAATGTCGAAGCGTGTAATAAATGTTAGAATTTATTTATTTATTTATATTCTACTAAAAACTTCAACAACCTCATAATGCAGATTCCTCAAACAACATCAAAGAGCATTTTCTCACACTACTTTCGAAATATTGATGGAAATGGTACTAACTTTGACAAATTGGCTTTAGAATTAGCCTGCATAGACCACAAATTTTCTGTGATAGGTCTAGCAGAAACAAACATTGATCCCTGTAATAGTCAGCTGTACCAACTTAAAGACTATACTTCATGTTACCAAAAACGCTTCGTTTCTAATAAGACACAACAGGTAAAAAGGAAAGGAAGTGGAGTTTCTCTCTACATCACAACTCCTTTAACTTTAGTGTGATTGAAAAGTTATCTGTTTGTACAGAGCACTTTGAGTCCCTATTCGTAACAATAAGTAATGCTCCAGAACCAGTAACAGTTGGAGTTGTATACCGCTCACCAAGCAATCCACTTGCTAACTTCAATGCACAGTATAAAGAAGTTCTTACTGCACTAAAAGGACATAAAGCATACATATTAGGGGACTTCAATGTTAACATAACCAATTTATCAGGCCCAGATGAAGATATATTTGAAGAAGTTATTTATAGTCATGGGTTCACGCCCACAATATCCATTCCCACACACCAAATGCCCCACTGCTCAAAAACGTGCATTGATAACATACACACTAATGACATTAACTCATCAACTATATCTGGAGTAATTCAGGATAGTGCTTCACATCACCAGCCCATTTTCTGCCTTCAAGTAATGAATTCTGATGCTAGTTCGGAACAGAATAAACCACCTGAAAAAACAACCATTTATTATAACTATAGTAATGCAAACCTTGATAAGCTCTGTGAAGAAATTGAAAACGACATAGATACATTCTACCACAGATGTGACTCTTTTGAATCCTTCATGGATCTGTTTCAAGAACAGATAGATATATCTTGCAAATTGGCTTCACCAAAAACCACCAAACGAAATAGCATAACAAATCCATGGATCACAAACGGCCTTATCAACTCTGTGGAGAAAAAAGCCAGACTTTATTTTGAATGGAAAAAAACAAAAACATTGTTAATACCAGATGGGGATCCGGAAAGACATAATGTTTACAAGGACTACTCAAAATATCTTAAAATTGCCATAAAAACTGCCAAAACCAGGTATTATGCTGAAAAGTTTGAGAAAAATAGCCATAACTCCAAAAAAACCTGGCAAATAATCAACGAGCTTCGTGGCAAAAAGAAGAATCAGCTAAAAGATGACTTCATTATAGATGGAACTAGAGTAATTTGTAGGCGGACAATTGCAAACAAATTCAATAGTTACTTTACATCTTTAGCTAGTAATTTAAATGAGAAAGTTTTGTCCGACATCCAACTGTCTATCCAACCAATGCAATCATTTGT